TAGTGATAGTGGTAGTGGTAGTGGTAGTGGTAGTGGTAGTGGTAGTGGTAGTGGTAGTGGTAGTGGTAGTGGTAGTAGTAGTAGTAGTAGGAGTAGTAGTAGTAGTAGTGGTAGGAGTAGTAGTGGTAGGAGTAGTAGTAGTAGTAGTAGTAGTGGTAGTGGTAGTGGTAGTGGTGGTAGTAGTAGTAGTAGTAGTGGTAGTAGTAGCAGTAGTAGTAGTAGTGGTAGTAGTAGTCGTCATAGTAGTAGTAGTAGTAGTCGTCATAGTAGTAGTAGTCGTAGTAGTAGTAGTCGTCGTCGTCGTCGGCGTGCTTGCGTTACAAACAGTCGCACCTTCTCTTGCCTCTCCCTCCTGTCTTCCCCCCTACCTTTCGTCCCCCCCCTCTCAAGTAATATAATATAGTATGATTTAACATGCTACAATATAATATGACATACTATAATATAATATAATATAATATAATATATTATGATATAATATAATATAATTTCATACAATATAATATAATATGATATAAAATAAAATGATATGATATGATATAATATATTATATAATATAACATAGTATGATTTAACATGCTACAATATAATATGACATAGTATAATATAATATAATATAATCTGGTTTAATATAATCTAATCTAATATAATATAATATAATATGTTATAACATGTTATAATATACTATAATATAATATAATATAATATGTTATAATATGTTATAATACGTTATAATATAATATATTATAATACAATATAACATAATATAATATAATGTAATATATGCACACGCACATATATATATATATATCATATGTATATATGTTTAATTTGTGTAAATCTTTATGACTTCGGAGCCACTACAGTGACAATTTGATGAAATAGTTCTCCCTCTCTCCGACTTGTCGACTTGTCATAATGATTTGGAGGTGCTCGCAGCAGAAAGCCGGGCTGAACAGCAAATGAGCAGGCCTACTTGAACGGTCCACAGATCATCAAGTGTTTTTTTCAGTTCAACCATAAATAGCGGTGGTGCGCAGTCTCCTTCTCAATCATGTGTGGCACCCATGCAAAGTTATGGGCGGCACCGACATATCAAATCACATGAGTGCCAGGCTGCGGAGTGAGCTGGAACTGGCAGAGGCTGCTTCTCAGGCTGGAAGTTCAGCTGGTTTGTTCTGAAGGGAACCGTTTCGGACTTTTCCCATTTTGGGTATTACAGTATTACATGAATCTTCCAAGCTAAACGTCAATGCTTTATTGATTCGGGGTTTGGACCGATTCGGACCCAGCCATTCTTCATCCAGTTTTTAGCCGCATCGCAGGATGCTTGCGCGCGAAACGCCACTGAGATCACCAGCCACTTGGATGTGAAGCGGCCCCAAGAAGTGCAGAAAAACTTCAGCGGGGAATCGGGGAATCCAAAGATCGCCAACCATAACGAAAGGACGAACGGACGAAAGGACCTTCCACTGTTCGCTGTGTTCGTTGTGTTGTGGCCAGCTGTCAGGAGCTGTGACCGCATCGGAGTGTGCCTTGAAGCCACGGCTGCAGCAGGCACAGGCCGCGGCTCGGGCTGCCGTGACCTGCTTGGAGATCTCCGTAGAGAAGCGCATGAAGTGCTGGGCATCAGTGTCCTGATCTGAAAGCACTTGCACTTGCATACGTATAAATGCCATTAAATGCCTAATACATACATTCACATATAGTACAGTAGTACATACATGCACATACCGCAAGATACAGACATAAAATTACATAAATACATATGATAAACAAATATGATAAACTTAAAAATGTAATTCGAGTTCTTGGTTTAAGGCCGCCTAAGGCCCCAGAGGTCCCCGTCCTTTGAAGGCACAAGGCAGACTGTTTCAAAATGCCAAGGAAGCAGCCGAAGAAGGACGACAGGCACAGCATGGGCGAGAGCGGCTTGAGGAATTGCAGGAGGCGGTCGCGCAAGTGACTTGGATTCTTTGGATTTGCAGAGCATGATCTGGTGACTGCCAGGGTTCCCAAAGGAAGACTTCCGCAATCCAAGCCCAGATATCTTCCATGATCTTCCTTTGCTTTCAGCTCGCACGAAGTGATGATCAGCACCAGTTCTTATCCCCAATTGATCCCCGGTCGTGCCCAGTTGGAGCTGCTTCTGCAGAAGCATGGCGCGCAAATCTCGGAGCAGAGCCAAAGCTCTGAGGTCTGGGGAATGCTAAACTTCCTTTGACATCCCTTGACTATACCAAGAGAATGTCAGAAGCATAATTTCACATGTTAACACAAAGAGACATAATTCTACGATGTTCTTAGTATATAGTACATATATAGTCAGTACTCTTGGATCACACACACAAACATAATATCAAAGGTCCCCATGCCACGTTCATACGAGCGCCCATTTTCAGATTTTGTAAGTACAGTAGTTGCTGAGATTCATGCTTTAACAGCTGGCAGCCAAATTCAAACGAGCAGCTTGAGATTGTCGGCCGGTGGTAGCAGATGAACGGGCTGTACTGGGAAGTTGCCCCAGATAAGAGAGATGAGCCACGCAGACTTCAGGCACGGGATGTCTCCTTCGAGCGACGTTTCAAGAGTCAAGGGCAGCAATTCGAAGACCTTGAGAGGAGTGGTTTTTGGCTGCTTCAAATCAGGGTGAATTCAGACTGAAGGAGGGTTTGGAATCCAATTACTTTACTTCGTGTGATCCCCACCATGACATATATACATTTTGTTACTGGCAAATCTTCTGGCATTCTATCTGACATATTTTCTGGCATTCGATCTGGCATTCTATCTGGCATATCTTCTGGCATTCTACCTGGCATATCTTCTGGCAGATGTTCTGGCATATCTTCTGGCAGATGTTCTGGCATATCTTCTGGCATATCTTCTGGCATTCCATCTGGCAAATCTTCTGGGATTCTATCTGGCAAATCTTGTGGCATTCTATCTGACATTTTATCTGGCATTCTATCTGGCATACCTTCTGGCATTTTATCTGGCATCTCTTCTGGCATTCTATCTGGCATATCTCATGGCATTTTATCTGGCATATCTTCTGGCATTCTAGCTGACATTCTATCTGGCATTCTATCTGGCATACCTTCTGGCATTCTATCTGGCATATCTTCTAACATTCTATCTGGCATATCTTCTGGCACTCTATGTGGCATATCTTTTGGCGTGGATACTCGCGGTTGAGGTCCGGCAGGGAACACTGGGCGTGGATGGTCGTGGTTGAGGTCCGGCAGGGAACACTGGGCGGGGATGGTCGTGGTTGAGGTCCGGCAGGGAACACTGGGCGTGGATGGTCGTGGTTGAGGTCCGACAGAGAACACTGTGCGTCGAGGGTCGCGGTTGAGCAGGAGGAGGAGGAGGAGAGGAGAGGAGGAGAGGAGAGGAGAGGAGACGAGGAGAGGAGGAGGAGAAGGAGGAGGAGGAGCAAGCAACTGACATAAAATCTAACAACCCTCACCTGGCAGGTGGGGAAAAAGGAATACGTTGTCCCTAGTGCGAGCAGCGAGCAGCGAGCAATAACCTGTTGCGGTTTTGGAAGGGCATCACCGAAGCTGCACACGTATCGTCCGCGCTTGCGTCACTTCGAAGCTGCAGTATCTCCCCCATGTCACGGTATGTCATGGTGCAGGAGTATTTCACAGCTCCGCCGCGAAGTGGCTGAGAGGACTGATGCCATCGAAAGCACTCTGCCAAAATTTGATGTGGGGCGAATTTTGGGCTTGGCCTGGTTTCAGCATGTTTCAGCTTCAGCTGCATTGTGGACTCAAATGCGTTTTGGCTTTCGGCTGACAGTCCGGTGCCAGTTATGCTGCTTGTGGTGGCATATATTGGAGGCTTATGCCGAAGTTGTGATACTGATGTTGCTGTAGAGTGTAGAGCCTGAGCACCAAACTCAAGTCCGAAGCATCGGGTGGAACCAAGGTAGGCTGACTTCAGAAGTGTCTGGTTGCAAAGACGAGTTGCAGGAAAGACTCGGCAAGATCGGCTCCTTGCCGAAACAGTTTCTCTACTGCTTTTCATACCTTTCCATACCTTTCCATACCTTTCCATACCTTTTCCCATTTTATCAATTCAACACGTAGAGACACCCCGCACAGCAGATGCGAAAATGAATCAAGTTCCAGCTCAGCCATCACAAGTTAGTTCCTGTTCAAACAGCATTGAAATGCATGGAATCATATTGACCAATATTGACCCCAGCCCTCGACATGGACGCTATTCGATCTATTCGCACCCGGCTGGGCTTCCGAGGTCGCCAAGAGGTGGCGGCCTCCCGGGAAGCGAAAGAAGCACAGGCGGCTGCGGCGCAGGCTCTGCGGGAAGCGTGTGAAGTGAAGAGCGCGCAGCAGGTGGGGTGCCATATGGTGCCATTGGGCCATGGCCATGTTGGCCATGTAGGTCATTGCTGAGGCCATCAGTTGTGTTGGTCGGATTCTGTACCGCAGCTATCCGCAGCTGTGTTTGCTTTCTTTCGGCACATGGCTTCATCTTGTCAGCTTTATCGCCCCTGCATTTTCCGAAAATGCTGCTGGTTCATGGCCGCAAGAGGAGCTGGAATACAGCTTGAACGAGTCGCAGGAGCGTTTAAGCTGCATCTCGTCGGTGACGACCTCCACACAGGCCTGGCAAGACATCGTCAACTACTTACCTATATATATAGATTATACATTGATTCCTACATTATATCTGCATCATACAGGATTGCATTCGATTCTACTCTGCACCTTCTAAAAGCCTATGGCTGTATCCTCTTACAACTTGAGGACTTTTCACAGGCCCAAGGTCCTCAATGATTGAAATCTGCTTCCCCATGGTGAAGTCATGGCGGTAGCATCGGCATCCCATCGGCGCAGGATGCAATGACCAGCTTCAAGAAGGAGCTGGCAGCGCTGCTGGACTCCCAGAAGCTGTTGCAGCAATCTGTGGCCTCCGTGCCACGGTCGCAGCTGTGGTTGACACTGACTTGTGCTGTGGTTGACCCCCTGGTGACACACGCAGCCAGATTGAAGGAGAGACTATCAGGTGTAGCAGCAGCTACTTTTAGCCAATCTATGTCACAATCGGAATTGCGAGTTTATTGATCATGTTGATATTTATACATAGATACGCTGCATTCTATAAGTGAAGAAACAGCCTAAACAAAGGCCTGGCCTGATGAGCCCGGGTCCAGATAGGGTTTGCGCCATGCAGGTACAAAACAGCGAGGCTTTTGACGGCAAAGCGTTGCGAGGGAAACTGCTTGAGGAATTTTCTCAAGCGTGACCTGGCTGACCAGATCAGACCATGGACATGGCTGAACTCATTAGGCTTGAAGGTTTGGGTGCACACCGGTCAAACTGAAGCTATACTAATTATAGGACCTAGACTCTAGACGTGCATATCGCGTCATATCATATCGCACTTCTCTAAAAAGTGAGGCAACTGGGAATGAGATCGCTGGGGCAAAGGATCTCCAGCGTTGAAACTGCTTGCGCAGCTGCAGACCGGTCTGGGGCTCAGAATGCAGACACCTTGCTTCATGGCCAAATTCGCAACACTCTTCTGAGATTTTCGGAATCCCAAACCAATCAAACTGGCATGCTTTTTCCTGCGGTACCTTATGCGACCTTGCGCCGAAAGTTTTTGCTCCAGCATTGTCAGCGGCATTCAACAATTGGACTTGTCACGAAAACTGTGCATGATGCGGTAACAACGCATGTAGTTGCAATTACATGCGCAGCAGCGCCTGGCATGGCTTGCTCTTGCATGATTAAAGTGATTGGCTTGCCAGAAGCATGTGTCAACATGTATTTGTTTGACTTAGAGTGCCAACTAGTCGCCGGTGTCCTGCATGTGATTTCTATGCGGGAGGCACCACAGAATCAGCACGGATCAGAACGTGGCCACCATGACGGTTCCATCCAGCCAGGTTTGTGGACATTGTGGCCGTGAGGCTCCGGAGTATTCGTGTTCCAGATGTCGATCCACACGTTTTTGCGGTCAAGACTGCTTTAGAAAAGCCTGGAAGCAGCACAAGTTAACGTGCCAAAATGTCAGCATCTCAAGTGTCTCCCCCACTGTGGAGACTGGTGAATGCTCAGCAGCTCCATCGCAGAAGATCGGTGGGTCCGGTGGGGCCGGCGTGGTGGTAGTGGTACCCTTCCGCGAGCAGCTGCCGCTGCAGCACCGTGGCGAGCAGTTGGCTCGTTTCCTGCCGCATATGCAGCGCTTCCTATGTGGCTTGGAGGTCCCTGCTCGGGTGTTGGTGGTGGAGCAGAACCAGGATGGCCGCAAGTTCAATCGAGGTCAGTTGCTGAATGTGGGCCGCAAGGCTGTGCATGGAGTAGTGTGTTTGATTGCATGGCTTTGGTTCGGGATGCTGTTCGGTGTTATATATGTTATATATCCACTGACAACATCCGACAACCTGGTTTTCGAAATGGTTTTTGATCTGGTTTTTGCGACTGGCTTCACCTGAGGTTTTTGTTTGTGAGGGTTCCCCCTTGTGACTCAGTACGCAATCTGGTGCGGAAAAATCGCCCGAGGCTTCACCTTAGCAGAGCAGTTGCTACCCCTGTCTGCCTTCATCATGCACGATGTGGATCTGCTGCCCTCAGATGAGATGCAAAAGGTTTATGAACGCCCACCACCCCAGGGATGTGCGGTGCACTTGGCTTCAGTATGGCCGATGCTTGATGGCAACTTCTGCAAATTACAGTGTGCGTATGGCAGTATGGTATGGCCTCGGTTACCCCTGAAAGCTCTCTACTGTGATTCCCCGAAAGAGACATGAGCTTGAAATAGGAAAGTGTTTTCTTGTCTCATTTCCTTGGTGCTTGCGCGGTTCCTATGATATGCCAAGGATCTTGTTGCGGAAAGCTTTTTTTTCCTCTCTTCTCCCGATCTGAAAAACATACTTTCCCATACTTGTCCATACTTTCTCTGATTTCTCCATGTTATTATTGTCTCACAGTTCAGCTATGTTCAGCTGCCCAGGAAGTACTCCTACGCCAACTTCATTGGTGGTGTGCTTTCCTTTCGACCTGAGGAATTCAAACGTATCAATGGTTATCCCAACAACTACTGGGGTTGGGGCTTAGAAGATGACCAACTGGGACTTCGCATGGCTCATCATGGCCTGCGCACTCTGCGGGTTCGTGTGGGGAGCTATGAGGACCTAGATCCGGTAAATATGAAGGAGGTCTTGGAGTGCGGAAGAACACAACCAGACAGGTTGAAGAAACACTTGCCGTGGTATAATGCGGACATGTTCAAACACTCCGATTTGGAACTGGATCCGGATTGGTCAACGAATGGCCTAAAGAATTTGAGATTTAAGAGGCTTAAGGAGACAACTGATGGCATTCTTCATCATGTTGTGGTGGAGTTGGAGTCGAATTGACCCCACTTGGAATCCACATGGGTCTTCGGGCTATAGCGGCTATACGATCTGGTATCATATTGGACCTGCCACATCTCTCCGCGATCTTCCGTGAAGGCCAAGACCGACATGGAGCGGCCGAGTCATTTGCAGAGCTTCAGGGACACCAGGCTTCGACCTCTGAGAGTTGGTGGCGACAGGGTGCTGCTTTCCATGCCAAAAGGTGCTGGATGGTGCTGGAAGCACCAAAAAAGGCCGGAAAACACCGGAAACAATCACGGCTGAGCTATATGGAGGGAGAGATACATCACAAAAAATGTACGGATCCACAAGTTGCCAGGCAGACATGTATAAACATTACATATCATTACATATCATTATAATTAGGTATAACCAAATGAGAAGCCATGAGAACCCGGTAACCCATGGCTTCGTAAAGCCCGCACATCGTAGCGAGGTCTGCCGCCACACTGAAGGCAGAGGCCGCGCAGCTGCGCTTAGAGACGGAAGACTTGGCGAAGCGTCACTTGGTGAAGCTGCAGGGGGTTGGAACACATTATACAGATATTTATCACACACACACACACCACATATAATATTTAAATATATATATACAAATGTATACAAATATAGTATATATGATAGCCACACACACACACATATATATATATATATGTATATAGTCATATCATGTCATATCTCATGTGCATATGTAAATAAATGAATGAATGAATGAATAAATAAAAAACACAAATAAATATGCACAAATATCTGTTACTTTTATTTTGATTTGGTTGGTTGGTTTGTAAACTTCGGAGTATCATGCTCAAGAACCATCCGAAGTGGACATGGTGAAACATGTTGAAACTGGGGGCTCCTACAGCTTGGTTGGATTGGGCCTCCTTTGTGTGCTGATCATGAAGGGTTGGCTTTGCAGGTTGCAAGTAGCCGGCCGAATGAGCAACCAGCACCATCATTAATGATTAAACACCATCCTTATGAGTTGGAGTTGCTTTAGTATAGACCATGTCAGCCACCCTCAGCAATCTAGACTATATTCGCATGTATCAACCAGATAGCAACGAAGATCACTGGAACCTTTCCTAGTGCCAGCATGAGGCCGGGCAGCACAAGCCCTGCAAAGCGAGAAAGTAGAGGCGATTTGGAGAGAAACGGGTGATGTGTCCGGAAGTTGCTTGACATATTATCTAAGCTTTTGATCATTGTGAAATTATGGCACGCCCCCTTGTGAATCGAACCTAGGAGTAGCAGATCCAACTCCTGAAAGAAAGCCCTCTCGAATTATTGTGGTAGAGTAGATGCAGCCTGCCCCATACCATACCATCAGCCGTGATCATCAAGTTCACGCACGCATGAACTGACGATGCACCGCATCCACATCGCAGGCAGAGCTCTCCCAACGGCTATCGCAAGTGGAGCGATCCATCAAGAGCCAGGGTACTGTAGGGATGCCAAATTGGATCCAAGAGTCGATGGTACCTTTAGATCTTTTTTTCTCCAAATAAAACGCAGACACACACACACACACACACGCACACACACAGATATAGATGTAGTTCTTCCTTTTCTGCGCACACTGTGGAATCCTTTAGACAATTTCAAGGTTGTACACGGCACAACCATTGCTTCTGCCAACAGCTTCCTGTACCCAGGGGGATGGCACTAGCACGCAGAAACTCGTGAACCTCGCGCAGCAGGCCAGGTCACCTGGTGCATTTGGCTTCAGATTTTCCCTGGAGAACACGAAAAGCGTTGCCCACAAACTGTTTATAGCAAGTCCTTGATCTATTAGGCATCCTGCCATCACCCGCCTTCTGCTCATTCCGGTTCCATTCGTTTTCGAGTCTAGTTTGCGGAGGTGGAAACCTTGCGGGCATCCAGTGTGGCCAGTGAAGGCCTTTTTACAGAGCTCAAGACCACCATCATGCGGGTGGAAGATCTGCAAGCTCAGGCAGCCTGCCGCGATTCTGTGTCCATCAGAGATTACCAGAAAAGCCAATACCACTGTGGGCCGTGGGCATTTGAGAGGGAACCATTTATATCCATTTTCACCACGAAGCGACCAGCGCCAATCTGACTTAGACTTGCGAGGTGAATCGCCTGGCACGTGAGTCGAGGAAGGGCTCTGACAAGATTGAGGGTGCCCTTAGCCGGTTGCAGGAGCCGCAGGGAGGATTCTTTGGGTCTTGGCCAGGTTAGGCCAGGTTTCAGTGAACGTGCTGAACACTTCGGTTTCAAGGAACCATCATCAACAAGGGCATCAGCGTTTAGAGTTTAGGCTAGCGGGGTCCCCCTTTCCATCCGCTGTTTCGTTTGGAACCTTTTTGGTGTTCCAGGAGACGGAGAAAGCCATGGAACGTGTGGCAAAGGCCAGAGAAAGTTCAGAGCTTTGGCGAGAAGTCCGGGAACTGAGGCGGGATAGGTCAGATGGTGACAGCCAGCCCAGGAGGTGTGCCCTTTTCCCCCTTGGCTCCAAGATGATCAGCTTGATGTGGCACTCGGGGAGGAAACAATTGGATACAATTGGGTCATACGGCCGGTAGATTTGTGCATGATTCATGCTCAAAGTTGCGTGCCGTCGGAACCAGTTGAAATTTGTTCAGGTCACAGCTGTCAGACGTAAGGCTGCAGAACTTGGTTCGCAGCCCCAGGAGCGAAGCAGAGATTTGTGAGTGTTTTCGGATGCTATTCCCACCCTAACCGCTAGAATTCTAGGGAAGCCCAAGCCACCAGCAACACCCAACACACCTTCCGTGAGGAGCTGTGAAATTACTCGCCCATTGGGATGGCTGGAGCCATAAGGCCATCGTCCCCAAGGCAGGCCATAGGCGACCATTGAATGCCAATGATTACAACAGCGACCGTGCCAATACCGGCTCAGTGGAAGGGGATGATAAATGATGATAAGGGGTGTTTGCAAATAAAAAAAATCGACCAGCCGCAAAAAAAAAAGAGCACTTTGCAAGGAGGTACAAGTCTATAGACAGGCAGATTCGATCTAGATCTAAATTGACCATATTTAAAATTCGGGAAAGCCCGTGATGCTGCAAATAGAAGAAGAAATAGATATATAATGAAATCAAGAGATATGATATAGATAGATCATCGATCTATTTTATAGGTGCATATTGTATCATATTGTTACATATCAATTGCATGGGCAAATGACATGGGTCCCTTGCATCTCTAAAGTGTCCCATAAAGATTGTTGCTGAGCTGATGGCACATCTTACAAGGCCACATCAAAGTGGTCTGATGTACACATTTTCACCCGCACCACGCGGAAGAACACATTCCGGTGGCACTTTTTGGTGCGCGGTAGCGGTAGTTTCAAAAAGCCAGCTTGGTGCTTTACTAAGTCATGGCGGCGGGAAAGTTTCTGTCATCTCACCAGCGCTGTCGAGAAGCGGGTTGCATGAGTCTGAATCATTCCAATTTTTCTTGGAGATTTGATTTTCCACGATCACATCCCAGGGAAGCTTATGGCGGTGTCATGGAAAACAAGCCGGATCAACATACACTAGTAATATATAGTAATTATTTGATGATTAATGATTAATCAGGATCTACCCTGCAAAGGGCTTGGTCTGGAGTTGGACTTGTGGCAGCTGGCCCGGGTCTTTGCAGGTCCCGGTTGCCAACCGGACGTGGAAGCCGTCAGTGAGACTTGTTTCTTGGGTGTTCCTCAGCTGAAGCACAGGCTATAGTGGCTGGAGACCTGCAACCTCCATGATTGGAACCATAGGATCATTTTGCGGAAGGTTCTTGGCCTGCTTGCAAGTCTTCAGTTTTCCCTGGCCCAAGTATATTGAAACCACCAGCCAGAAATGCCTAACTAAATTATGCCAGATTGATATAAATATCACTTAGGCGCACTTGAAGATATGATCGCATCACCCCACCAAGGTCTACCCCAGGGGCTTGAGCAGCATCGCGTTGGATGAGCTTCAGCGTCTCCCAGCTGCATCATCCTCTTGACCAACCAAAGCAAAGTCAGTAAAGTAGATAGATAGATAGATAGATAGATAGACAGTGAGAGAAATATATACGTAAATACAAATGTATATTTAATTTAGATAGATATATAAATATAAACAAATGTAAATATAAATGTAGATATAGATATAGATGTAAGTATAAATAAAGATATAGATATTGATATAAATATAAGTATGAACATAAATACTAATATGAATATAGATATGGATAAATAAATATATATCAATGTATATATATATATATATACATATGTAGATTAAATAAACAAATGAATCAATTAAAAATAAACATATGTAAATACATATATTTATATATTCACATATATATATGTATGTAAATAAACAAATAGTTAAATACATACATACATGCATGCATGCATACATACATACATAAATACATACATACACTACACTACACTTCATTACATTACATTACCATACATTACATACATAACATACATAACATACATAACATACATTACATACATTACATACATAACATACATAACATACATATCATACATTACATACATAACATACATAACATACATAACATACATAACATACATAACATACATACCATACATACCATACATACCTTACATACCTTACATACCAAACATTACATAACATTACATAACATTACATAACATTACATAACATTACATAACATTACATAACATTACATAACATTAAATAACATTACATAACATTACATAACATTACATAACATTACATAACATTACATTACATTAATAATCATTAACACATACATTAATACATATATACATACATACATACCTACCATACCTACCATACCTACCATACCTACCATACATACATACATACATACATACATACATACATACATACATACATACATACATACATACATACATACATACATACATACATACATACATACATACATACATACATACATACATACATACATACATACATACATACATACATACCTACCTACATACATCCATACATACATACATACATCATACATACATACTACATACTTACATACATTACATTACATACATTACATACATACATACATTACATACATTACATTAAACAATACATACATTACATACATTACATACATTACATACTTACATACATTACATACATTACATACATTACATACATTACATACATTACAGACATTACATACATTACATACATTACATACATTACATACATTACATACATTACATACATTACATACATTACATACATTACATACATTACATACATTACACACACACACGCACATACATACATACATCCATGCATGCATGCATGCATGCATGCATGCATACTTGAACGCGTCTTTCTTATTTCTAGGGCTGGCTCGGGCCCAACATTCAACAGAATGGTCGGGGCCTAGATCACTAGAACGAGTGTCACTAGACGCACAAAGCAAGTTCTTGGAGCTGAAGTGATCAGTCCAGGTTTTGGTTTGTCATGTCAAGGTTCCTTTTTGATTGTTGGGGCATGTTGGGGCCCAACGTCACTGCTAAAACCCAATCTTGAAAGGTATGCCCTGCTGGACTTAACCAAACAACTATATCAGACTACATAGCAATTTCAAGAGAGAATGCCTCTTCCAAGCTCTCAATTTCCAGTATGTCCATCGTGTCCGAAACAAGGTGAGCATTGCAGTGTGCTGGCACATGAGGAGGAGTTTGATTCTGCCCCCGTTGATGCAGCACATGTGTACCCTTGAGGAACTCGATTGGAGTTTCCAGCACGGCCTCTAATAATTTCTGGGAATGTTGCAGGAGCACTGTGCCTTGCTTTTCCGGCCACAGGACTGGACTTACATCATGACAGGGATGACATGATCTCAAAGGAACGAGTATACCGGTGACTCCACACCAGACGAAAGTCTCTCTTTGCCAGGACCATGTGCTTGAACTTGGCCAGGGCGGCAGGAAGTCGTGTTGAATCAGTGATGAGATATTGATACAATTTGTGTGTTTGACCATTCGTTCCTGGACGCCTCATGATCTCAAGATGAAACATATAAATATAAATATATATATATATAAATACATACGAAGCCTTGATAAACCTTGGTAAAGTGCACGATGCGCCCACTGTCATGACTTTGTGGCTGTGGCACCCAGATATGTTTGGGCTCATGCCATTTGTATAGCGTTGCCCTTACGGTCGCGGCCTGTGCCGGAGCGCCGTGCCCGAGAGTCCGAGCATGTCTACAGTGGACGTGGCCGATGCGTTGCGCACGCTGGTGACGCAGCGTGCCATGAGGCGACCAAGCTCAGCTTCCCCAGTGGTGCATTACTCAGAGATGGTGCCAGAGCACAATGAGGAAAGCCGCCGGGAAGACTGGAGCAGCCGAATTCCGCCTGCACAGCACTTTGATCATAGCCTACCAGGCTTCGATCAAATGGAAAAGAACTTGGCCGCCCTGTCTGAGCAGAGGATCTTGACTTACAAGGCCATCCAGCGTGAGGTGATTGATCGAGAGAAGTGGGCGGAACTTGCGCTGGCGAGATGTCAGGAGGCTGAAACGCGCTGCTTCAATGCCGAGCGACAACTGGAGAGGTATCGGCAGAATGAGAGGCTTCTCAAGGCCACCCAAGAAGAAATCCGGGTTTTGTGGATGTATGTGGACCAAGCTCGCCAAGAGAATGCTCGGCTGAAGGAGTCCATCGAAGAGAAAGACTCGAGAATCAATGCCCTTCAAGCTGAGTTGGCCAAGGGCTCCGACAAGGAGCAGCCATCAGTTGGCATGCCAAAGGTATTTCGCCAAGGGAAGGTGGCTATGCTCAAAAATGTGGCTCCGAAACCTGAGGAGAAACTTCGTAAAAAGAAAACATCTAAGAGACCAAGTACTGTCAGTACTGATCAGGCAGGTGCATCGTGGCCACTGAAGAGCTCCCAGGGCACTGACAGGTGATGAGCAAGCTGTGTATAGTCGCTGGTGAAGCTTCCGAACTGGAATTGCCAATGGCTTCAGTGGTGGGAACAGTCTGACTTTCGCTCCTGCTATTTTAGAGGTTTTTGGAGTTTATGTCTATGTTTTGATTAGTGTGCTTCTTTGTTGCCACTGTTCGTTTAAGATGCAACTCCTTCCTGTCTTTGCAATCCACCACTGCACAACCAGCTGTTCACGCGGACATTTGCGTCAATCATAGTTCCGATGAGGTGTGTAGGTCTCATGCTTCCTTACGTCCCCATTTGCATCCAAATATCCCGCTCTGAATCGTCGCTAAGCCAGATGATTTGATGGGTTCTGGGTGTGAGGACGAAGTTTGCTGCGTAGACTAAGCCAATTTCTGACGTGCGGCTGCTTTGCCTTCGTGCGCGCTACCGCAAAAATGTGGAGCATGCATGGCATGCGGCTGTCGGAAACGATGCCAGACTGCCAGACCCATTGTCATGACGCGTGGCGTGGCACTCATAGCATCATGGCTTTGAGATGTTCCAGGTCTCAGGTCTTCTGATCGCTTAGGTTCTTTCCTGCTCTTGTGCGAAGTTCTGGGAGATCCAGAGTCTAAGCCTCAACAAGAGTGAGACCCCGTGTTTTTCAACATCTTCAAAGGGTGCCTGCAGCATATCCCTGTGTTTTACAAGGGTTAATAAGAGAATAATCATAGAGAATGCAGGAGCACTGTTCATCTTTTCGATTCATCAGCTTGAAATCAGCCTCGCAGCTTTTCATTTTGAGGTTTGGACCAACGACAGTGTTGCCGTTGGGTGCCCGGGACCAGTGTTGGAACTGGATGACGGGGGCCAACAGTGACGTGCCAACAAGGCCTTCGCCTTCTCTGCAAGACCTTGCGCATGCTGCAGAGATGCAGGAGATGGGATGGAAATGACATCGAATCCAGTGGTGTTGAAGATGTTGGATCCATGTTGGATCCTCGAATTGTAAAGAGGGGCTCGCCTTTCCTTTGAATTGGGGAAACTGCTTTCTTAGTTGATATCTCAACAGTCAGAAGTGTCTCTGATGGCATTCCAGGCGCGTGCGAGCTGCAAAGCGTTGCGCCGCGCCATGAGACCTTTCAAAACTTGGCGCGTTGGGGACCCCCAGGTGCTTGAATCCTGGCAGGTATCAGTCCTCAACTGTGTGCATTGGCAGTTTTGAAACTGGAGCAACTCAGTGCATTTCCAAATCTAAGACCTGCCAGGCCACTCTTTTTGTTGGCGGGGAGGAATTTTGGTGCACATCATACTTTTGGAGTTCACAATTTGATTTGGCTCATACGAACTTGTCAATGCGCATGGCCTGCAATTTGACTCACCAGCTGAGAGCTTCAAATGTCAGGAATAAGATTGCAGACTCACAAGCTTCAGATCGTTTGAAACCTTCTTGACTTGTACAATATTGCGGTAACTGGGTCCTTTCACCCTGTAGGAGTAGGATGCTCTTTGGTTCTACTGCGAATTCACGCAGCCGCCATGGGTTCCCGGGTTCCTGCAACAAAAGGGTTCTCAATATGAATAGACTATAACAGAATTGATAGACTTGGAGACAGGAAACTAGATAAACTAGGCATCGGCTCTGGCGTAAGTTGGAGTATCCCCACAGCTGAACATCATCAATTTCTCCTCTTGTGGCATGATGTGTGGCCATGGCGTGCGAGCTGCGCCACTCCAGAGAGCGACTGAAGCAATGGGTGCAGGATGGGCTCTGACCGTGACTCCAGTGACCATCACTGCAGGAACATCATTGAACCAAATTGAACCACACTTAACGATGCAGATATTATCAGATATTTAATATAATGCATGTATATATATAATTATATATAATTAATTTTATATATATATGATGCATTAAATGCTGCAAGATCATTGCAAGGTAAGGCCACATCATGCCACAGCTAGTCAGCTGGTCCAGGGAGTCCGGTCCCCCAGGAGCATGGTACCAAGCGTCACACCAAGTCTGCTGCAGAGCGGGTGCAGGCCGCTGCTTGTTGCTGGGAAGAAAAGCAAGCCCGTTCGATCAGAACAACGTTGGGGAAATCACAGCATGAAGATATACTGTATATTATATATATAATTAATTATATATATAACACACACACATATATATATATACATTTATAATATGCATATATATATATATGTGTGTGTGTGTGTGTTAGCAGTTGCCCACAAGTTTAGTTTCGAATTATACGCTCATACACTCATACACTCATAGATACGTATGTACGTACGCACATACAAACATACAAACACACAAACACACAAACAAACAGACATACAAACATACAGACATACATAATCATACATACATACGTGCTTACGTACTACATACATCTATACATCCATACATCCATACATCCGTACATCCATCCATCCATCTATCCATCCATCCATATCTACGTACGTACGTACGTACCCACATCCATCCATCCATACATCCATCGACCCACCCACCCACCCATCCGTCCAGCCACCCACCCATACATCCATGGCATATACATACATGCATGCATGCATACAGACAGACAGACAGACAGACACAGACACAGACACAGACAGAGACAGAGACAGAGAAAGAGACAGAAACAGGGACAGAGTTACAGACACAGACAGAGACGGCGACAGAGACAGAGAGGGAGATAGATAGATGGATAGATAAGATCAGATCAGATCAGATCAGATCAGATCAGATCAGATCAGATCAGATCAGATCAGATAGGTAGATAGATAGATACGTAGGTAGATAGATAGATAGATGGATAGAGATAGATAGATAGATAGATAGATAGAAAGATAGATTAGATAGATCAGATAGATCAGATAGATTAGGTAGGTAGGTAGGCAGGCAGGGAGGTAGATAGATAGATAGATGGATAAATAGATAGATAGATAGATAGAAAGATAGATAGATAGATAGATAGATAGATACATATTTGTAGATACTTGTAGATACTTGTAGATACTTGTAGATACTTGTAGATAGATAGATAGATAGATTAGATTAGATTAGATTAGATTAGATTAGATAGATAAGATAGATAGATAGATAGATAGATAGATAGATAGATAGATAGATAGATAGATAGATAGATAGATAGATAGATAGATAGATAATTAGATAGATAGATAGATAGATAGATAGATTAATTAGATAGATAGATAGATAGATAGATAGACAGATAGATCGATAGATAGATAGATAGATAGATAGGATAGATAGACAGGAGGTAGATAGATCAGATAGATTAGATCAGATTAGATAGATTAGATAGATTAGATATCTGAGATAGATTAGATAGGTTAGATATATTATATTAGATAGATTAGATAGATTAGATAGATTAGATAGATTAGATAGATTAGATAGACTAGATAGATTAGATAGACTAGATAGATTAGATAGATTAGATAGACTAGATAGACTAGATAGATTAGATATTAGATAGATAGGATAGATAAGATAGAAAAGATAAATAAGATAGATAAGATAGATAAGGTAGATATAAAAGATAGATATAAAATATATAAAAGATAGATAGATAGATAGATAGATAGACAGACAGACAGACAGACAGACAGATAGAGAGATAGACAGATAGATAGGATAGGATAGGATAGATAGGATAGATAGATAGGATAGAGAGATAGGATAGGATGGATAGATAGATAGATAGACAGACAGACAGACAGATAGATAGATAGATAGACAGACAGACAGACAGATAGATAGATAGATAGATAGACAGACAGACAGACAGATAGATAGATAGATAGCTAGCTAGGTAGGTAGATAGATTAGATAGATCAGATAGATCAGATAGATTAGGTAGGTAGGTAGGTAGGCAGGCAGGGAGGTAGATAGATAGATGGATGGATAGATAGGATAGATAGATAGATAGATAGATAGATAGATAGATAGATGGACATGTATGCGCATGTGTGTAGTATAGTATGGTATATGGATACGCAATTGATGCGGCACAGCCCAGGGCTCTGCCGCACAGCTGGAGTTGCAAGTGGCCAAGCGGTGCCAAGAGTTGCAGCGATTGGAGGTTCGGGGTGGGATGTTGAGGAAGTTGCAGAAGAACTGATGGATGTCAGCTTGAACACAGATCATCGCATCAAGCCCTGATGAAGAATTTTCATGAATTTCTGGGATCATGTTCTGTTGCATGCAGGAACCTGCTGATACCCACTCCACCAGGAAAGTTTGCATCCGTGGGCAGGCAGAAGCTGCCAGGGTGCAGGAAGCGCTCGCGGTGGCCAAAACCAAGGTGCAAGAGGCTTGTCTCATTGCACCGGCGGGTCAAGTGGACGGACTGGAAATTGCCCAGAACAAACCTGGAAGTTACCAACTCAGCCTTGTGAGAAGGCAACGCCCTCTCATCGTCAAGTAGCGGAATGTAGAGGATATGTCTAGGAATGTCGCTAAATATAGAATTATTCTCTGTATACACATGCAGTTACACACGTATCTATCACATATAATGATAGAGCATCAAAACATATCAAAACATATCATGCAAGATGCATTGTGGCCCGTGAAATAGTTCCGTTTTGGGCCTACCAGGCCGACGCCCAGCAGGAGGCGGCGCAGCTGTCCTTGGCCAAGGAACTCCAGGCATCGCTGCGTGCCGAGAAGGAACTGCTGGAGCAGCTGGAAGAAATCGACGAAAGCATCAGGGCAGATGCCGCCTTGTGCCTGGTCCAGTTGAACCAGTTGAACCAGTTGACTCGAGCTCTGGAACGTTGAGGAAGATGCTCTGGAAGACATAGCTTAAATATGCTTAAATTATCTTAAATTGATGTTTGTTGACTTGTTGTATTTGCTTATCTGGGATGGGGTGGGGAGCTGGTTGGTGTGTTGAGTGACAAGGCTTGGAATAGAATGGAATGGATTGCATCATATCTTGTCCAGTCGTGGTATTCGCTTATGCGTGTGATATAAGCCAATTAAGCTGTTCACCCACATTTGGAGCGATTTGGAGGGTGCGATTTCCGGATTTTCAGACCAGGTTACCATACCACTCTCATACCATAACTTTAGATCATGTTATCCCATCTGTCCACCATTTTTATCCCAATCTTTATCCAATTTTTATTGAATTTTATCCAATTTTTATCCCATTTTCCACCATTGTGAAATCCCATGGGACCCCTCTGTAACTAGACTCTGAATTGTCGTGGATTTCCCTGGAAAAAACCATGGGTTTTCCATGGGTGTTTGGAACCCAGGTGCGACAAGGCCTCTGCTGCGGCCGAAGTCTCCAGCTTTCAGCTGCGCAGTGTGCGGTGTCAGCTGAAGCCTCTGGAGGCGCAGCTGGCACGCGAGGAGGCCTCGCAGGGCCTGGTGGAGGATTTAATGATATGGTTGATGGATAGTGAATAGTGGTTCCAAATGATGGATAATGATGGATGATAGTTAGTGGTTTCTATTGATAGATTTGATAGTGACCATACTCCCAGTTGATGGATGATAGTGGCGAATAGTGAATATCCAGATGGATGATAGTGATGAATATGAACCACTATCCTAAGAACCATTTTTGGTGATGGTTGATGGATGGTTGATGGATGATTGATGGATGGTTGATACTGTTGTGGTGAATAGTGGTAAATAGATAGTGGTTAATCGTTGTTAATAGTGGTTGATAATTAGTGGTTACTTCGTGGTTGATGGTGGTTAATAGGTGGTTAATACCATTATTGTGCATATAGATCATAATTCTATTAACTATTTTCAAAACTGCCAATTTTCACAGTGGGGTTCCCATTGCAATTTTGGATTACCGGAGGGTCATCATTGATATCCTGTGATAATCATCATTGATGATCCGAATCAGTTGATGATACGATTTCCGCCATAGAAAATGGATATAGCCATGTCTGATAGGTAAATCATCTACACATGGATAACTATCCGTGACTATGTCAAATGGTCAAATTACCGGAGGGTATCAGATTTGACAAATGTGCACTGCTTTTGCCAACTGGTCTGTTTTGGATGTTGGTGATGCTGTGAGCTCGAGTGGTTAGTGGTCATGGCGGTGTTTTCCCGTTGCGAGGCTGTTCTGGTGGCAATGTCTCAAGAGCTAGACGCAGGCTGGTGCTTGGTGGAACATGTTCCTGCCGATTTTCTTAAGGCGCTGTGGTTGTCGTTGCTTGGGTCTTGTGAGAGCACCCAGCTGCAGAGATTTCCAGGTCGTCAGCGCGCCGCGCAGCTGGCCTCAGAGGCCGCCCAGGCAAGGCAGAGAAAGGAGCATTTTGGAGCAGTTGGGGTCTGAGATGGTGACCCGAGCGAGCAACTCCATCAATCACCACGAAGTCAATGAGTCATCCGGAGCAACATAGAGCAACACCTTACTTGTATCCTCATCAGTTGATGCTATGCCGCTATGCATTGCTATGACTTTGTAATGTGCGGCCCATGCGGATATGTGTTGATCACCTGCTTCAAGGTCCGAGAGCCACTGGTCGCGTACTTCGCCGCCCGCGCTTACCAGGAACAATCTGATTGGTTGAATGTCTGGTGCCAGCTTCAATCCTTGTCCTTGAATAGGGTGAGTTTCCAAAGAGAGATGAGAGAGTCACTAGGGTCACTAGAGTCACTAACCCAAACCACCGGACCACGCTCAAAGCCTCAAAGCATTGAATGGACGCCATTGGAGGACTGGGAGTCCCAACGTGCTGACGCCCTGCATCGTCGCTTGCTGCTGCGACGCTGTTTGAGGGGCTTGGTGCAATGGCGCCAGGCTGCTCCCAAATTGAGAGCAGAAGTGGAGCCTCAGATGGCACAGGTGTAGGGGTCATCGACGTCGATGAGAGCTCTGAACAATCAGCTTTTAGTTCTGCTTCATGTCTTGTACATGCAAAACAGCAAAGGTCTCAAACGACAAACAACATTCAACGCAGCTGAAACAAAAGTGTGCATCTACAGTAAGGTGTGCACCTGGATTCTTCAACCTGACTTGGATTCACATGGATTCACCTCGCTGTATGATTCTCTTGGCTCCAGAATTCTGCGCATTTGCATCCCGGCGGTTGCTGGGCAAAGCGGTGAAGCGTGAGCACCCAAGCACTTGGCTGGGTGTAGCGTGTGTAGCGTGGCATGGCGCAGGGCTACCCTGCGGGGAATGCATTTGGTGCGGAAGACCAGGAACGTTTACTTGATGAAGCTACTGCTGTGGTGAAGGAGCAGGCCTTCTACATGAAAAAGGCCATTGATTCTGACAACGTCAGAGAGGCCCTCAAAAATGCATCCAACATGATCTGTGAGCTGCGAACGTCCTTGCTCTCACCCAAGAACTACTTTGAGCTCTACATGCAGGTCTTCAATGAGATGCAGCACCTCGCAGGATTCTTTGGCGACAAAACCCGCCACAAAAAGAAGATGATTGACCTCTATGAGTCAGTGCAGCATGCTGGCAACATTTTGCCTCGATTGTACCTGCTTGCCACTGTGGCAGCTGCGTACATCAAATCCCTAGAAGCTCCGGCAAAAGAGATCCTGAAGGACGTGAATGAGCTATGCAAAGGAGTTCAGCATCCCCTTCGTGGCTTGTTTCTTCGTTACTACTTGTCCCAGATGCTCAAGGACAAATTGCCGGACACAGGATCTGGCTTCGAAGGGGAGGGAGGTGACATCAATGATGCCTTTGATTTTATTTTCACCAATTTCAATGAGAGCAACCGATTGTGGGTCCGCATCCAGAACCAGGGGCCAGCCAGGGAAAAAGATCGGCGAGAGAGGGAGAGGCACGATCTACGTGTCCTCGTAGGCGCCAACTTGGTTCGTTTGAGCCAGTTGGATGGGATGACTATGGACTTCTATGCCGAGACAGCCTTGCCCAAAATCTTGGACCACATTGTGTCTGTCAAAGACACGCTCTCGCAGCAATATCTCCTTGAGAGTATGATCCAGGTTTTTCCGGATGAGTTTCACATTCGCACGCTGGAGCAGGTGTTGTCGACATATGCTCGGGCTTTGCCGAGTGTTGACATGAAGCCCATCATGGTCACACTGATGAATCGCTTGGCCACCTATCTTTCAGAGGCAGACCCTGCAAAGGTGCAGCAAGCTGGAGACATTTTCTCCCTGTTCCGCACTCATTTGCAAGGGATTTTGGAACGGGCACTTCAGCCGCAGGGCCAAGGGGGCGCTGCACCCGTTCCGGACATTGCACCAGCTTTGGAGGTGTTGGCCGCATTCATGCAATTTACGGTCTCTCTTTACCCAGACCAGGTACACTATGTGGACATCATTCTGGGATCAGCAGCGGAGCTGCTCCAGAAATTCAAATCCACAGGCTTGGGGACTTTGTCAGACAAGGCTGTGGATCAAGTTGGTGAGTTGCTGGCGGGTCCTATGAAGACCTTGGGCTTAGGAGTGCTGAAGATGGAGCACTTTGTGGCCTTGGTGAGCTTCCTGAACTTTGAAACCAGGAAGCAAACTTCTTTGTCCATGGTCACCGCCATTGTGGAGGAGGATCGGCCACTGAGCAGCCTTGATGATGTGAAGGCCTTATTCAGCTTCATCTCCCCATTGGTGAAAGATGAGGCAGACACCCCCGCGGATGAAGGAAAGGACAAGGCACGTTTCGCTGAGGAGCAGCAAATGGTGTGCAAGTTGGTGCATCAGATTCGACATGAAGATACCGATGTGGAATACCAGATCCTCACAGAGATGCGTGGATCCTTTGGGCAGGGAGGTCCTCAGCGGCTGATTTTCTCGTTGCAGCCCATCTTCTTCGGAGCCTTGGGGCTGGTGCCAAAGATTCAAGCACGAGAAAAACGGCGAGCCGAGGAAGGAGATGAAGTGGTCCCCCCGCCAACCATCAGCCTGAAGAAGGTGTTCCAATTCTTACACCGAACCAACACGGCACTTATGCAGTCCTCCCCAGACATGGCCTTGCAGTTGTGGCTCACAGCTGCTGTGGCTGCTGACCAAGTGGAGCGTGCCACAGGTGCACAGGGCAACTTTGAGCCCATTTGCTATGAATTCCTCACCCAGGCGTTGGTGCTCTTTGAAGAGGAGATCTCGGACAGCTCCAAGCAGTACAAGGGAATTCATGCCATCGTCGGGACGCTTTGCAAGATCGTTGCTTTGGACCCGGAGAACTTTGACACCGTCTCCCAGAAGATCACCAGGCATGCTGCAAAACTCTTGAAGAAACCCATGCAGTGCCGAGCTGTTTCAGCGTGCTCGCAGCTGTTCTGGTGCGATGCACGCAGGGATGCAAAGCGAGTGAGGGAATGTCTCGAGAGGTGTGTGAAGACATGCGAAACAGTGGTTCAGTCAGACCCATCACAGACTGGCCTTTGGGTGGAGATGTTGGACAGATACATCTACTACTTTGAGGTGAACTGTGAGGAGGTGGATGTTGACTTCTTGCAACGGCTTTTGGCTATTTGTGTTGAACACATCAACTTTGCCTTGAAGGATCAGCAAGCTGAAAAGGATGCCAAGAAGGCAGAAGACCACTTGAAGTCAACTGTGGCCTACCTGAGAAAGATGAAGGAGACTTCCCCTCGCTTTGCCGAGCTCAAGCTGAACTGAGAGTCCTGCTGATGTAGAATAGTTATTGCTTAGTTGGACACTTGCCAGGCCTTGGCTGGACCGAAAAAAAGGAACAAATCACGAGCTGCCGGCATTCGCACCAGAGATTGGAACCATTGGTAAAAGGTAAACCAATTGTAAACCAGGTATCATCATGATGCCCTGGGTGCAACTCAGCTAGACTCAGCCAGATACGATGCACTAAGGATGCCCTCAGAGAGCGACGGCAGCAAGTGCAGCTGCGCTTCTACTGGTCAGACTGGGCAGCTTTAAGAGCTGCTCAGCAGAGAAGAAGCATCATTTTTCACATGCAGCCGTTATCACAATGGCTCGAAAACGAGTTGAAATGTGTTAAAAACGATTTAAAATGGATGTCCTTTCTCAGGCCTGTTCCGTACAGCCCACCTGTTTGTCTCTGTGGCACTGCAGGTCCATGTTTCATGCTTTTTCAGTTCGCTGGGGTCCCAGGACCGATGGCGCCGTGTTCTGCGCATGCTCGCATGGCTTCTTGGATGCAGCATCCGGAACGTGTGGAAACACGCTGACAGTCAGGTAAGTGTACAGTGTAAGATCAGAATACATCAGAGCAAAAAAACGTGGTCGTTTCAGACCACAGAAGCAAGAGAAGTGGTTGTCCAATGGCATGATCTCAATTAAAAGCCGTGACTGCTAAACATATTGGTGGCATTTCTCCATCAATGATTCATCCATGAACGATCCTGACTTTTCCACACATTATGACATAGCTGACATAGCTACCGTGATCCCCAGCGTGTCCGCAGTCGTCGTGGCACGAGACTGGCCGGCGGGTCGCTGGCGCAGCTGCCTGAGGAGGGAGCTAGTAGCAGCACTGAGAGTTGAGCCGACCGAAGCCAACCGAAGCCAACTCAAGCCAATAAGCAACATCAATACAGTATAAATTGTAACACATGTCACATATATAGCAAGAAATAACCGGACATGGCAATGAAATGCAATGAATAGGAAGAAATAACGATACACATCCAAACGCCCGTATCACGTTGGTGATGCGTGGCTGCGTGACCAAAGGTCGTGCTCTTTCAGGATCCGAAAGGCCAAATATTCAACAAACGAACACAAGACACAGATACACATGAATGACATATGAATCATAAATCATGTAATTTCATATGCATATGATGGATGATGATGGATGCATAAATGGCAATGATACAGGTTGTACACAGATAATAAATGATGAATAATATACATAATAATATTAATTAATGCTGATACTGTAGATAGATTTAGACTTTAGACATATTTAGATCTAAATCTATAGATAGTTTGACTGTGGCAGTCACCGGTGCCGCCGTGTGCGGGACCGCCATGTCCATCTCCCTCTCCGTCACGCTGCTCAGTGGCCGTGGTCGCGTGATTACCTTGTCGCCAGATTCCACGGTGGAAGATCTGAGACTTCAAGCACAACTCAGCTTGAAAGTAGGATTGGAAAGACTGGTCACGGAGTCAGGTGGAACATGCCCAAATTTGCCCAAATGTCAAACATGGTCAAATATTGTCAAAGACAGCTCTAACTTGGAAGCTTTCAGGCAACAGCGGTGAATTTGGAGATCATGTCATGTATATTTCCCCCCTTGGTTTTACTACGGCAGTGGGATGTTTGACATTGTTTGACTCTTGCCACAGGTGTGATTTTACACGGGAAATCGACCTTGCGAGCAGCCAATCTTCAAAACGGGGCGACGGTGACAGCGCACGTACGCCAAGCACAGCTGGTGTCATCTGCGCTGGCGTTTGCTCTCCTACGTCCTGATGGAACGGTAGTGACTTGGGGCAATGCCATCGATGGTGGAGACAGCAGTGCGGTGCAGGATGAGCTGAAGGACGGCTGCTTTCGTAGGGGACAATGACAGGGCGCTTATGGGATGAAACATGTCTTGAAAGGCTTTCTTCTGGTATTTTCTCAATTGATGTTGGTCTGGATCCTAGTATCAATCAATATCAATCAGGCGTTTTAGCGGCACAACATCTGGATGTTGAATGCAAGTCAGACAGGCTATGTTCCCAAACCACCCAAGCCCAGCCAAAACCATACCACATCCCGGTTCAGACCTGCAAAAGACGAAGCTCTCCAAGAGCCAACCTAGTCACCGGTCATGTCGTATACCCTCTGGTAAACTAACATAGCTATTGAAAATGGCCATTTATAGTTGATTTTCCCATTAAAAATGGTGATTTTCTATAGCTATGTTAAATTACCAGAGGGTAAACCCGATAATCTGCCACCAGGATGTGAACCAGATCCAATCTTCTTTGCATGCTTTTGCTGCAATCCGGTCTGATGGGAGCGTTGTGACCTGGGGAAAAATGGATGATGGTGGCAACAGTAGTGCAGTGTCTCCTGTCTCTGAAAGTGGAAATGGCTGGGACCGGGCTGATGCAGATCCTATGCAACATGTGGGGCAGGGAATGATGGAAAGAGAACTGGCACTTTGTCATACTTTGTCTCTCCTGTTTGTCCTTTATTAACCCTGGTGCAAGAGATTGCAGCATAGGGTGAACAAGCAAGCAGTACCAGTAGCATTGCCTTCCACAGCCAAGAAGTCGTGTAAGATCTTGTAAGCCATAAGCCAACAGCTGGACCATTTGTTGTCCCAAGGCAACACCAGCTTCGAGATGTGAAGCACATCCAGGCCTCTTCAAGGGCCTTTGCCGCAATTCGGGCGGATGGAAGCGTTGTTGCCTGGGGAAATCCGTGCTATGGTGGCGACTGTTCCAAACAGCAAGATCAGTTACTTCTTCCTGGTTTAGACTGGAGCATTGGAGGGGTTGTGCGATATCATTTCTTGATCTGGATGTGTGTTGGTAAGCTTTGACGATACTTTCACCCTAAATTTGGCTGAAGGGAACGGAGTTTGGGAATTTCTCTTTCCTTTTTCCAAGCCAACCCACCAGAGCCCCCGAAAAAGTCGCTCCCTTCCTTTAAAAAAAAACATATCAGAACCACATCAACACCAAAATACCCGTCGAGAAATATCAACCAAAAGCATGTCCCCGAGCTGTTTCTCTTTCCTTTTTCAAAGCCAACACCACTTGAACCCCCAAAAAGCCGCTCCGTTCGCAAACCATACCAAAACCATATAAAAATCATACTATATCTCAAACCATATCTAAGTCATAGTCCAAACCATATCACATGACAAAAGCATATCGAAACAGAACCCCAAATTCAAAGCGTATTCAAAGCACATCTTAAAATCATATCAAAACCATTATTATAAGCCTAGTGATCCTGAGTTCAAGAGTTAAAGCTTAAGGATTCCCATAAAGCACCAAGATTGACCTAGTGAAAGGAGTGCAGCGTTTGCCAAGTGCCAACTTTCTTCTGGTGCAGCCCTAGCTATGCAGCTGCACTCAGGTTGAGGGATGTGACGCAGATCCAATCCTCGAGAGACACGTTTGGTGCCTCCTTTGCAGCGCTTTCTTCGGATGGTCGAGTCGTCACTTGGGGTGCAGACACCGGTGACAGCTCCAGCAGCTCTGTTCGATCGCAGCTGATCAACGTGGTGGCCATCCAAGCAACGGCCTTCGGAGGCTCCTTCGCAGCCCTGAAATCTGATGGCTCCGTCGTCTGCTGGGGGAGTCCCACTTCAGGCCGGCCCTAAAAAAAATGTCATGGCGTTAGATGTTGACACATCATGGTATAGAGACATGAACATCATTGAACAGCTAGGTTTGGAATTTAAATTCTGTTTTTTTAAATATATATATATATTAGATTGAGACATTTAAAGGATTTAAAGAGTAAAAGGTAGATAAATGGATTACATGAAAAACATAAACCAAAGAATGTATACCCACTCATCTATTCCGTCCATTCCGTCCATTCCACTGTTGAACGTTTCCCGGCTTGAAATTTTCATTTTCGGTTCATAGATGCAACATGAAGTAAAGTGTCAGTGAGCACACGCACAACTTGCGTCACTGAAGGTGGGGACAGCAGTGCTGTGCAAGATCAATTGTTTGACGTTCACCACATCCAGGCTACAGAAAGTGCATTTGCCGCAATCCGTGGCGATGGGGTGGTTGTTTGCTGGGGCAATCCACAAGATGGTGGCGACTGCACCGATGCCCAGGAGCAACTCATCGATGTGAAGCATGTTCAGGCAACGACCAAAGCCTTTGCTGCGATCCGCGCAGACAAGACCGTGGTGACTTGGGGCAGTGGCAGCTGTGACTTGGATGGGCACATCCCAGTTACCCAGTTACTTTTCCCAATATTTCCCAATTCAAGTGGCTTTGTAGGAAAGAAAGGGGTGGGGTGTTTTCTGGTTCCCGGAATGGTGCTTTTCCTTCTCCAGCCTTATCCAGCCCATTCCAGCCGCATGTTTACCCCGAGATGGTGGCGACAGCAGCGAAGTGCAAGACCAGCTGAAGAACGTGGAGCACATCCAGGCAGCGTCATTGGCTTTTGCCGCATTGAAATCGGATGGATCAGTGGTAACTTGGGGGACCTCAGATGCGGGTGGCGACAGCAGTTGTGTTCAAGATCAGCTTCATGATGTGACCCGGAACCTCCGATTTGCTTGATTTTGTTTAATTTTGTTTCTTAATTTTGAGGTTGGGACCTGCATTACCAAAAACAGCCGCCCTTTCCGACTCATGGAGAGAGAGAGAGGGGGAACTCATGGATCCAGTTTCCAAGGATTCAAGTTTCAAGAGATGGCGTGAGATGCTCCTTTGCTGCCATCCGGCAGGATGGCAAGGTAGTGACTTGGGGAGATCCCAGTAGCGGGGGGTGCTGCCGTATGGTGCGAGATCAGCTCTTCGATGTGCAGGAGATCCAGGGAACAGAGAATTGCTTCGCAGCCATCAGATCCGATGGAGGACCGCCACTGGATAGGAGACAAGGATAGATAAGGGATTTGTCCCAAAGCCAATGGGTGATCCCCAAACCATTCGGATTTTGCACGCTACCGATTTGTACACATTGAGATATGAGTGACGGCATGTGACGGCCTTTTCTGGCTGAAGTTAAGAGTAGTCCTGGGGTGGCTTGTCAAAAACACGATATTTAGGTTGCAAAGCAAGGCAGGAGCACCGCGACAACGAGGTAGGTATTGCATTGCACGCATTTAGCTATTAAAGACAAGTGCGGTTTTTGAGAACGAGGTCAGGCCTCCAAAAACTGTACAGGAATGGAGTAGGAACAGCCCGTTGAGCACATGATGTACCAAACGCAACTCCAAACGCTTTCCACTAGTCACTACTCAAATGATCTCAAATGCATATTTGATGCAACTCGTGGGATACTTTTGGATGCTTTCGCTGGATTTTCAAAGGGTTCATGGTCCCAACATATTTTTCTTGCACCCATTGGGCTTGATTGAGATTTGCCAGGAGTGGTGACGTGGGGCAACGGAGACTTTGCTCCGGATTTCTACGCTGCCCAGGAACTCCTCCAGGATGGAAACCTCTCGGGGCTTTCAGGGCTCTTCCCGGCAGGCTATGCGGCCATTGGCTCTGATGGTTCGGTGCTGAACTTCGGTGCCGTTGGAATGCAGCCACAGCCGCCACAGCCGCCGGAGCCGCGGGTTCAGTCCGGCCGCTGAGCTGGGGCTTGCCGCTCAGCGCCGATGATTGGAACCGAAGAAAGTTGATTAGTTGAGAGGAAATGAGCCGTTGTGCACTTTAGGGTGCAGATGGTGGTCCTCGTTTGCATCAGCTTTGCGACTCGACTCTTTTGACTCTTTTTCAATCAATACCTCTCCTTTTTCAATCTTTTTCAGCTCAAACTAGACCTCTTTGCACTGGGACAAAAGGAGAGGCTGTGCGGAGTGAAGTGCCGACAGATGCTGTGTCAGTCTTGAGATTTTGGATGCTGAGGGGGCAAGCGGAATTTAGCAATCACACTCACACACGCACATGCAACAGGCACATTGGTAATGTGGAGCAAAGTTTGCTCTAGTATCCCAAGATCAGACATGATCAGACACGATCAGACAACTTATTATGACCTAGTAACAACTGCCTATGCAACCATAGTTGCCAACCAGTTGGTATCAGTTGGTAGCTTGAAACTGAGGCGGTCGCAAAGTCAAAGGTTTCCAGCGCCTTCGTGCACTCAGGACATTTCAGAGGTGGAGCACCTTCGCTGCAACACGACCGCGCCGGCGCTGGCTCCTCATGCGCTGCTGGAGGGTGTGGCAATCTGCCAGGCGAGAGGTGTTTTTTTTTGGGTTGGGAGTCTCATCTCAGTCCATGACAGAGATACAATTTTTGGCAGATTCCATGTGTTAAACGAGGTACAAGTGTGGCAGCTTATTTCATTTGGTTGCTGGGTCACTGTGCTACTTTGCCCGATTTCAAACTGTGGCTTTGAGGCCATCAGTAAGATGTACCTTTGTTGTGCCCTACGTGGTTGCCGTAAGAATTTTGCCTTATGTTTCTGGGATTTTCTGGAAAACCATAATCCCTTTTTTTTGGGGGGTCAAACGGCCTTGACCATTTTTTTGGTCATTACGGCTTTGAGCGTTTGGAGCCACTTGTGTGAGAGTTGCTACGGCTCTTTACGGCCTTTTTTCAACAAAATGTCGAAACAATACGGTTTTGCTACGGGTAGGCTTGTTTGAGAGCTGCGACGGCTTTATACGTTTTTTTTCTCAACACAATGTCGAACAAATACGGTTTTGCTATGGGTAGGACTGCAATATTCTTTTGATTTGACATTATTTTTAAGGTCATCACGGGTAAAAACAATATTTTACTAAAAAATGATCATTACGCCTTTTCCCCATAATGACCAGAAAATGTTATGTCATTCACCAGACAATTTGTTTGGCAAGGACTCCCCTGAGGGCGACTGCTGTCCTGGAAGCAGCTCAGATTGACAGCTTTGCAAGTCGCTGGAGCAGACACAGGCAGGGACCCAAGGGTTAAGTCCAAATCCGACGTTGCGGTGGACTCGGCGAGTCTTACATAATTTTGCATCCCATACCGACCCTTCATGGGGCCCACCAGGGCTGGATTTCAGGCCCCATTGATACACAGCATTGAAATGCATTGAAAGCAAACTTGGCAGTTTGCTGCGCGCCTTCCGTGGCTGGCGGCGCACCAGCTGGCAAGCACTGCGGAGCCGGAATTGGCTGACTCAACGGTGGCGTCACAAAGGTGCCATGGCGGCGAAGCAAGCGCTGCAGCATTTGCGGGCGGTGGTGCAGCACAGGTCGTCGCGGGAGCGCTATTTCTGTTGGACGCTCGGACAATCTGCTCCGTGGGTCATGCTGCAGGAGACGGAAGTTGGTGTCCTTGCTCATTGACATTTGCCTGCGGGTGTCGAAACCCAAGTTCCCATAGGGACAACAACAATTCATCCAAGAACATCCAAAAACCATAAAATTGGTGAATAGCACATCGCTTGGAAATAGCCCAAGTATAGCCCAATGGCCCAGCGTATATGCTATTCACACAGAAACCTCAAGTGAAAGTATATCTCCAACCCAGGCTTTGGCGCCGCATGGTGAAATGCTTGGGCCGTGGCCATCCCTTCCCAGCATGGCGCTGTTGGGCCAAGCGACGGCAGGCGGCACAAAAAAGAGCAGAGGCGGGTTTGTCCCATGGGGTCCCGCTGCAAATCATTATCGATTTGCTATGCGGCTATTCCGCTGTGCCTAATGTGGCCGACCTATGATCATCAGGGTGTCATGATCTCCTGCATGATTCATGGCAATATAATTATTCATATCATATTCCAGCATTGCTGAATCGATCAGCTCCATCCAGTTGAAACGCAAGCACAGGTTCGCTTGGCTCAAAGCTTGCAACCTCTCCTGGCACTTGAGAGCTGCAGGACAGGGTGATCAGGGTAGGGCACCGGGGGATTGTGCAAATTTGTCAAGCCTTGGGGTCTTGGATCAGCTGGGAGCGTAGGACTGCCTGGCTCCAATGGCATGGCCTGCTGCGACTGCGGATGGATGCCAGGATCAAGGCAGCCGAAGCCCTGCGGGCGCCGCAGGGTGTGACGTGCCAAAGATCCAAACGCAGCATGGCCTGAAGTTCACCGGAGTCGGTCGGGGCAATCGCCAGTTCACTGCTTGAAACCGAAGCAAGTTGGACATGTTGGACATGTTGGACTGCCTCAGCTTTCACTTCCAAGATCTTCCAAGACTATGAGTGGAGGCATGCTAGAAGCAATCGGTTGCAGTTCGTCCTTAGTACACACTAGCTTGTTGCCAGGCCGGTAGCAATGGATTGGACTGCCAGATTCTGACATGCAGGGAATGCTCTGCAGAAATCACCATGAATCATATCATAATTATTCATAACTTCATAACTGTTGAATTCATACGCGGCGATGTCCGACTCTGTGTATGAAATTCAGTAGCCCGATCTTTCTGCCAAGGACGTTGCTTGGCCATTCTCATGACTGAAGTGCGCTTGGCCAAGGCAGCTAGGACTCTTGGATGCAACATGGGACATTGATGGACAGGATAAACATGCCGTGCTGGCAACCAGTTCACTGCCCAACTGCTGTACCGCGTTTCCAAGGTGGGTGTCTGGTTTGGTCCGTGTCTCACATGTTCAGCATCTCATCCACAGCTGGTATGATCTATGGTGCTGCCGCAAGGGCCAGCGGAGCCTGATGCTTGGACAGAGCAATGTGGATGGGAGACCATTGTAGGGGAGGTGGCCAGCACCTCAAAATGGAGCGAACTTTCTTGAGATCTTGACCATTGACATGGGTTGCGATGCTAGTTCTCAACTTGATGTAAATACAGCAAGGGAAATCTGCTATTGAATGCTATTGTTTGTATTTGTGTTGAAAGTTTTGCGAGCTCCTTCGTTCTTGATTGCATGTGTTTGGTACATTAACGAAATCTTTTCTTGCCACTTTATGGTTCCTCCACTGACTCCCAAAGATCCCCAGGATGATCTCAGCTGATCTCAGGATCTCCCGCATCCAACGCAGTTGTTTGGCCACCACCCTGGTCGCCTGGCTGCGCACCACCCAGCGCCGGCACCGGGCGGGGCCGGCCGCTGAGAAGTTGACGGCCCTGGCGCGGCAGGGACGCGCACGACGTGTGCTGCGAGACTGGCTGCTGGCCACAGCACGGCAGGTCGGCCATGGAAAAGCTTTGGGATGCTTTGGCACCAGTAGCCTCTGTAATCAGCCCAGTATGTGTGCATTGATTGTTGCGGATGGATCCAACAGACCCACTGCAATTACGTAGTCTCAGTGGGTGAGACTGGCCATGTGGGACAAAATGCCATTGCCATTTTTGATGTGCAGATGCCTGGTGATGTCAGATTTGCAGGTGGTAGCGCAGAGGCCTGCATCCCCTGCAAAGGAGGCGCATCCCGCCGTTTCACACTTTTTGAAAAACCACCACACCACGCAAAATTCCTTTTAACATTCCTTAGCTGTTCAACTGCGGCAATAGCAGTGCTTGGATGTGCTTGGATGTGCTAAAAATGTTCGGTGGGCCTTTGACTTTTCTTGACGAACTTGAGCCTTTCCCCTCTGAGAGGTACACAAGTTGAAACACGAGCTGGCAATGGTGCAACAGCGAGTGATGCCAAGAAAGCATTGGCAGTTTCATCATGTGATTCACTCTGAAGTTGTACCCAGATGGAAGTGTTGCAGCCTCATGTCACATTTGGTTTCCCAGCCTCCCACTTAGGACGCTTAGAATCAGCTGGTACTTGCTGAAAATAGCCTTTGTCAATTGTCAATCCTCCATTTCAGTTGCAGCTTTCATGCTCTTCCCATGGTCCGGAGTTTGATTGCTTGAGGAGCAGACTAAAAGATGGACACGGGCAACTGCAACAGGTGTCGGGTTGGGATGTGCCGCCGCCCGTTCGGCTGGGTTGAAAAGGTTGATGCCTGACATTGCCTGACATTGCCTGTCTGACGCAGCAGGAAGCGGTTGCCTGCCGGAATCAATTGAACGCCGCGGAAAAAGCGGCAGAAATGGCGAGGACTGAAGAGCAGAAAGCTTCCCTCGAATACCAGGCCGGCCGGTTTGAACATTTTGCTTGCCTGCACCCCCTGATTTGCAAACTGAGGGCTTTCAACACGGGGGTTCAAGCTCCACGATTTGCAATCGGTTGGGGAGTTGATGGCGGCGGAGTGCATTGAGCGCATTCAGTACAGGCTTACATGGAAACCATGGAGAAGCGTCACGTCGATGTGGAAGGAAGTCTATGTGAGGCGGGGTATTTCCAGCAGGGTGGGCAGGTCCTGGTAACTTCCGGCCCCGGGGCACTAGAATGTGAATGTTGCAAGATGCTTTGAGATGACTTGAATGTGTATTATATAATTGTAAATCATGTGCCCACGGAGACACATTCTTTATAGTCTAGCAATGCTTGAGTATAACATAGAATAACAATATGTATAACAGCCCGGATGCTATGACCTGGTGGTAGTTCCAAAAGCCACAGCAATGGACAGAAGGCCTTGCGGCGGAACTGCTGCTTGGCGCGGCAGCTGATATCTGCGCAAGAAGCCAGCGCCGTGGGAGAGAAACGCTTGGAAGCCTCAGAAGAGTCGGGAAAGCCAGATGATACGAAAAACATCGAAAAACCCTCCTTTGAAAGCGGATTGGATGGGGATTGGTGTAGGTTGGTAGGGATGTCAGAATATGTCAGATGCATATGCCAGCCGAAGTGCCATCCTAGCACCCTTTGTGCCAACGTTACCTGTCCGTCGGTCCATGGTAAGGTCAGCTGCAGTCTTGCGCTCCCAGATGGAAGCAGCCGAGGGGCAGCCACCTGGCCGAGTTGGCGAGCGGGTGAATTAACCATGGCCAAAAGCTGCAGGAAAACTTAGGGTGCAGTTTGACATAGTTTGACAATAGGTCCATGTTGGATAGCAAGATATAGCAAGTCTGTGTCTTGATGTTTTTGGATTTCTTTGACCGGGCTGAATCATAGCATATCATAGTCATAGCCATTGCTCAGCTTTTTTCAGCTGTGAATCCCAATGATATGGGTGCCTTGTTCCAACATGTTCCAACAGCGAGGTATGTGGCAGCTATGGCCATCCTATGCTCCGAAACCTTGCGATTGCGGGAGCATCGGGAGCAACTTGCCAAGGAGCCCAGGGGGATCCAGGAGGATCCAGGGGGAATGGCAAAAATCTACGGCATATGATGTGTATTACATTGACAAACATTGACATGCCACAATGATGACTTAATGATGACATAATGCTAAGACTAGACTTGTTTCTGTTGGCGGGAAATTGCATCTAGAACCGTTGACATTCTGATTAGAAGCCAGGCAACACTGTGCCTAGCGCTGCAAGGGTCAGTGGTAAGGAGTTAGGAGGTGAGAGAATTGGCTAGGGGCGGCTTTCCGAATCTTGCCAGGGTCCGTTGACAACTTCGATGCCCTCCCAGCCCAGTGACTGGGAACAGGAAGTGTGAACCTGCGCAGCGAAACCTGGTGCAAAGTTCTCCAGGTTTTGCCCAGCAACCTTGCTGTGGCAGCTTGAAGGCTAATGATACCCGCAAAATGGATGCCAAATTGCTCGATGCATCTTCATAATCCGGCCAAAACTCTGCATGAAACAAACTATAACTAATCTTTGCGAAGTGAAACAAATCTGAAGAGACTTCTCTTGAACAGGCACGTAAACCTCGGCCCATTCTACTGAGCAAAATATGCTGACCTTACAAGTGATTTTCTCCGTGAGGTTAGCGTCTATCGAAGTGGTGCTACGCAGCGGTGGAGGGTGCGGGTCATGGTGCCCCATAGTGACTAAGCCATAGTGCCCCAAGAGATCCCAAGAGTCTCAACCGAGAAACGAGAGTTTTTTAGGGGCTCCAGGTGGCCTCGGCAAAGTCACTTTCTGACTTTCTCTTCTTGTCCGGTTCTGTGTGATTAACACCACTGACCATGACCGCAAAACCATGACTGACCGATGACTGGTTTCACTTCAGTCTCCTGAAGTGGCCATCAAGATTGGGGAAGCCATTGCGCCAGCCGGAGCACCGAGAGACGGCGGCTACATTTTTTAGACCACGCAGCTTCATAAGTTGTAAGAAATTGCCACTGAACAAAAGGTTGAGACACAGATGATTACTATGATTCATTATTATTATTGTTGGTCCTTGTGTGACGTTTCAAAGTTTCAAGTAATCTTTGTTGCCATCCTTCTTACTAATTATTCTTCTTGCAGTTTTCTTTTTTTTTTTTCTTCTTCTTCTTCTTCTTCTAATGTTTATCAATAATTTATAATATATAATGTAGCATCAGATGTTCCTACCTGAATGAGATATACTTATTTATATAGGACCTATAGGATCTCCAGATTCAAATCCAACATGCTCAGCTTCTCTGTCGCCTGTCGCATCGCTGAGGCAGGTAGCATTGCTTTATCTCCAAGCTGCACAGCTGGACCGCAGGTGCATCCCCCCACAGCAGATTCGTTGGGCCCTGCACTGCCCTGTTGCACAACTGGGATTCGTTCGGTTGGAAGTTGCTTGGATAAGCATGTCTCTCCATAAGTTGCTTGGAGATGAGCTGCCCGCAGCCATTTTTTTTCGATTGCAATCAACATCAATCAACAAACCGCCCAGAAAGTGCTTTGAGATGTTGCATTCAGAGACTCCTCGTGTGTTCCTGTTTTGCGGAGAAGGGGCCCACAGCGAAGAGACCGACATCGCTACTTAGCAACAACAAGCGGTTAGTTCTTGGTAGTTTTTCTTATTCTTTAACCCCTAAAATGAAACAAAAGGCATCAAACGCGCAGAACATGATAAAGCAGATTTCTGTTTCCTTTTTCATCCAGTTCATTTTGAGAAAAATCTTTGGGACATTTTGGGACCATCATGGACCTGTCGTCAGGCTCTCTTGAAATCCTGTGGATCCTGGTCTGTTGTGGAAGATGCCCTGCAGCAGTTGGGCTTGGGGGAAAAATTGGAGCCTTTCCTACTGCAGAACCTCGGCCGGCACAATGCGCCCACATCTCCCGTGGTATCCGTTGTGCTCAACATTCTCAATGCGGATCTGTGGCGGCGGCGCCTTGGATTGCTCTTAAGTTGAGAGACATTCGGAAAATCACAAAAATAATCAAACCATCCACACTTGTATAAACTTAGTTATAAACTTTCAGATTTTTCAGGGTTGAGGCTTTGCCCCGACTTTTTTCACAATCTGAACTTTCTCAATGCTGTTTGAGGTGGGGTGAGGTGCCGTCCCTGGTGCTTGGCCACTCCGTGGGTGAGATCGCTGCGGCCTACGCTGCGGGCATTTTCACGGTGGCCGAGGCCCTTGGCTGTGCTCATGGCCTGGGCCTTGCCATGCAGAACCTGCCGGGCGCCATGCTGCATGTTGAGCTGCAGCGGAAGTCCCTGGAATGCTTGGAGGACAGGTTTGTGGTGACGGTAGCTGATGATGGAGATTGTGGATGATTGTGGATGATTGTGGAGAGTGTGGAGTTTGGGTTGGGGTGTGGGAAGTAACATGGCACTGTTGAGAAATTTGAGGTGCATCAGTGACTCTTTCGTTGGGAAAGTGCCTGCATATGTACATTGATAATTCATTGAGATAGTTACTATAAATGTTTACGGCTGATATCGGTGTGTATGAAAAAGAGACCCGTGTAAGGCAGGAGCTACAGGAATTTGTATTGCCATTCAGAGTCGTGGTTGTGGTTGTGATTGTTGTTGTGGTTGTGGTTGTTCTCGTCGTTGCCCTTGTCGTCAGCTGTGCAGTCCAGTGATAGCCACTGGCATGAACGGTGGCCATACAGGACGGATTCCATGTGGCAGCCCTGAACTATGTAGTGTCAAAAGGAGCCACTGAGGAAGAGGATTTGCTCAGCGTCACGCTCTGCACTCGAGGCTCAACGGAAGCATATTTGGAGAAGGACCCTAGCGCTACGCTTCTCAAGCCGCAGCATGCCTGGCACCATCCAGCAACTTTCCTCAAGTCTTGCAAAGGGGATGGGTTTGTGAGAGCCTGTGGCCAGGTTGCCCTTTGCCATCTTCAACGGGACCAAACAATGTTTTAGCCAAAGGCTTGGTGGCCCACTGCATTTTTCAACTTGCAATATTGCATCTTTCATGAAAACATCTTCCTAGTCTGCTAGTATCTGCTAGTCAACTCAGGTGTGCAGCGCGTGGAAACCATTTCATGGACAAATCACGGGTAAAGAAAGCGTTGGAATGCAGATAGAGGGGCACCATGTCGTAGGTGTGACTAGCAAAGCTGGCAAAGTATTGAAATTATTGGGAATTATTGGAATGAAGGTTCCAAACTTAGTGACCTCCTTGCAAACGTGTTAGTTACAATGGTCGCATTTTTTTGAGGTCTAGCCAAGTGTCTTATCTTACTCTTAAAGATTAATGATGTGTTATATATATATATCTCTATCTATCTTTTCCTCCATTTTTTCAGCAATTTCGACCTGAGTTCCTCCAGGCCTGTGAGCTCCCCATGTCTTTTAACCCTCCACTGGGTGGCCGCGCCTCCGTGCCTTTCATCAGCGCGGTGACCGGGACACGCCTGGAGGAGCTGCCCCCGGACCACTGGCAGCGCTGGCTGCGCTGCCCGGTCAACTTGGCGTCGGCGTTGCAGAATGCCAGGGAGCTGGGGCAGCTGGTGGTACTGGAGATGGGGCCCCATCCAGTGCTGTACCAGGCCGCGAAGGCAAGGAGAACGAGAACGTCGGAGATGTTGGCCTTGACCATTGGTGGATCTTTAGGATCCATTTAGGAATGATGCTGGCATCTTTTTGCGTATGTCATTTTTCAATATTTTTGAATAGCTCTTAATATGAAAGAAACACCGGCAGAAGACAGTCATTAACCTATGTAATTAGGTCCACTCTGTCTGTTTTTGTTTCTTTGTGAGGCCAGCTTTGATCTGGCTGGCTATGCTTGCTCCATGCGCCGTGGAGAGAAGCAAGGGTCCCTCCTATCGAGGCAACGATCATCGCTGCCTGGCTTCCGAGCTCATCTAAGTTCCCAGCTGCATTGCCTGTTGGATTCTGAGGGCATTTGCTTCGAAACGAGCTTTGCGGATCAAGGCATTGCATCCCAGAAGTTGGTGCCTTTGGCTCACAAGCTGGCCAAAATCTTTCCAACTCTGGCACCCCACGATTTGTACCGCTTCGACTCCGTGCAAAAGCTGATTGATTTGTGGGATGAAGAAAGCTCAGGGAGTTCAAGCCGTGGTGAAAAACCGCCTGCCAACGCTTTGGACATTCTGGCCTGTGGAGTGCGCTTACCTGCAGGAGTGGAATCTCCAGGTCCGTTTGGCCGGGGATGCCAGCAATAAAATGTTCAAAAAAAAATGAGTGCATCAAATTGTCAAATCACAAGTACTGGCTGCCAAGCATTGACATTTACAACCCCCTTCGCAAAGATGACTCGTTTCTGTTTGAAACCAGCACAGATGCGGGTGCTTGACACATCTTGACATCATTTGACATCCATCAAAACAATTCAAAACATGTCATGACGACAGGCACCTTTTGGGCTCTTCTGGACCAGGACGACCAGGACAGTGCGTTCAGCTGCAGGGATGGGCTGACTGCGGCCTTCCTGCAGCCGCAGTTTGATCACAAAGCCGCTGTGGCTGCAGCGGAAGAATCCGGGGTGGAAGGTGCTGAGGCCAGGCAGATGTTGTGTTCTGCAGGTTCTAAGTTCTAGGGGGTTGGCCACAGCTGTCTCTTGGGTAATTACTGTGGGGGGCATGCCGCAACTCTGCGAGAAGCTTCTGTGTCAGGCGGCTGCCATGGATCCCCAGCACGCCCTGGCTTTGAAGCTGGCCCGTGACATGTTCCAAGATGCGGGAGAAGAAACCCTCAAGGCTGTTCAAAGAGTGCGGGAGCGTGTGGGTGTCTACATTGGGGCCTGGCAGGGAGTGGCCAACTCAGGCAAACCCTCAGCCTACCATGCCATAGGTGCTTCCCTGAGCGCACTGGCAGCTCGCGTGGCCAATGCCTATGACTTGCAGGGTCCTGCAGTCACTGTGAACACTGCCTGCTCTTCTGCATTGGTGGCTGTGAATGAAGCACTGAAGGATGCCAAGGCAGGACGCATTGACTTCGCCATCGTTGGGGGGGTGAATTTGTTTGGTGATGAACAGCTCTTCCATCACCTGCGACGTGCTTCGATGCTGAGCCCTTCTGGACGCTGTCACACCTTTTCGGCAGAGGCTGATGGTTACGTACGCGCAGAAGGTGGTGTGCTCTTCCTGCTGGCACGGGAGGCCTTGGAGCTGCCCTCACATGGAAGAATCTTGGGCTCTGCCGTGACCCAGAACTCCAGGATGGGGTTGGCATGTTTCAAGAACTCTGGCAACTCTTGTTGATCTTGTTGATTTGCCTGAGATGAAAGGCATTATTACATGGAAAATCATGGAAATGTGATGAAGTGGGTAAGGAATTCTGAAATATGTACTGGATGGCTTTGAAAAAAAAATTGTCAGCACAGCTCTGTCAGGAGGAAGCCATTGTCCTCAGTGGACCCCATCGCCCAGGAGCACGCTGTCCATTTAGCTTGCTCCGATGCAGGCATCAAGCCTTCGGAGCTGACAGTCGTCGAGCTACATGGCACTGGAACACCCTTGGGTGACCCAGTGGAGGTTTCAGCTTTGGCAAGGACTGGGGGATGCCAGTTTTTTCATGTTTTTTCCATGTTTATTCTCTGTTTATTATATTGATGTATATTATGTATATGTACCTACACAAATAAAATCAACATAATCAAATAAACAAAACATTATATATATATATATAAATACAGTTTAATATAATTTTTAATATATGTTATATATTAATGCCTTTTACCTTTTGCACTAAAGCCATCATCAACCTGCTGGGCTGTTTTTGTGTTTGAATGCTTCACGAGGAACCCCAATGACATTCGTTCCGTAGGACACTTCGCGAACGCTCAGAAGCGTGCTGGATGACAGCGGCAAAGATGCACGTTGGACACTTGGAATCAGCGGCCGGAGCCGTGGGACTGCTGAAGGCGATGCTGATGTGCGAACAAGGGAAAGTACCGGCATTCCGCATCGACGGCAAGGGGTTGAACCCCCAAGTCATGGCTGCCATGGAGGGCTCCTGCCTCTGCAGGCCTGGACAGCCTGGAGTTTTGATCGCGGATGCCATGCTGGGCGTCTCAAGCTTTGGCTTTGCGGGCAGCAATGCCCATGTGGTGATGACAGCTCCCAAAGGCTCCCCTGCAGCCAAGTACGAGAGCCCCTTCACAGCCACCCTCTCGAAGCCCTCCCAGATTCCATTACCAGAGCTGTCAACCACGTTTTCACCGAGGGGTTCGATATCAGAAACCTTCTGCCTCACATCGCTTCCAAAGCAAAAAGATGGAGATGGAGGAGATCAAGATGTGGAGGATGTGAGTGTAAGCCGCTTGAGCTTTGTGAGCAGTGCAGTGCTGTCTATTGTGGGAGGTGAATCAGATGTGGATACCGATGCAGACCTCCATGAATTGGGGGTGGACTCTTTAGGATTGGCAGAGCTGCTGGGGCTTTTGGAGGACGGGGAATGTTAGCAACAGTTCTGTAGCACCAACCCTCACCCCCCACTCCCCTCCCCAAAGATTCCGACAGGTCTAGGTGCTTGCTCCAGTGTCATGTTTGGAGAGAATCCAGGATGTCCAAGGCCCCTGGACTGTGATGGACACTGTGAGCCACTATCGCAATGAAAACAGCAAGCAGCAAGAGTTTTAATGCACATCACGCTGAACAGGTCTTGTAAACAGGCTTCTCAGGTACATAAGTCGATAGATTGATAGACAAATAAATGAACAGAGAACTATTAAATTATAGTTGTTTGCCTATCTTCATATTCACGCGCATGTGTGTTTGCATCAGTATATGAGTCCACTTTGTGATTGGCGGAGTCTGCGTTTGGAGGACAAGTTTGGCCCTGGCTGCATCACCGTTGAGAGGATCATGAATGAGCCAACCTGCCGGGCCATTGCTTGCAACTTGGAAGGCTTCGAAGCTGTTCCCTCCATACAAGCACAACATCCTCAGGCTCCGGTGGTGCCAGCTGTCATGCCACTGAAACCGATAGTGGAGGTTACTTCAGCGCCAACGGCAGCTTTGTTGGCTGCACCACTGGGTGAAAAGCCGGATCCCAGCTGTGCCTGGATTCGCACGACGCACGTGGGCTCGCTGCCGCGCCCAGCCGATGGGATTTTGGATTTGAATCAGGTGATCGCTCAGCAGGGATGTTTGGACATCATCAACGATGGCGAGTGGGGCAGGGAGAATTATATTGCTGACGTGATCAACAGGATCTCTGGTTTGAGTGGCGGTGATGGTGCTGCCAGTGCTGCTCCTAAAGATGCTTGCTGTACCAAGCATGCCATGCCAGTTGCAGCTGACATGCGTGACGTGCCGTTGTACGCTCAGCGTTTCTCTGGGGGAAATGGGCTTATCACCTTGAACCCCAAGAGAGAAGCAGTGAGTGGCCTGGCGTGCGTGGCTCATCCCAAGTACAGCCCTGCAGACATCCCCAACGTGAAGGCATTCTTGACAGCGGTGAAGGCAGCAGGCAAGAACGTTTCTGATTCTCGTCCCAAGCATGAGCTAATGAGCTAATGGGCAACTTTTCAGATCAGGCTGTAGCCTCTAATTTGATAGCTTGGTGGCTATGGCAAGCCAAGCTCAATACTTAAGACTATCACATAGGCAGCCTGCTTTGCCAGGCACGTGGGTTGTTGCACGTTATCTTGAGATAGATTCAGAGATTCAGATAGACATGCATTGCGCCGCCTGCTATGAGGCGCACGTGTAAACGCATGCTTCTGCGCGGGCACCAGGCATAGCGCAAAACTTGAGACACACAGTGCATTCACAAATATGAAAAGATACGATCTGTCAAAGGTAGTGATGACATGAGATGTTGTCGTACTTGACATACTTGCTTCCTGGTTTCAAAACCACAACGTTGTTCTGAGGATTGCTTCTACTCCGTGCCCTCTCCTGGAACGATGGCGCTCTTCTGCCGTGATCTCGTCTTCCACGACCACAGCACCTATGTCATGGCGTTGGCTGATGCCCTCTCCCAAGAATATCAGCAGATTGCGAAGCATGGTCTGCTCCTACAGGTTCCCAGTTTTGAACGTGTTTGGATGTTTGGACCTCACGGGGGTTCCGTAGACATCCGTAGATCAGGGCTTGGATTTGTTTGCACCTTGTGGCAGGTGGACTGTCCCGACTTGGGCATGGGCCGCCACACCAGGTGGTCGGATCTCAGTGAGGCCAGATTCAGTCGATTTCTCCAAGTTTTCCTCCCTGATTCTGGGGCCCAGATGAAAACAGACATAGATGGACATAGTATGGGGGGGACATGTGGGGATGAACAAGATTGATATTGAAATGATCGTAGAAGAAACAGTTTCCAGCCACAGCCCGTGCCGCCCCAGGCGGAGTTTCTGGACGTGGCGCGCTGCAACGTGGCGGCCTTGAACCGGGCACTGCAGGAGGTTCCAGTGGAGCAGGTGCGTGTGCACGTCTGCTGGGGGAACTATGCAGGGCCTCATCACCAGGAGAGGGATGCGGGGCCTGGAGTTGAGATGTGATGAAGATGTAGGAAGATGTCGGAAGATGTTTCAAGATGTCTCAAGATGTAGGAAGATGTAGGAAGATGTTTCAAGATGTAGGAAGATGTAGGAAGATGTTTCAAGATGTCTCAAGATGTAGGAAGATGTAGGAAGATTTAGGAAGTACATGTCAATTTATATACATGACTTTGACATGTCTTCCGTTTGAATGGGGGAACATATGGTAACATCATTTTGTCATATTTTGTCAAGTGTGGTGAGCCAAGAATCAGTTGTGCCGACAGGATATCTCTGCGGAGCACGTGTGGCCGCTGCTCGGAGAGGTGAAGGCCAAGTACTTGTTGGTGGAGGGCGCCAATCCTCGTCACCGTAGAGATGTGCAATGCTTCGAAATGGCGGTGCAGAAGGGTTACTTCAAGAGCCACCAGGTGTGCCGCTGTCCCAGCAACATCCCAAACTGGGAAAAAGTCCCAGTTTTGAAGACTTTTTCGAGCAGGACTGAACAGTAATATAGATATATAGATAAAGTATACTGATAGTATGGGAACCCATGAAAAATCTATGGTTTGGTTTGACAATCCATGACAATCGCTTTATCCCAGTAAATATCGAACCTTCATGAACATTCGCCAGAAGCCCTGGTTTTGGTGTTTGTATGTTTTTGTTATCTTCCCACATGGGGAATTTTGATTGAATCAGGAGGCACGGATTCAGTTTCGCACTTTTGTCCATCCCCATATAGGTCCCCTTGTGATTCCTAGCCCATCTAACCATATCTACCCTCTGGTAATTTAACATAGCTATGGAAAATCACCATCTTTAATGGGAAAACTCACTATAAATGGCCATTTTCAATAGCTATGTTAGTTTACCAAGGAGGGTAACCTCTGCCCTCCAGGTCATCGTTCCGGGGCTCATCGACACCACCACGGCACGTGTGGAAGATCCGCGGCTCATCGCGGAGGACCTGCTGCGCTACGTGCGCGCGGCCGGCCATCCGGGCCGCGTCGTGGCGTCCACGGACTGCGGCTTCGCGTCCACGGCCAGGTCCACGGCCATTACGGCGGACTTGGCGCCTTGGTGAAAGGATAGACAAGGATAAGGTGAATTGAAGGTGACATAATATGTGACATATATGAAAAATGATTCATATATGGATCCATATTGTGATATACTATATGTTATGGTTACATGTAGGAATTCATGTAATGAGGTCTATTTGTCAAATCCGATAGAAGAGAGTTGTTCAAAGATAGTTTTTCATTTAATGCTGGCGCTAGTTCAAGCACAGGCTATTTTGATGTCATGATGCTTTATGTGTTGATTATGTTGGCTGCCTTCCATGTTTTGACTCCGGGCTTGGTTTCCTTCTGCAAGTCAAATATGGCCGTGAAATATGCATCCTCTTTAAAGGGTTAAAATGGATAAACATATATAAACATGGACATCACCTAAAAATGATATAAAATTATCATAAATTCTCCGGGACTCTGAAAATCAGACATGTTCTCTTGCCATTCTTGATACATTTTGGCATCTGCTCGAGGCTTGGATGAAGCTTCGAAGCTTGGCGGAGGGCGCTCAGCTGGCCACCCGTCACTTCCTCCAGCAGTCTGCGCCGGTGCCGTGTCGCAGCGTGGGCCTCGCCAGCACGCCCTTTCGGGCCGTGATCTTCACCTCGGAGGAGGAATATGGGAACTGGGAGATTTCATGATAGGTGGTTTTTCCCTGTTTTGCCCTGTTTTTTGTAGGGGTGAAAAACATTTTCAACCATCCAAGGTGGTGCAGGATTTCTTCCACAGTATTTCTCAATTTTGTCAGAAATGTGGTTTTGAAATAGTGGTTGGGGTCAAAGCCCCCGCAACGTCTTGCCTTGGGCAGCTAATCTTTAAGACATTATCAGCAAAAATCTACTAGCCTTCCCCAGCATCTCAACTCAAAAATATAAAAAATGTTCTATTTTCTAAATATTGCAACCTATTCTTCATACTTTTCCAGACTTTTTTGTTTAAAAATCTTTTGTTGCTGTCTTTGTGGATTCTGGATCTGCAGGAGCCCGCAACTTTGGATTGCGCCCTCCAGCTTCGCGCAGCCCTGGACGGCGACCACCCGCGGCACAAGACCCTGATTTTCTCCTCTGCGTCTGCGGCCTGTGATGAGCTTCGGTGGATGGTGGATGTACCGTGACCTGGCGAATTCCTCCAGATCTCTTGGATCGCTATGTCAAATTACCATAAATTACCAGTGAACCCCAAAAAATCCGAGGGAATTTGTGATATTTGATATTTGTGTGAATTTTCGCCATTTTCAATTTTTTAGTCATCAACTTTCAACAATTATATAATTCTGACAGTCATGAGATGATGGATCAAAGAGACATATATTGGAGATTGGATTGCAGTGCCAGCCATCCAGCAATCCAAGTCTCGAGGGGGAGTACTGATGCGTTTTCAATGTTAGGTTCCGCTGCTCATTTGAACCTACGACCCCCGTTATGAGTGGACAAATGACATTATATATTATATATATAATATATATATATTATATATTATATATTATAACATTATACAGCATGAATATATCTAAACTTTCAAAATAGATTGCTATGCAGATTCTTCGGATGTTCATCGGGCTATGCCAGGGTATGCCAATGATTTTCCTCTCGCGGAGTTTCAGGTTGGCCTTTGTTATGCTCGGAGAAGGATCCAAGCAGCTGGCACAGGCAGTGCAAACTCAGCTGCACGATGCTCCGGTCTCTCGACGCCCTGTCACCATGCACTGCTTCAGCATCGCTGGGGATGTCATTTCCATGGCGGAAGAGGTGGGGCACAATAGCTCTGGATGCTCTAGAGATCCGATTATATAGACCCCCAAATGAACGTTTAGAGATGAAGCGACCCTCGAATTACGGACGTTTAAGATGTTGAAATTCCCGGAGAGAGAGGTACGCCGTGAAGCGATGGCCCAGACCAGTTTCGACAGACGAAGCTTGGTGATCCCCAGATCCAACGTACCATCTGCAGTGGATGTGGTGGTGATTGGTGCGGGGCTATTGGGGATGCTCACCGCCCACCGTTGCACTTCCGCAGGGTTCAGCGTGGCCGTCTTGGAGCAACGTCCTGTGGTGGGAGGGATTTGGTCCATGTATGCCAACGGCACCTCACAGGTCAACAGCTCGGAAGGTGGCTACTGCATTAAGGATTTGCTTGGGGAGGACAGTAGGACACGGCTCATGAAAATCTGATTTCAGCACGGGTGACAGCGTTTTTTTTTGGCAAACACATCACATCACCGCATCTGCTGGGAGGAAGATGGCAAAGCTGGGGACAACCGGGACCACAGCACGGCTGCCGAAGTGTTGAAGGATTTGGCCAAGCTTGGTGATCGCCTGAAAGAGCACATTTTCACTTCTGTCAAGGTGATGAAGGTCCTGGGTGAAGGAGGCAACTACACTGTGCTTTTCGATGATGATGCTTGTCTTGAACACCTTTTTGAACTTTCAACTTTCAACTTCGCAGGTTCTTTGAAATAGTAAGCCTTGACGCCTTAGACCGCGGGTTCTTTCGGTGGAGGGATGCTGGCCACAATTCCTGCTTCTCTGCTGAGGAGTTGGTGCGAAGTGCCGGGATTGTGCAGTGCCGCGGCGTGGTGCTGTGCATCAACGATCGCGTTGGGCTGCCCCGACCTTTGTGCGTTCCCGGGCAAGAAAGCTTCATGGGAGTGATGGCTGATGGCACCTCAGATTCCTTGGCAGGTGGGAAGGGCCAACTGAGATGATTTGGAGAGCTTGTCGTTGTTTCTTGTTGATTTTTTGGAGCCTAGGAGAGACGTGGGGAGACCATGAGAGACCCAAACACCGTAACAACTCATTGTCCAAACCATTGTGCTGCAAGAATTCTCTTTCAGATCTTTCAGGGTCAGGTTGGTGCCATTTAGATGCAGGCATCAACTGGCATGGCAAGCGGGTGGTGATTGCCGGCATGGGCGCCTTTGCTGTCGAGAATGTGCATGGAGCTCAGAAAAATGATCAGATACCAGATATTTTTGATACCTTGACTTGAATTACAGAAGTATACAGAAGTTGGCTTCCCAACTTCGGTTGCTGGCCATTTTTGCTTTAGCTGAGTGCTCCTTGTTCTTGTGAATGCGAGTCCCACTGCCCATGCCCTTGCTCAAAGATATATAAGACATCGCAAAACTCAGGTAAGGTCGGCAGTTGCCTCTTCTTGACGTATATAATAGTCATAATATGTCATCATTGTAGTCATTCAAAGTCCCTCCCGATTTGTGATTCATTGCTGAGAACTTTATTTCCCACCATGCAGCTTAGTATCATGACAGTCACCAGTGAGTCACCAGCATCCAAGGCGAACCGCCTTGGAGCACGGTGCGGCACAGGTCATCGTGGTTGCTCGCCGTCATGGCACCATTTGCCCCAAGGCAAGGAGATACGTCGTGGCCATACAGGGCGCACGTGGTTTCCAAGTTGTGAATGTTTCTGATGGATTGCCTGGAACACATGAAAAAATGCTTCACATCCACCGTGTCCCTGTTGTTTTTATGTCTTGCTTTACTGCAAGCTTCTCCCCACGCTGCCCAAAAGCGCGTGCAAGTGTCCAATCACAGTGTTGGCTAGGCAATTGACTACTTGAACTTCGTCAAGCCGTGGGACGAGAAATACAAGCACGACACCCAGACCAACGTCAAGCAGTTCTTGCGATGGAAGCAGCTCTATGAAGCATCTGGCTGCCAGTTGCCGGAATGCTGGCCGAAACAGGCTCGGCACAGGGGTTTGTAACTGCTATTGTAGCACTGCATGCGCTGCATGCTCTGCATACGCTGCATGGTGGTTTGCTGAGAATCTCTTTCAGGTGAAGCACGACGGCCACACCATCTCCGTGAGCGACATTTGGTTCGTGGCCCACCACATGAAGAAGCTTTCTACGATGACAGGCACACAGGGAAGACAGGGAAGGGTTGCTGGTTTTCATGCCAAGAAGATCAAGAAGGGAGTGGTTTGAGTCGGGGAAGCCACTCTCACGCTCTTGCATACCTGTGCTGCGACCAGGGAAATAGAATCAAATAGATATCTCAATCTGTGAAATAAATGCCGTGCGACTTCCCCAACACATTGCGCAACAAAGGCTTGATCCAGCACATCGAGAAGGATGGCGTGATGCTCTCCAGCGGAGACTTTGTCCCCTGTGATGTGGTGGTGGGCTGCATTGGCTTTGAGCGTTCCAACTTTCTCTGCGAGTCCCTCACAGGGCGCTGTGAAGTGAAGACCAGCAACTACTTGGACCAGCACATGATGTACCTGGCAGATGCAGAGATTGACGAAGGTCATGAAATGCGATAAGAGATGACAAGAGACAATGCACACAGATTGAAACAGAGATGGAATTCATCCTAAGAAGCCTAGTGTCGAATGAAGTAAAGTGTTTCAACTACTGTAATTGTACAACATTCTTGTTGGTGTGGAGTGTGGAGGTCTTTTTTTTTCTCTCTCTCTCTCTCTCTTCTCGCATTAATGATCATTAATGACAACCCATGACAACCCACTAGTGCTCTCACTGGTGCTTTCCCACAACATACTACACCTCCAAACTTCTTCCAACCAGTTTCCACTCCAAACAGATGTGTACTCCGGGTGCAACAGTGTGCGTTACTGGTGATGCAGGTGCCTTCAACTCATTTTTTGGCTCCTCCGTTTTGGAATATGGGAAATTCTTCACCAACGTTTTCGTTGAGGGCCTGCTGCGGCCTGACATCTTGGGTGAGCGACTCTGGGGTTGCGACACTGTGTCGGTGCCAATTTCCCAAAGGCCTGGTTCAACCTGGTTCCAAGGGAAGAAATGATGGGCATGACATGCCCCTGAGATTTAAAGGGAAGGAAATTGTAGAGAACCATTTCAAGTTTTGGATGGCCGTTGGATGCCGCTGGTTGTCATTCGTTTCATACTGTTCTCGTTTTCCCACTTTTCACAACGCATGCAAGTGGCAACACATCGTGAATCTGCCGGACCTGAGAGCACTCTTCGAGACTGGGGACGGAGGGTCCCTGACGCTAGGAAGTGGAATCAGTACATTGCTTCCGCCATGAAACTCATTGAGACGGATGATCGGATTGCGCTGCATGCACAGCAGCAGGTGCCTTTGGTGGCAGTCCATCCCTTTTCCATCGGTCTCATCCAGAGCAGCTTTGCAAGAGATTTTTCTATCACAGTTTCAACTGAGATTTCAACTTATCGCTACAGTTAGGACACATTTCATTGGAACTGCAATATGAGCCCCCGGAATATGACATGTTTTCTCAAAAGAATTTCATTGAGACTGACTGACCATCGGATACCGATATCAAGATTCCACGACATTGGACAACTATGGACAAAGAGGCCCCTGTTAGTCTTGATAGCACCTGGATGAATACAGATGAACCGGATGATTACCATTGATGCCATTGGTTACCGAGAAGTTCAGGACAGAGAGAAGCCGAGAGATCCTTCCGGTGATCCAAGGTGGAAGCCCGCACCAAGCACTTCTGGCGCACGCTGCCTCCAACGAGTTTCCTGGCCGTGAATCGCAAAGACTGGGAAGAGCTGCACGAACGCCTCAATGGAGGAGTTCCAGTGCCCAAGGAGCGTCAGCTACCGTTATGGGGTGTGATGGGGTGTGTTAGCACTCCATTGTGCCTCGTAGTTTTTTTTTCAATTCTTTTTGGGGGGATTAAGACGGAAAATCTTCACTTGGGCGAGCCCCGCATGCACAGAGTGCCGAGACCTGAGGCAGGCTTGCTCCATGGCAGACACCTTTTTGATCTGTTGATTTTGGATGACTTTGTCCACATAGAGTGCCCCAAGGCTCCACTGCTTCATCCTCTGTTTCCTTTATTTTTCGATATATGCCCATAATTATATACAATATTATATATATATTATATTACATATTATATATTATATATTATACATTATATATTATATATTCTATATTATATATTATATATTATATTTATTATATCCCATCATCCATCTCGACATGCTTCCCGGACCTGGAACATGTTTCTTCCATTAGTGATGACACCGCCTCCCTTCTCAAGTACGATTCCATACGAATCCTTGGGCCCCGCCAGGAGCAACAGCTGCCGTACTTCTTCGAAGAGATCCCTGCATGGTGTTGATTGCATAGACGTGGTATAGACCTGGCAGGCACCAATCCCACCCCATGGGAAATACCAGTTGCCGGATGCAAATCCTTGCGTCCTTGCGACTGCGGCTTTTCATGGGGTATGTGAATCGCCTGCCCCTATCAATGTGCCCTAGCACATCAATGCTTGCATGACCGTTTCGCAATCTGGACCACTATAGCTATCCTTCTCACTGTGCACACGTGTTGCCTGGTGAGAAGGGTTTAAAGCTGCACAGTGAATTCGGCACATGGCAATTTTGGTGACTAGAGGAAGCACAGTGGCAGAAGGATGAGCCTAGATGCATGACAAAAAAATACACACAGGTATAAATTTATATATTATATATATATATATTTATTGAAGAATATTGATGATATAGTGAGATGTGTTCCGGTTATTCGGGCTATTCTGCCACTGAGCCTCCGAACAAAAAACCCTCGGACCGTCGTCTGAGAGTCACTCCCTATAGATTAGACTCAGTCCTGTACAGATGTGCTGTAAAACACTTGTGAGACGAGAGAACATATCTGGCGGTGCGAAGCATGAAGCAGCAGAACAGAGCCGAAGTTGAGTTATTTCGAACTAGCTTCTGAAACTGCCGGCCCTTGCACAAGCTTGGGACAGATGTTAGGACATTGTTGGATTTGGATTTGGATGGTGGGCCTTGTGGAATAGCATTTGCACTTTCATGTTGGGAGGGGTCCCATATTCGTGCACAGCGGGCTGCTGACACTTAATTATTGACTCTTGACTGATACAGTTCCCGGGGGCATGGTATGCCACAGCCTGGCTCCCAAGCTGTTTTGTGCCCTTGCTCTCCAAAAGCATACAGCAGACACTTGGCAGGTATATCCTACATCCAGTTTGTGGCAAGGTCACAGATTTAGACATTGAGCTCATTCCATGGTATTTTTCATTTGGGTCCCGGTCCGTTTTGGGTGCCGCAGCCGTGGAAAGAGCTGGTGTGCAGGCCTGAAAAACCTGAGACGAATGCACCATGTCAGGTGTCGACGTTCACAGAGGGACTGGGCCAGGACATGCATCCAGCGCTCCGCAACTCCGGTTCGGGCAACTCAGGATCTTCTGGATAGGCAGGGTTTATTAAGAGTGGCAACTGAGTGACGCCAACTCATATCATCTCATATCATCTTGGAATAGATATGGATAGACACTGTACTGACTGTACTGACTGTACTGACTGTACTAACTGTACTGACTGTACTGACTGTACTGACTGTACTGACTGTACTCTATTTTCTCCAGCCCGTGATTTTTTTCATCGTTCAAGTCTGCTTTGTGCAACTCTTGGGCGCTCAACCTTTCGGCAATCGAGTGGTTGAAGGTTCCGCTGTTAAGAGACCTGTTGATTTCCATAGCCTTGTGATGGTTCGCAGCCGACCAGTTCTCGATGTTCTCGGCCCTGAAGAGGGCAATTCATGTCAATTCTACACGGCACTTCAGCATATACACAAATCATGTACAGAACTTCAGCCAGGCGCGTTGGCATATGATGCATATGTTGGCTCATAAATCAGAACAATGCCCAGGGCCAAATGAAACGAGAACCACACCGCATGTTGATCTTCATTCTGGCCATCCTGCAGGCCAGAGGTAGACATCAGATGACATGAGATGACTGAGATCACTCTTCCGATGTGAGTGGCGTGTTGGAATCTGTTGGAACATCAATTGATCTTGCGGCGATTTCCGTTGTGATCTTCTTTTTGCGATCCGTCAGGCCCGTCAGGGTGTTCATGCTCGATATGCTCGAACGGCCCATGAGATTCTGGGAGTACGATCCGGTGCCAGCAACAAGGAGATCAAGCGCGCTTACCTGGAAGCAGCTTTGAACCTTGGTGATCTCGGTGGACTCAGTGGTTGCAGCTGGATTTCATAGTCTGGTCCTTGGATGTTCTTGGATGGTATGGAAATGTATGGAATGATTTCTGAGGAAGGATTGGGTCGAGTTCATCTAATTAGTGAATCTAGGAAGAAAAAACAATAAAAAACATCTTCCCCTTGAATTAGGGCAAATGTTGACGTGAACCAGAGAGTACTTAGATGAGTCACTAAAAAAATTGAAACAAAACCGACCCACCCCCTCAAATTCCCTGGGCCTGAATTATTTCAAAAAGAAATGAAACAAAAGAGGATCACCACACTAATCAGCATCCCACATTATATATATTATGATATGATACATATATATATATATATAGTATAAATAGGTATTTAGAAAGATGACAACTTATTCCGGGATATATACAGAAGGGCAGGGCTAAGGTACCCCATGTTTGTTTACTTTTTGGAAGACCTGACCAAAGGCTATTCCGCTCTGTGGTCCTGGCTTTAGATTATTGTCCCAGATTGTCCCTGTAAAGGCGTGTGCTGGTCCGATTTGATGATGTTCCATGTGTGCCATTTCTTCCCAAGTCAGACTTCAAAAAGAGATGAACGCAAAGTACACAGAACAACCACCGACCACCGACCACCAGACAAATGTTACGGTACGTGATCTTCAACCGAAGACACCACAGTTGTAGGAAAGACATGAAAGAATAGACTTAATAGACACCAAAATCGAGAATTCTTCATTCACAAAAGGTCCACCTTTCCGTCCCGCTGCCATGGTGCGAAGCCGGCTGCGGGAGGGGGCGGGGCAAGCTGACGATACCCCGGTGCGCAAGGGCAGCAAAGAGGGGACCAGAAAGAAGGGCCGACGACCGGTGGGAAGCCCACTAGACAGTGACGACGAGGATGCCTTTGGGGCTTGTGACAACTGTGAGGAAGATGAGGAAGGACTGGAAGGTTTGGGAGTGCCATTAGATTCAGTTGTCAAAGTTTCTATGCTGAAGGAGCAGGCAAACTTTGCAGTATTGGGCAGTTTTTGCAGGTGGTTTCAATTCGATTCTACCAGGGTTTTCCTGGTCCATCCTGGTCTAAATAATTCGCGCACAGGCAAGAAGTCTTCTCTTTGTCAACGATGTACAACATCAACCCACCTGGATCCAAACTTTCTTGGGACACTGAGGTTTGGTGCGTCCACAGCACCCCCAACTTTTCGCTGCCATGGCAGCGGCGACGGCAGTACCGTTCCAGCGGGTCCGGTTTCGTGATCGATGCCAAGAGGCGGGTGATTCTGACCAATGCCCACTGCATCGAATGGCACACGCAAGTGAAAGTACAACGCAGAGGCTGCGATACCAAACACCTGGCAAACTGGATTTGATTCGGAGGTGGTTTCAATATTCTTTTGATATCTTTTGATGGTTTTCCTTTTTCGTTTGGATAAATTATAGTGACATACATCAACCGGGAAGTTTGAGGGGCTTCAACTTCATCTAGCCCATGCTTTACGGATTTTGATGGACCAGTTTTTGAAGCCTGTAGGATTGGCTTGGCTCTCTTTTTTCATGTTACCCTCTGGTAAACTAACATAGCTATGGAAAATCACCATTTTTAATGGGAAAATCAACTATAAATGGTTGTTTTCAATAGCTATGTTAGTCATTACCAGAGGGTATTTCATGTTCATCATGTTCATCTTGACACCCAATGTCGTGACATGAGGCGAAGGTGGTGTCAGTTGGCTGGGAGGCCGACTGTGCAGTCTTGACTGTAGAGAACGATGAGTTCTGGCAAGACATAAAGGTGGTACAGCTCAGCAAGAAGGCCCGCCTTGGGCCTTGTCCAATACTTCGGGCTTTCTTTAGCTTTCTTTAGTTTTGATTATTTTTGCATCTTTCTGAATTTCCATGAGTTTCTCATTAGACAATATTAGACACATTAAACATGATTAGGCATGCAGCTATGTTGCTGATTCATGCTGATTCCTGGGTTTCAGGTTCCCCATTTGGAGGAGCATGTCTTGTGCGTTGGCTTCCCGGTGGGTGGAGACACTTTGGCAAAGCATTACTGCAGGTACCTTTTACGTCTCCGTTTCTGTGATACCCTCTGGTAAACGTTTACATAACTATGGAAAGATCCAGCATTTTAATGGGAAAACTCACTATTTCAATGGCCATTTTCAATAGCAATGTCAAACTACCAGAGGGCATCTTGCGATATGTCGGAGAAAGATTTGCGGATTCCAATGATTCCACACAATTTTAAAGACGTCAAGATATTTCAATACGAATGCTCAGGAGAGTGATGAGTGAGTTCATGGCGGGAACATCACTTGTATACAAGCTATTGACAATCATGTGGAAGAGTAAGAGCTCCCTTTTTGTCAACGCCCAGGCATGCGCCCCTGACGTTTCCGAGTGTGAAAAAGATAGATGCTACAGTAGTTACCGTATATATTTATACCATCTATACCTCTTGTTGCTGGGGTTCTTGACTCAATCAGACGATATCTTGAGCTATTCCATTCCATCGTGTTCAATTGGGTGTTCCCACTCCGTATTTCTTCATCATACGCCCATTATTGGGATAATTAGCCACCATCATTGGGATTATTGGCATAATTAACCACAAATTAACCATATGCCATAGTTAAGAATTTTGCGTTTTTTGGCTGCAAGGACACCATCAGCGTAACCAGCGGTGTGGTCAGCCGAGTAGAGGTGATGACCTATGCAGCGGCATGTTCGGAACTGCTGGGGATCCAAATCGATGCGGCCATTAACAGTGGCAACAGTGGAGGCCTCTCTCCAACCTTCTCCAACCACAAAAAGATAAAGATGATAAAGGATTTCAAGGATCCCCAGATGAAATTCCCATGCAATTCAGCTAGTATATTTTCTCATTTATTTGTACATGTAAAATCATGTAAATGATAAGTCAAGGCTACCAGCCTGCACAGCAAGATGCATTGCCCCTGATGGAACTGCGAGGGATCAGAACTGGAGCGCTGATGAAAACTGCAGGGGTGATCCGAAAATCGGATGATAAAAGACCCAAATCATTACACACTCAGCCACCAGGATGACATGAAAGACAACATGAGGATAAGAATATTGATGAGAGTCTTGTAAGGATGATATAGGATGATGCCATTTAGGGACAACATCGCTGGAGCAATCAAAACATCATCCAGTGCAGGTCCTGCTTTCAATGCCAATGGTGAGTGTTTGGGCATGGCCTTCCAAAGTTTATCTTCCGATTCCGCCGAGAACATTGGCTACGTCATTCCAACAGTTGGAACACCTTTGCTTCGGAAGGTTTTATATTTTTTCCCTCCTGGGATGCAATTTCTGGTGCAGATGGGGTGTCATTTTTTGGAGACTTTGGACTTTTTTCAGGTTGTGATCATGCACTTCTTGAATGACCTGCTTAAGCATGGCAGCTACACTGGCTTTCCCACCATTGGAGTGGAGACTCAAACCATGGAAAATCCACACCTCCGGGAAGCTTTTGGAATGTCACCCAAACAGAAGGGCCTCTTGGTGAACAGGATTGCGCCCACCTGCGCAGTAGCCAAGCTATTGGAGGTCGGCGATGTCTTGTTGTCCTTTGATAAGGAACCCATCGCCAATGACGGCACTGTGGTTTATAGAAAGCACGAGCGTGTGGCTTTTAGCTCCTTGGCTCAGGAGAGTGAGTTTCGGAGCTACCAGTTCGCAGTGCGTTCAAAACCATGAAAAACCACTGTTGGCTGATGATTTTCTACGGGGCTTCTTATATTTGGGGTTACAGTATCATGACCATGCATGAGCTGGGGTTTCCCGTTCTTAACTAACCAGTATAATGGAATGATATGGAATGAAAGAGGCTTTTCAACAAGGTCTCATTTATAGACCTTGATGCAAAAGCCGTGAATTTCTGGTCTCCAATAGGTTGATGTGCTGAAAAAAACCATCCTGTCAGCACGTGTCAGCAGGCTGGCTAGTGGCCCAAAAGTTCTATGGCGAGCCAGCTGAATTCACAGTTTCTTGAGCTTATTCATCGCACCCATTCTTTTGTTTGGATCTTTTTTCCGCTTTGCCTGGGTAAACTTTTTTTTTTGGGGGGGGCAATAGAGGATATAAGAAAATCACATTCCACCAACATTCCCTTCATTTTCTTGCAGGATAGCTGTGCTGGCTCTCCCCGAGGTGCTGCGTGATGGGAAGACGCTGGAACTTCAGCTGGAGAAGCTCAATCCCCAAGTCGCATTGGTTCCCGTGCACCTTTTCAACTCCAAACATCAGGTCGCTTCGAGCTGGGAAGACGTTGGGGGAATGGGTGGCTCCGGGTTACCCTCCGGTAAACGTGTACAAAAAAACATGGAAAGCTCCACCATTTTTAATGGGAAAACTCACTATTTTAATGGCCATTTTCAATAGCAATGTCAAATTACCAGAGGGTAACCGCTGCTTTGGTCTTTTTGGTTCTTTTTGTTTCTTTAAAATGCGGACAGCTTTTCACAGGCCAAAAAAATCCTTGATCACTTCAGGTTCCCTCCTACTTGATCGTGGCTGGTTTGGTCTTCACCACTCTCACTGTGCCGTTCTTGCGATCTGAATTCGGTGAAGAGTGGGAATGTGAGGCTGGGTTTAGAGTTTAGAGTCCTGGGAGTAAAAAAAAATTGAGGGATGTGCAAAAATCATCAAAATCATCAAAATCAAACACGTGGCACGTGGAACACGGTGGAACACGGTGGAACTGAATGATTTAAGCGCGCTTTAATAGTGACAAGTCATCACTTAACCCCGGGTTGGCCCCTCAAAATTCCCATTGAGGCGCCTGTCGAGATCGTTCATCGCATCATCCATCAACGTGCAGAGGAGAAGGGCGAAGAATTGGTGGTCTTGACTCAGGTTTTGGCACATGATCCCTGGATTTATGTGGGGTGATTTGTCTGGTGATTTGTCTGGTGATTTGTTTGTTTCTGGAACTTCCTCTGGCTATAGTATTGGCTATATTATGCTCTTGTGAGTTCCATTGGGAGCCCAGTTGCCTTTTCAAATTTTATTCTGATTGATTGGGGTCGACCCAAGGATCTCACAGTGGGCTACGAAGAGCTGGAGAACATGCTGTTGTTGACCATGAATGGCGTGGTGGTGAAGAACCTCCGCCAGGTGCGCGACCTGGTGGAGGCGTGTCAGCCCGAGGAGTTCCTGCGCTTCACGTTGCACAACAACTTGATCTTGGTGCTGAGGGCCGAGGATGCGCGGAAAGCCACGCCTGAGGCGTTGGAGAAACATGGCATCCCCTCAGCTACAAGTCCTGACTTGGATGATGTGGATGTGGAGGTTGAAGCTGGCGATGTCAAAGCTGAAGCTGTCAGTGCGTGAGGCCCGTGAGGGGCTGGTGGATTTGTCGCCAGGGCGAGCCAAGTTTGTGGCAAAACCCTGGGCCTGGACCATCAATGTCCGGGAGAAAGGCCCAAAAGAGGCCATGGGATCCACCACTTGGTTCTCAAAACGGTCATGCGACAAAGCCAAACATGTGAGCACAGCCAGCTATCCGGGCCTCAAATGAAAGATATCCAGGGGGGCATAGGGTGTTGATATTTTTCCCCCTCCTCGTTAGTTCTGCTTATAATGTTCACCTTCGCACCATCCATCCGATCTGCATTGTCTAACAGTACGAGATTTGCTGTTCCATGCTTCACGTGCGGAGCAGAATATTTTTACTGAACCACGGAGCCCATCCATGAGCAGTTCTAACATCCACTGGGTGCGTAGACATGTGCTGCTACCGGGTGCGATTGTTGCGAAGCTGGGGCACTGTCTTGGGTGCCTGGAACATCGCAAGCCCAGGAAATGGCATCCAGAATCTGAGCTGCATGGTGAGTCACTGATGGACATCATGGATTTGGTCTGACATGGTCTGAACACCTTTGGTTTGAGACACATGTAGATGATAAGAAGTTCTCGAAGGAATCCCTTTTGCCATTCCTACCCATTTCTGTTTAAATGCGGTGCGCCACGGAAGAAGAACCAGCATCATCAAGCATCGGCACATTCAGACCACCACTTGCAAGCTCCCTGCAGGATTTCTGGAACCAGTTAGTTTGTTTCAGGCACAACCTGGAATGAAAAGCTCAAGCCAATGTAGGAGAAAAACATATACCCGGTTGTTGCAGCAGATGCTGAGGACAAGAATTCAAGCCCAGAAGCTCAGCAGAAGTTTATCGAGTTGACGGAGGCCCGAAAAGTCCAAGTGCAGCGAAGTGAAGTCCCTCGTAGTGACGCCCCAGAGTTTGGAATGTTACTTCTACAGGTTCACATGTCCAGTCAGTACTGTTTGAGTGAAAGCCAAGTTGGGAAATCAATTCATCGATCCAATGCCCTAGGACGCCCTAGGAATGTTAGCAAATTAGCTTCTGACATCTGTCAGGTATTGCAGCTACAGCTATTGCACCCCTTGTCTCGCTGATGCAAAGGCCTACAATGACCTCGTGAACGGACAGAGCACTGCGAGCAACAAGCGATGGTCAAGACGTGCCTACTCAAAGCCAGGAGGAGGGCCAAGATGGTCGCAAGATCATGCAGACCTGATGACATGCTGTTGTAAGCTGAGCCCGCCAGGCAATTGCAGTCTCTCCCCCCCTCTCTTTCTATGCCAATACTTGTCAGTACTGTCAGATACTGTCAGTCTTTTGCTGCTTATTTGTGTTCTCCCTCCTCCGTCCCGGTAACAGGCCAGACAATACCTTGATGCCAGCCTTCTGTGGCTTTGGACATGCCCTGCTACCAGGATCTCATGCTCAAACGAAGATGGAGGAGGCTCTCCGTACTTTCGCAGAGTCTGTGAATCTGAAGCAGCTCTTCGACCGCAAAAAATATCAAAAAATGAGAACTTGCCATCAAAAAGGATCAATTAAACCGTTAAACCATATGATTTTTGCTTCACCCAGGTTCATGAAGAACGGAGAGATCGACTGGCAGAAGCTGGAAAGACAAGTCGCAGACCTGGTGAACACTGCAGTGGAAAGTGTGGCAGGCGCTGTGAAGCAGCGCTATGTCAATGATGATGGCACCTGGGATTCTAGCATCATGCATGGGCCATATGAGCAGAGTTCAAAAGCCCGGTTGATGACTAATCCCTTCCCCTCAATACTAAACCCCCCCAAATAATAAATACCTAAGGTAGTTTTTATCATTAGGGGGGTATTTATTATTAGGGAACCCTAATAGTAAATCAAAACCCTTAATATCCCTTAATTAAGAAAACATAAAAAAAACAGTTTGTTCGTTTTCAAAATCAATTAAATTTCCTTATATAACGCAATTAAAATATTGCCAAAAATTGGATTTTGAAGCGGACCCTATTAATAAATTCAAACCATTAATAAAAAAAGCTATTTGTTTCGATTTCAAAATCAATTAATTTTCCTTATATATATATAACGCAATTGAAATATTGCCAAAAATTGGATTTCGAAGCGGACCCTATTAATAAATTCAAACCCTTAATGAAAAAAAGCTATTTGTTTCGATTTCAAAAATCAATTAAAAATTCTTATATAACGACGCAATTAAAATATTGCCAAAAATTGGATTTCGAAGCATTTCGAAGCGGACCCTATTAATAAATTCAAACCCGTAATTAAAAAAGCTATTTGTTTCGATTTCAAAATCAATTAAATTTCCTTATATAACGCATTTGAAATATTGCCAAAAAATGGATTTCGAAGCGGACCCTATCAATAAATTTAAACCCTTAATTAAAAAAGCTATTTGTTTCGATTTCAAAATAAATGAAAATTCCTTATATAACGCAATTAAAATATTGCCAAAAATTGGATTTTGAAGCGGACCCTATTAATAAATTCAAACCATTAATAAAAAAAGCTATTTGTTTCGATTTCAAAATCAATTAATTTTCCTTATATAACGCAATTGAAATATTGCCAAAAATTGGATTTCGAAGCGGACCCTATTAATAAATTCAAACCCTTAATTTAAAAAAGCTATTTGTTTCGATTTCAAAATCAATTAAATTTCCTTATATAACGCAATTAAAATACATGTATTGCCAAAAATTGGATTTCGAAGCGGACCCTATTAATAAATTTAAACCCTAGGATTAAAAAAGCTATTTGTTTCGATTTCAAAATCAATTAAATTTCCTTATATAACGCAATTAAAATACATGTATTGCCAAAAATTGGTTTTCGAAGCGGGCTCTAATGATAAATTAAAAGACCTAATATAAAAAACTAAAAAAAATCGGACACACCCTAATAATAAACACCCCAGGGTTGACTAGTTTTTATTATTAGGGGGCGAAAACCCACAAATGGTAGCTTTATTTTTTAATTGTTTTCTAAAGGGGATCAATTAAAAGTCAAATTGGCCAATCTGAAATTTTCCAAAATTGGAGATGGACCCTAGTTTATATTATTTGGGAGGGGTTTGGTAATAGGGGGAAAGGATTAAAGGGGATTTACTATCCAAAAATTTGGGGACCATCATAATGGATCATAATGGCCCGTTTGTATGGCCATCGGGATGCACGTTGAAGCCCTAAGGCACGATCAAATGGAAGCAAGTGCTCGGCTACTTGGATGTTTTGCAGGGCCAACGTCCAGGTAAAATGGGTCCATCTGAAATTGGTATTTCAACTGCAATTGGCCGTGGGCCGATGAAGATGTCATGCTTCTCATCCAGCTATGGATGTACTAACTTTTTTGCTCCTTCTTGAGACAGATATGGACTGATGGACTGATGATTTTTATCTGGTGATCATGGGTGATCATTTCTGGCCGAGGAGACACAGCAGTTGCAGGTGCGGCGATTTTCATGGTACCTTGGCTGCAAGAGCGGCCAGACTTGAGGTGATCAGGTGATTTCCCTTCAACGGTTTCGATGTCACACACCGGTGGTCCTATGAGGACCTGCCAGAACCTAGTCATGTCCACCTTGGCTCGCCGTTTGCTGCAGATGCTGCAGGCTGCGTTCCGTGAGCGCGACGAGCTGTAGCCAACTGCCCTGGAGAATTTGAACTCTGATGAGGCTTGTCAGCCATCAGCTGGAAGTTTTTTGGCTTTGGAGCCAGGATCGCATTCAGTTCATTTATACTATATTTTATAATTTTATATTCATTCTACACATCCGGAAGAATTTTATTCACTGGTTGAAGTCGGCCTGCATCAGACCATACACATGAAGCAAGATTTGAAGCAAAGATTATTGCAAAGATGTTGAACGTGGGCTTGCAGTTTCTCAGAATATATACAGAGAATTTTGAACGCGTGTGGCATCTTGTGGCATTTTGTGGCATCTTGTGGCATCTTGTGGCATCTTGTGGCATCTTGTGGCATCTTGTGGCTCTTGTTCAAGGTGCCCGAAGTTGACGATGTTGAGGCTCTGTCTTCGGTGCATTGAATGTGACATGATTCAGTGGCTACATGGCTCCAAACATCATCAAAATGGGACAGTGGGAGAACATACAGTCTAGAATAGTCTATAGCGACCGACTTACACTTAGAACCTCTTCCAATTTTTCCAAAAAAGGTTCTAAGTGTAAGTCGGCCTCTATATATAGATTGCAATTTTGAATGCAGAAAACTTCCCAATCAGGAATGTCAGGGTCAGCACGATCAGCTTTCAGATCTCAGGTTCAATGGTGCACAGCTTGAAGGAAAGGTGCGGCGGAAGGCCTGGATGATTACTAAAGCCATGCACCAATGACAGGTCTTTGAACCTGACCTCCCGGCACACGCCCCGCCCTGCCCACCCTTTCTGATTTTCTGCACCGTTCCCCTGCTTATTCCATCTTAGTTCCACCTTATTTCCATCCGGATTTTCCCTCCAGTCTTGGTAGGTCAACCGAAGCTCTTCACGCCTCGACCCAAGGCAGTTTCGATGCGTATCTAGATGCTTGGCTGCCCGCTGCCCAACCTGCAGAAGGTCAGGATTCATGATAGACACGGGGCCATGGGGCTTGGGCATCTTGGGCAAGATGGCATGCCCTGACATGCCTAATGAGACTGTGGAGTTCGTACATTGGCATACGAGCTTTGCCCCTGCATGAGATTTGCCTCCTACCGCGGTGGGAGAAGATGAGCACGGATTTTCGTAGAAGAGAGCAGATGGAGTAGACTGCTGAATCCTGCGGCTCTGGTATCAGTTTGGATCGAAAGTGTGGACTTTGAAACTCCTTCGCATTTCTGAGCACCAAAACATGCCAAGTTTTGTTGAAGCCAGATGCAGACACCATCAGACACCCAAACACGGGCTTTGACTGTTGCTAGATGGACTGGCGTGTGACTGCTTGATGAAAACTGCTAACCGGGCAGGTGAGGGTTTGGGCTTCTGTTGTTCGACAAAAACATTCTCAGATGAACCGTGGATGTATAATTTATAATGATTCATAGCACAGGGAGCGTTTGAATTGGTATTCCATGGTCTTCCCATGTCTTCCCAACACCCAGCAGCTAGCAGCGATCCAGTGCAGACAGTCAACACAAGGCCAGATGGTTCCGGCTGCGCTTGGCGCAACATAGGCTGCGGATCGAGGGGGTGAACCAGCATTGCTTGGATCATCTTGGATCCTTAAACATGGATGGAGGAGGAGCAGGATATAGCAGGATCGATCGGGCCCATCCCATTGGAATCATTGGAACTTGGGATATTCTGGAAGGAAGATGCCTTAAACAGACATGTGGCATCAACAAATCCAATTGGAGTGTCCTTTTTTAGTGAACCCAAGAATGGCGGAGCAGGGAAGATTCACCAAAGCATCCCAGTCACCAGTCTATCGCTTCGGTCCGTCAGAGCATGTCAGAGCTTTGCCGCAACGGCATAAACGGCATAAACGGCATACGTGTGTAGTGAAAAAAGTACCCTCTGGTAATTTAACGTAGCTATTGAAAATGGCCATTTATAGTGGATATTCCCATTAATAATGGCAATTTTCAATAGCTACGTTAAATTACCAGAGGGTACAGTTCAGAAACAAATCCAGCTATTCGACACGTGCATAGGCTGCGGCGTTTTGTTTTGTAATCGCAAAGTTTCATGCAGACCGTCGCTGGGTGCTGGAAACACGATTCGGATTTGCTGGCAGGTTTTTTGCAGTGCAGACTCTGACTGGGTCAATGAACCCAGAAGCCTTGGATGGCAAGAGATTAGCCAGCTGTTCTCGAATGGTGGCAGGGGGTCATGCGACCACTCCCAGATGCCAACAGGGACGCTTAGCTCAGCGATGCCTGGGAAAAGTGAAGCTTGCTGCATGCTGAACAGGCAGGTCATGACTTTCTGCATTCTTTTTGCGCATTGCTTTCATTTGATGTGGGGTTTGGAAACGTTATTCATGTTTATTTGATATCATTATCATTGATATCATTGGATATCATTTGATGTCATTTGTATAGCCCACGGGATCGGGGTTGCCATGCTCCGTCCATTCAAGCTGGAGGCAACTGGTTCCGGAGACGGTCCAAGCTCACGAGCTTTTGGCTTTCAGGACAGTTCGTTTCTTGTGCGCACGTTCCTTGCACAAAGCTTATCTGAAATGGCCATGCAGATGGAGGCCAAGCCTGGCTCTCAGCATGGGAAGTTGATGGAAGCTGTATGGCCCACTCCAAATATTCCAAGACATCCCATGGGTGGAGCCTGCTGGGAACTGAGGTTCCCAGCCACTTATAGCCTTGCCGCACATCCCTTGGCAAGAGGAGAGCTCTGCTGAAGCAGCTGCCAGTTGCCATGATCGCAAGCATTCCACAATACTGTGATGAATCAGGTGGATTTGCTCAAAACTGGTTTCTTCGGGAAAATCCGGTCCTGCATGTTACTTTTGGCCCCCAGAAGCTACTAAGACAGGCTGCACTGTAAGATACCACAGTCATCAAGAAGACTCTCATTGGACAAGCAGCGTGTTCCAACATCTAAAGTCCTGGTCACGAGAACATGGCGAACATGGCATCGCTGGGGGGTTCTCCTGACGCCATGGCCTTGGATGCCTGCGGAGTGCCCAGCCGCAGCTTCCATCCAGCCGCATCCAGGGAGCAACTTTGGATGGGAAGGGAGGTCGGCTCAGGTTGAGGTTTGAATAGCTTTGGTGATGGGTGAAATTGGTGAAATTGGTGAAGTGGAATGTGAATTCCACCAAAATCACTGCTTGAGTTTCTGCCCTTTCGTTCAGGAGTTCTCGACACGGCTGGGTTGTCGCAGAGAGCCGGTGGCTGTCCCCACATGGAACCGCTTCAGAGCCACAGGCTGGATGTGTCCAGCAACTGAGTCGGGAGGATATTCCTTGTTGGCAACCAGCAAGGAGTTACGGATGCACCAGCAATGGGCCTCATTGGTGCTTGCTGGGCATGGCGCAGGTGCCTTTCATGTGGTAACTGCGGCTGTGCATGCGCCAGGGATAGATTTTGTGGGATGCATTGCTGGGATGTGCTATAGTAAGCCTGTAGCGTGGCATCTCACCAAATATACCAAATCACAGTTTTGGACTGTTTTGCCAGCTTGTGCGAGCAACTGAAAAGATGAAAAAGTAGACGCCTTACCATTTCAATCCGTTTCATCACATCAGTTTCAGTGCATTGGATGAGTTCAGCCTCCCAGTGCCTAGCATTTGTCGAACACTTTTTTTCACCCAAATATGCCGCGAGACAGCTGGACAGGCGTGGGTTGGACCGTCTTAAACGACGGGCAGCGGTCCAAGAGCTTTCAGGAAACAGCTGGGCAGAAAGTCTCGCATTGTGATCAGTGAGCCTGGTGCCCCCTGCACTTCCCATCCTCTTTCTGAAAATGCTTCAAGGTCAGGCTGCCCCACCATCACGCAAGCAGTGTGAAGCTCCATTTTTTTTAAATCATTTTTTCATATTTGTCCGTCAACTTGTCAACTTTGACTCTCGCAGTGCGGCAGGCGTCATCAATTGGACTGGAAGCAGCAGGCTGACAAAGGACGGTGACCGTCAAACGGCTATCTCTGACTTGATGACTTGGGACCTGGGCATCCTTCTGCCGAATATTTTTGGTGGTGAAATTCTGGCGCAGATGTTAGAAGTCCACGACATGGGGACAAGGTTCTGAGTTTCAACACGTCACAAGATTTCAGAATATCTGAACACAGTCGAACATGATAAATTGCAAAGAATCGCGCAACTTTGTGGAAGGATACTGTAGCATATCTATATCTATATTCATACCCGGATCTTCCGATGTAGGTATGTATTATATATTTAACATCCTGTGCGAAAACTTTGGGCCTCTTTAACAGGTTTGATATGTCCAAGATGTTCCAAGAACTTGGCCAGGAAGACGACCCGGAGATCTATCTGATCCAGGGACTCTTCGAAGCTTCCCAGTTGGAGGTGTCCTGCAGTGCTGCTACTTTTGAGAGACCATGTTTGAAGATGTCTCTTAGGGGCTTTAATTCTTCCAAACTCAGGTGCCGCAAGTCCAAAGTTGGGTCAAACTCCGTCCATATTCAACCATATCCATCCTTGAATCCATTTGAATCCTTATCCTTTTTGAATTCCATAGTCACTATATGTCATTATACTATAGTCATTGCATGTCATTACCAAAACCAGTAGGGTTTAGGGATCCATAGTCTATCCATGGCGATCCAAGTGTTTCGGCCAGGAGCTCGTTGCGCTCTGCGAGCAGCGCCAAGGCTTTGCGCCCAGCGTGCAACGCCAAGCCTCTGGGGATGTCATCGTGAATCAGTGTCGTGGCGTCTGAGGATGAAATGCAGATGTTTGAAGCCATTAAATGAGTCATTTTACTAATTTTACTCATTTTATTATGCAAAAATTGCATCTCTCATATCTCTTATTATGTGCAATATTTTGTATACTATGTACTCTATCCTGCATGTATCTTTGGACAAAAATGGTGTGTATTGAGATGCGTACCCGTTCCGGAAGAGTTGCCTTGTTTTTTCTATTTTTGAACTGACTTGATGGCAGCCTGGTGGTGGTCTATCATTCAACCACTGCTCAGGCACCGAACATCGAGCTCCTGCCCCATGCTGTGGCCACTGATGACACCTAAAGACTTTCGGTCGCCTGAGCTTTTGTCGCTTTTGTCAAGTTTTGCCCATTTTGCACTGGTGAGGTATTTCACAAAAAATATTAGGCCGCATGGCCATATATTTCCTCCAGAAGGGAACCCCCTGGACACTCTGGAAGAACTTGCTCCACCAGCTTCTAAGGATAGGCTTGAACAGCTCCGCAGCATGGGCGGCAATGAGGCGAAACTGGCCTCGCAGATAGAGAAGGAGTGGATGTACCGGTATGTACCGTTGTCATCCGTTGTCATCCGTTGTCATGCAGCGACAGCTTGATCGGTGGCCCCCAGGAGCTGCAAGCAGTGGAAGCCGTACAGAGGAGATGTGCTGAGGTGCCAATGGATCCATTTTTGGGATGCCTTGAGACCCAAACCAAGGAAGTCTTGATGTTGATTGGATAAAGGGGTTAGCACTCCATATGATTTCAAAAATCGGGGTTAGCACTCCATAATTCATGCGAAGACATCATGAGTTCGGGAAGCTGTGATTTTTTTGGGATCACATTTTGCGACTCACTGCAGCCAACACACACCGGACGCAGGTCATTGGTGTGGACGAGAATAGGATTGAGCCCTTGCAGTTGGTGAAGTATTTGCCGGGACAGTGCGCCTGACGGACAGCAGGTCTGATTTGAGGTTTGATTTCGGCTGACTTTATTGTCATTGAGCCTTTTGTGTGCCTCTCTTTCAAACCCTGCATGTCACTCCAACTTTGGCACCTGTAGAAGCCTATCAGTTGCAACAGAGAAAGCTAGAAGTGGCCGGCCAACTTCCAACAGGGAACAGATGCACCGTTGCGCGATCGTTGAGGTACTACAGCCCGCACATGGACACGCATGAAGAGCCAGAGCGGAAGTCTTCCTACTCAGGCCCCAACATCCAGAAACTTGTGCAGGTTGGTGCAGGTTGATGCAGGTTGTTTGGGTAGTGTGCGATATTCAGGCCCATGACTTGGGGTGGCCAGCCAAACCGAGTAGTGGGGGGTTATTGGATTACTTATGCCCAAACGCATGATACAGGCATTTGCTTCACATCATCAACTGACTGTACTACCTTGGATGGACATCCATTCTTCAAGGACTATGGATCATAGTAACCATTCTCAGCATTCCTCATATAGAGGGGCCATATCATACCATGCCAACTGAACAACCATAAAGATATGATAAGCATTTTCCACCAACATTGTCATATCAATTGACCAGGCATAAGATCCGTAGCACTGGAAATTGATATGACATAAATTGACATAAGCACCATCACTGGAAATTGATATGAATTCATCAGATCCATAACAATCCAATGTAGCTTTTCTTGATGCTGATTGATGCTGATTGTAGCTGTGATGATCATCCCAGTTCCTCACTTTTAGGCGAGCAGAGGACACATACCATGCTGGTCTTCCTGAGCGAAGTCGCGGAGGAGGACGGTGGAGGTCACCTCCACTTTCCTCGTTTGGGCCCGGGGCTCGGGGATTCCGAAGCAGATGGGTGGCTCACAGACGAGGCAGAATAGGCGGATGTGTATGATATTCTAATATACCCTAATTAAGTACATATATATATGAGCAGGGACCCCCACACCCCTCCCCCCCCAGCCAGATGGTTCCCCCCCCCCCTGTGGCAGGGGAGGGGGGGTTTTCTCAGCAGCCAAGCCGATTGTTGCTGGAGGAATGGTTTCTTGGCCGACATGTATATATGGTCCCGTCCTCCGTCTCTCCACCCCCCCCCCATGGGTTGGGTCCCCAGGTAGCAGCCCCAATTCCCTTCTATTTGCAAGCTATTGGCAGCATTTCTGAGGTCCAGCTGCGTATTTGCTAGGTCTTTGCAGCATTTCTGACTACCAGCCTCGCATTTACTAGATACATGCTACCTTTTAGGCGGCCTACGTAGCACACATACTCCTTCAAAGTACCTACGTGCTACCTATAGTCATATATACATGTGCTATGTATCTACTGTATCTACTTCCTATTTACTACCTGTGTACTCTGACAACACTACCTGTGTTTAACATATACCGTACCTACCATACATGTCAATGATGCCGAGCATACCATACCTATCATATCTTTCATACATACCATACATACCATACATATGAAATGTAATTACCACACCTACGTACACCTACCATACATACAATAGCAAACATACATGCCATACATACCACACCTACCTTACATAGGAAATATTCCATACCCATCATAGTAACCATACATACCATACAGACCATACATACTGTCATATCAAACATACCATACCCAACAGACTTACATACCATACCTACCATCCATACAATCCCAACCACTCATGCCATACATACCATACCTACCATACATACCAAAAACATACCATACTTTCCAAACATGCCATACCAGACCGACCATACACACCATACATACCCAACATACCATACACCACCCCCACCACACACCACAGGGGGGGAGGGGACAGGGGGGGGGAGGGGGAAGATCTCATATGGGGCCAGTATATGGGACCCATCCATGGGGGTGGGGGGAGGGGGGGTGGCAGGGCCTGGTGCATATTTATATATGATATATATATATGCATATATATATATGTATATATGTATGTACATATATATATATATACGTGTACAGTATGTACAATGTAAACGAAATATGTGATAGATACAAGATCAAGATATCAATATGTAGTATCTAGAATGTGCATATATATATATATATATTGTTTTTCTACTGTACATATGTCTAGGTTTGCATAGGTAAGCTTTGCGTAATCCATAGGTAGCAAATATGTTGTAAACCATGTGCGAGGCACGCTATAGGCGGTTCGAAAAAAAGGTTATGATAGAAATATACAGGTAGACAAGGTCCGTTGACGAGGTCGTGGCTCTCAAGTGCTGCAAATAACGTAGAGATGCGAGGTTGGAGGGGTGGAAAGGGGAGTATATATGTGTATATGTGTATGTATATGTGCAAATAACATGCAAATACTAGGTTTTGGGGGGGTGGGGGGGGTTAGGAGTGGGGGGGGGATACCATTGGGGGGGGGGGGGGGGGTGTGGGGGTCCGGGGACCGGGCTCATATATATATATATAATACATATATATAATATATAATACATATATATATATATAATACATATATATATAATATATAATATATATATATAATATAATATATATATATATAATATAATATATATATAATATAATATATATATATATAGAATATAGTATTTTATAACCACATGTAACACACATACAGAGAGAATCATAGAAAGATGCCCTGTATATAAAGAGCTTTAAAGCAGAATGATGCAAGATGATGAAGGAGTTCAACATAGATGTGAATTTTGAGGAGCGGACCCGCTTTTCACACTCCTTTTGTATGAATTTGTAAAGCAGTCGTGCATTTCTTTTGTTGAGAGTAGCAGTCGTGTTTCTTTCTATGACTGACGGCCTTCAGTGCTCCTAATCATGATTTTGTAGGTGAATAACATATGACATACTGCATGGGTGGCTTTTGTCAAATCCCAAGCCTCCACAGCTGTAGACGCTCCAGGTATCAGCGTCTTGCCCCGTGTGGGCGATGCCGTTCTGTGGCGGAACCTGACGGATGATGGAGAGCCTGACCTGTCACTGGGACGCGCACCGGGTGGGATCCCTTCAGCACTGCAACTGCGACGTGGAAACCCGGAAAGCCTCCCCTGACCCCAGCCCAAGGAGGGTGCTTCATGAAGGGGTTGCGCCAAAACAATGTCAGAAACTGGCGCCTTGGATCAGCAGATATCAACGGGCAGCTGATGCGGCATATCCAAACACGCCATCTGCGCCTTCACTTTCCGTGGCCGAGGCCATGAATGTCTGGGTGGCAGATCGGCCCTTCTCGTTGAATGCGATTTCAGCATGGCAGCCGGGACTCCCTGCATTCTCCCACCCGAGAATGTTCTTGCAACAACCTAGGCCCAAACATGCCCAAATGATATTTGGTGATTGTCTGGCGATCTGTTCATTTATGACATATTTATAGAATCTTATAGGCATGCGGAGATGATGCTTTCGCCACAGCCCACAGCCACACAACCACCAAGGCAGAAGCAAGCGCAGCCTGAGCCTTCGTCCTCTTCGGGCTCCCAATTTCTAGATTGAACCAAGCTCTCGGTGAAAAGATTGGGCAGCTGACGTCGCGTCAATCCACCGGGTTTGATATCCTGGCCTTGCTACTTGAATGTCATCCTGATGATGCCATAAGATCTCCGGAACATATTTTGTCAGAAAAGATTTGTTTAGGACTTGACCAATCTTTTGACGCGTCAGCAAGAGAAACAGGGAACACATGCCTTGCCCGAGGAGCCGGGACGATGCAACCTGTCAAGTTTCAGGAGTCCAGGGTAGGCCGGGTAGGCCGGGTAGGCCTTGTGACATGCCTGGTGGCATTGCATAGGATATGTTTTGATGAGACCCATTTCAGTGGCAAGTGGTGGCTGTTATCAGTGTCACCTACTGTTCCCAATTCATCAACTTTATTCCATGTTGTTCCTTTTGTACTTTGTCACTCTGTCTATTTTGCGGAATCGTTCCTCATGAAACCGGAGGTTCTGAGTATTAAAGGCCTGATGCCAGAGAACATCAGAGAACTACTTGGTCTAGGCTGCTTCAGTCCGTTTTCCTGCCCAGGAGCGTGGTGTTTCTCTGGCTGCTTCCGAGGCATTTCAATGCTGGCCTTTCCTTGGGCTGTAGTCGCATGTGCCCAACGGTCGTCGCTGAAGCTGAGAACGGTGCTCACGATAATGGATAGCAATATGACAATACAACTTTTGAGCCCCAAGATTCTCCAGAGAGAGTCCCAGGATGGGATTTGGAGGTTCCTCACCACCAAACATCAAAAAAGGGATTCACTTCAAGGCAGTGCTGGAGCCGTGTGTAAGCCTGAGCCATGTGCACAGGGGCTGGGTGCTGGGGCAGCTACTGTAGCAGCCTTGGTTTGGACCCCAGCAGTTTTCTGCACCTCTGAAGATGTTTCACGCGGAGGGTGATGCAGTTGTACCAGGTGAAGTGTGAGGCCAACGATGCTGATCTAACACAGTCATTGTGGGAAAGGGGGTAGGTAGTCCAGAAATCACTGCTGTAGGGTGCAACGGTTCTGTTTTGGATTTTGTCTCTTGATGGCAGACATCAAAAGACTGGATTTGACAGGTCGACAGGATTGTCCTGTTGCCTGTTTGATTAGTAATGCTACCTTTGATTCATGATGCGAGTTGGGACGTTGGGAGAGCCTCCCAAAATCTGTCAAGGGAGAAGGCTACCGTTGCACACAGAGGCCATCCTGCCCCATCTTGGCTCAAAAGATCTCAAAAGCTTCACGTGTTGGCCGCAAAAAAGGCTCCTGGTGGCCATGTCGTATTGTCCCTCCGGACCACCTGAAAGTCAACATCGAGACATTTGGGTCTCTGGCAAGGTGGGTGACAGTCGCTCCCGGTGCATCGCGACGTCTTTGCACCAGAAAGGATATGACGCATCTTGGCAGCGAAAAAAAACAAATCGAAAGCTCCAGGTCTTCCGATGCGTGCTCCGAGATTTGGTTCAGGTTACCAATCGTGACTACCATAGAAATATAATAACATGTAACTCGTTTTATTTTATGATATAGACACAGCATGAAACAGCTAAGTCTTCTACACATTTCTATGGCTATGTAATTTGTCTTGTCATGCCAATTCTTGTGTCAATAGCAAGAGCCAAAGAACGCGAAGAGCCCTGCTGACCAGGTCACTTTGGTGCAGGTGGCCAAATCTTCAGAGCAGCCCTTGACTGCTTGGGGCGAAGTGAATGTGGACAAACCCAGAAAAGCTCGTGCCACTCCCATGGCCGGCAGTTTGGGCAGCCTGGACACCATCAAGAAAGCACGTGCCTAGTGAACTCCCAGCGGACTCCTATGGCGGACTCCCAGCATGGCCTCGCTCTGATGGTCCCAAAGTGGAAAAGACGCAACCTCTGCCAACTCTTCCAGACAAAAAAAGGGACCATTTTGGTGAGAGTTCGCACACTTTGATGCAAGCTGTATGGCTGGATTCCTGTTTGTTCACCATCGCACCGGGAGAATAGCAGAGAGAGAGAGAGAGAGTTTACTGTACATGAGTTCACTTGAAGCTTTCAACGTGATATGGCAATATATGATGATATATGGCATATATGGCCAATTAGGGCCAACTGGTGAGGCCACTGCAGCAAGATAAGATGCGTCTGCTGTGCCAAGGCCATTCGCTCCAAAGTGCGGCGACGGGCGCATGCTGGACATCCCAAGTCTGGACGTCACGGCGTGGCCGCAGCAGCCAGCGGCACAGTGTCTACGCCCATCGGATTGCAGGTGATATGGTCGGGGGGTGTGGGTCATAGCCATTGGTACCCCAGCTGGAACCCTCCAAGAGCAAAATCGAATCATCTTGTGATTGGTTCGAACAAGTATTTTGACATCATTTCAGGGTCTGACAGCTGCCTGGACAGTGCCACCCTTATTTTAAAAAAATGTTCTGAGATGTCCTGGCATGGCAGACCCATGCAAATCCTGCGCAAGTTGCCTTTTCCATGATGCGGGCATATGTCTAACCTCCAAGTTTGCAAGAGGATGCTGCAGCACGGCGTGTCATCAATCAAGACCCAGAGGTACCCGTAGGGTTTCCCCAATCATTTGTTGCAGGGTTTCCCTTTTGAATCTGCCCCTGAACTCTTTCTCTGTCAGGGGGCACATCAAAAAGAACAGCCAGAGGCTGGTGCCGCCGGCTATGGGCACATGAAAACGTGAGGACATTTGAGAGGCAAAACGTCTCAGCTGAGCATAGCTGAGCTGCTTTTGATGTTCTTGGGATTCTTATTCAGATGAACCTGAGCTATTTGATCCTATTTGATCCTATTTGATCCTATTCGATCCTATTTGATCCTATTTGATCCTATTTGATCCTATTTGTGGATCTCCAACTTTCTACTTTGGGAATAGTGGAATGCTCCATAATGATCCCCAAAAAAAATGTGGCCAGTGTAATCCATTAATGTCCAGTATATCAACAGATATCAATACTGTCAATACTATATCTCTGAGATTCTCCGAGTCTATTGCAGTCTATTTGGGTATTAGAAACTAGAAACCTTATGAAACCTTCACATCTTATGGATGGTAAATGATGGTTAAATGAGTTAAATGTACGTTAAATGTGAGGCCAAGGTCACGCCTTCCAAGTGGAAGATGCACGAGGACTTGATGCAGAAAGGCTTCGAGAGGCGACCAACTTTGACCAATATTGACCAATGGTAGGTCCTGGTGATTCAGTGATGGGACATGTATGGAAATGTATGGACATATGAAATCAAACATAGTTAAATCGTGTTGCAGAGAGCGATAGAGAGAGAGAGAGAGATACATAATACACACACAGATATATATATATACATATCATGAAATACATATTTTGAAATGTCTCAATCTTGTTTACCATGTTTTCACATTTTTTCTGGTGTTTGGGATGGTCGGATGTGTTTGGGCTTCAAAAAAATCACTGCAGCGCAACCAATTCGTACCAGATCATCGCCAGTGACCTTTCGCCTCGCAGGCTCTCTGATTTAGAAGCCAGCGGTTTGTTGGATCAGTGCATCAGGCCGTGGGGTGGCCTGTTGTGGCCTGTTGTGGCCTGTTGTGGCTCTTTCCTCTTGCTCCACAACGAAGAAAACACGAAGATCAAGTTATGAGAAAATAACTGGAATACACTGCAGATCCAGAAAGCTGAGAAGAATTGGAATTACCGAGAACATGTGCATTGCATGATGACTCCATAATTCTAACACACACACATATATATATATATATAATATAATATATATATAATTATGTATATATATAATATATATATATATATAGTATATATAATAAACATATTAATATATATAATATATAATATATATATATATATATTCTAATATACATATATTTACCATCTGGACCCAGATGGCACGCAAAGATACGGCCAACCGTGTCCGTTGGGACGTGAGCTCCAGGATCAGTGAGCGTGCGCTCCGCAGAGTCTTGGAGAGCGCCGACCAGAAGTTTCGACAGCTGGACATGGAAAAGCCGAAGGTGTGGGGCCACGATGCAGACACAAAAAAAGAATCTTTGAGTGAGATAAAATGGGTGGATGCAACCAATGGGAGGAGGTTTGTTGTCCATATATATATATATACACACGATATATAGGTCTTTGATTTTTTCCCCCAGGTGTGCAGGGCTCATTGTCCTCGTTTCGTGATACTTGACATTGACTGAGCTGCTTTTTGGACAAAAACTGCATCATTTGTGAAACACGTGACCCGCCTTTCATCGCCTTTCCAAAATGATATTAAGGATTATTAAGGGCACTGTAGGTTGTTTTCCGAGGATGTGGACGAGGGAGCGCAATTTTTTTTCAGACGCCTTGATTCATTGGTCTGGCATGGAGGTGGCAGGCATTCTGTCGACCCCTGGCATCCTTGAGATCTTTGGTGGTGCAGGTGTGCAATGGGAAGAGGTCAAACACCATCATCATCATATATCATCATAATCATCATCAGAAGAATAAGAATAGTATGAATAAGAATACTGTAAGAATCATATTCTCATCACCCCCATCATCAGCATCAGTATGAATATATATATATGAATATTATGAATCGGTCTTTGCTAGGGATCCTGCTTCATGTGATTCCTGACCACCCAAGTTCTCCTGATCTTGGCAGCGCTGTGAGTTGTGACGGACTCCAGGTTGGGTTGAGGAAGACTACTGGCTGGTACTGCCGGAGGGCACTCCTTTGGAGTCAGTGCCTCAATTTTGGATCATTTACTCAAGTTATATACCCTCTGGTTATTTAACATAGCCATGGAAAATCACCATGTTTAATAGGTAAACCATCTATAAATATTATAAACGGGCCATCTATACCATGGCTATGTTAGTCATAAACAGAGGGTACTCAAGTTATATAATTAAGGCCATTACACATCATTAAGCACAATTAGCCATAAAGATCATGAAGATGCGGGACTGCCATCACCTGGCATGGTAACACAAGGCTCACGCAACGTGCTGTTGAAGGCTTGCAGAAGGAGCAACGGCGCAGAGCTACCGTAGGGCTGCACATTTTTCTCAGAGTTCGGCACGGCTGATTTTTACTGATGTCTACTGACATGAGCCTGTTTACCCAGTTTACGTTAGTTTACAACATTTTACAACATTAGTACATTTTACTTTACCTTTCAGCCTTGCAGTCGTCAGCACATGTCAGCACTGAGGTTCAAAGCACTGCCGAAAATCCCAACGAGCCAAAGCCTCAGAGACGAGGCGATGCCACAGTGCCACAGCCTCCATCGGCGATGAGGCGTCGCTTCAACCCGTGGGATGGAAAGCTCTACACCTTCGAGGAGTTTAAGTGGGAGGATCATGGGAAAATCGATGAAAATCCTCAAGGGACTCTCCAACTATTGACACAATTATTATCCCTCTGGTAAACTAACATAACTATGGAAGATCAGCACTTTTGAGGGGTAAATCAACTATAAATGGCCATTTTGAATAGCTATGTGAGTTTACCAGAGGGTATATTGATATATGAGCCGATTTTGATACGTGCTGTCTTGCGGTCAGGAGCTGGAGAAGTGCCTCAACAAGGCGGACTTGACCTTGGCCGAGATCCAGGACAGTACACCTCGACTTGGATCCAGTCGTGGATGGCTGATGGCTGTGAGTCAAAAGAAACACCTACAGAAGCAAACTTGAAATAAACACGCGTGTAACTGTGTGTGTGTGTGTGCACTATTGTGTATATATATATATATATCTCCGCTGCCAGTTTGGCGCAAGCCCCGTCTCATTTATTCAAACCGTAGCATTCTTCATATATTTTACTACTTACTACCTTAGGTGTCCTTAGGTGCCATGGCTTCGGGGAGTCCTACTACCAAGGGTTTAGGGAGTCCTAGTGCCAAGGCTTTGGGGAGTCCTACGAGTCGAGACGACAGGGAAGTATCGGAAATGCTCCTCAGTGTCAGCAGCTGGTGCATGTGCTCTGTCGGGATGATCGTTTTCAACAAGCTGGCTGTGGTGCATTTCCCTGCAGTATGCGTCCTGGTTGCTCTGCAGATGGGATACTGCTGCCTGGTCCTGCTTTGTTTTGCTTGGAAGTGGATTCACTTTGGATCAATCAACGACGTGCTGCGCTGGTCCATGGTGACGCCGTTTTTCAGCGGCGTGTTGCTCACCTCAATGCTGTCACTGAAGCATGCATCCATGTCGCTGTTGGTGGTTCTGCGATGCCTGTCTCCCATTGCCAGCCTCGTGGTGGAAAGCTTTTACCCTCACCCGATACAGGTGAATGCTGCCATGTTGGTCTCCATTTTCATGATGCTGGTAGGAGCCACGCTGTACGTCTCAACGATGCCCCAGGAACACTTCGTTGGGCTGGGCTGGGCGTTGATCAACACGTTTCTGGCTGTGGGCGATCGGCTGCTGCAGCGCTTGATGTTGGCGAAGGATCAGCACCCCGTGGACATCTCCAAGGCTGGGGTTACCTTGCTGAACAATTTCTTCGGCCTGGTTACTGTGCTCTTCTGCGCTCACATCACCCACGAGTGGGAGACTTTACCCCAACTGTCTAACCTCCAAGGCCTCAGCGTCATATGGATCTTCGCCAGTTGCATCGTGGGCGTGGGCATCAGCTTCACAGGTATTTGGTGCCAAAGTCTCATCAGTGCCACCAGTTTCTTGGTCCTGATCAACGTGAACAAGTTCTTGATCATCGGCATAGAGGCCATCTTCATGTCCCTCAATGTCGTGCAGGTTATGGGTGCGTTGGTCGCCATCCTTGGAGGGGTCACCTATGGCAAGGCTCAAGAGGCACTAAGTGAGAGGGATCCGAGGGAAGCGGCACCACTGGCACCAAAGTCTGGATCGCCTTAAGAGCGCTGTCCTGCAGGAATGGTAGGGAAAACAAAACCATCAGCTAGCTTCTGCGACGAGAGCTTTGCCCATACCACGTAGATTGATTAGATTGATTTGTTGCCTTCATTTACTTATTCTATCACATCAGATCCTGCTGGAAACTCACTTGAGTCATCATCGCGCCAGGAGCATTGGGCTCATCGATGCCGGCCACTCACCCAGAAGGACTGGGATGACTGGCTGCTGGATTTAATTTGTGAGACTGTTCATGACTTTGCATGACTTTGCTTTTTTGATGAGCATCTTGTCTTGAGGTGGGGTATGAGCCCCGGGTGTTTACAATTGCTGATCTCTTGCTTCTGCTTGCTTCTAGACTTGCAGGATTTGATGGTAGCTTTAAGAATGCTTTAAGGCTCACGGCTTCCGTATTTTGTGGTTTGGCTCGCAGGAAGGGGCTGCGATTGGTGGACCAGAGGTCCCTGTCGTCTCAGAACCGCAGGCCCAGCCTCAAAACCATGGGAGCAACCCCAAATACTATCAAATACCATCAAATACCATCAGCTACCTTGATTGGTTCAGGGCTTGGCTTTTGGTGAATAATTTATGACAAAGCTTCCTTAGCTTTGTCAATTTTTTCGCTTTGAACATTTGGTTTTTCAGCCTGTGGTGGTCATCTGCTTCCGGGCATCTGGGCGCGAGGTAGAAGCCTGGCAAAAGATCTGGAAGATCCAATCCATCAATCGCATGTGGACCTCTGCCGATCTGGCGCACGCCCAGATCCCAGCCACCATCAGCCACCATCAGCCACCCATGCTCCCTATCCATCCCTATGGCCCTATGTGTTCCATGGTCCACCCGTGAAGCCATGTGATTTTCAATGCCAAATGAATCTTAGGTCCATGCGATCAGTGGTGCCGTCTATCTGGCATTAGGCCCCAGATGGGATGCAGATGGATGCAGCAAGAAACAGTTTCTGAATGGCAGGCGTAGCATAGCATAGCCTCTGGTAATTTAACATGACTATTGAAAATGGCCATTTATAGCTGATTTACCCATTGAAAATGGTGATTTTCCGTAGTTATGTTAGTTTACCAGAGGGTAGCCCCTGTACAGCCACAAAAAATCCACCAAAAAGTGCAGGCGCTGCAGTTCTGCTGGATACCTCCATGGCGGATCTCATGATTCTCAACGGGAATAGCTGGGTGCCGGCCTTGGTGCCTGTTTTTGCCAATGGTTTTGTCAGAGCATTTGAAGCATATCACTGATATATACTGATATCAATTTATATCATTTATATATATATATATCCCTTAAGATCACTCAGTAATGGTACGGTATATCGGTATATCCCGAAAGCTAGCTTGCTAGCTGGAGTTGGATTTGCTTTAGCAATGAATGGGGGGCAGACAGGATGCGGCAGCTTCCATGATCTTTCATGTCGAACTGGTTTTTGGGCCCCGTTGTTGGATATGAATGGATATGATGAATCATGTCGAATTGTGACCCCCCTCCCAATTCCCTCGCTGAGTCCATCCCGCTGGGTTTCATCTGTGACCACAGGTTCGCATACCCACACACACACATATACAAGATGATATTCACCGTAAGTGTTCTGAATGTAATGCAATGCAATTGAATCTAATGTAATCTAATGTAGTGGAATCTAATCTAATGCAATCCAGTCTAATCTAATGTAATGTAACCTAATTGTAGTGCAACGTAAATCTAATCTAATCTAACCTAATGCAATGTAACGTAATGCAATGCAATGTAATGTTTGCATTCCATTTCCTCAAGAGGTCTGCATGAAAACATGACCCGGTCTCCGCGGGGAATGGAAGATGCGCATCTTAAGATTCCCGAGCATATCTTGCTCGATGCATGTATATCATGTATGCACCTGACCTAAGTTACCAGATTCTAAGATTGGGGTTATTTGTATACAGTTCAAAAAATGACACTGAAAAGGTCGCGCCGCATATTCTCTCAATACACACCCCTCCTCACCCACCTGGCTTTCGTCCCCTTCCCTTTGGCCTCAAACTAATGGACTGCTTAGCATATCTCGCTTTGAGCTGGCGCAAACCGACCATGGACCCTAGGCTCCCACACTTCCCTTGGAGGCCCTTGCGCACATGTCGTTTTTGAGCAGGGGATGTTTCAGTAAAACACCTAAAACGGCAGCTTACAGTATCACATCAATCATATCATATCTATGGGGGATGAACAGCTGTACCAGCTATTTTGGTGTTCACCAGGGTGCCAGGATCTTGACAATACACTACCTCCTTAGGTATCAATTGAACTACACTGGCCATACATGGCCATACCACCCTATCCAGTTTTCACCGATTCCATGAACTCAAAAGCATCATGCCACAGTGAATTCCACATGTTATGTAGGTTTCTGGTTTTCTTTTCGGCTTGTAATCTCCATCAACAGATTGGCTTTACATCCCCATCATCCCCCTTCTTTTTCACTTCCATATATCTTGCTGCTGAAACGATCTAAATTTTTGGTGGTTGACTCACTAGCTCGTTTGATTCATTGGATGAGTTTAAGGGAAGATCTGCAGGAAGCCCGTGTTTTTACCATCAAACATATGGGGTTTTCCTATGTTTTCCTGCAAGGTTTCCCAATCCACTCGGGTTGATGGGACACCAGATGAAGTTTCTGGCCCTGGCGGCTGGAGTTTTGAATGCCCTCAGTGGTCTCCAGCCAAGCCTCCTGGGATCGTTGGGGGCCTTAGGAGATCCGAAGAGCGGCAGATGGCAATGGCAATGGCCACGATTGATCAATTTTTGGATGGTCTTACTCGAGGTTTTTGTTGAATCGTGGTGTTAATATGTTCCCACTCATATACTCATGCACTTCAATGTATTTTTTCGTTGTTGTTTCTTTCATCCGTTTTTTGAAAGGGAACTTCAGCTGCAAATGACGGGATTTTCTATTGGAGGGCTATTTATGTTTGGATTTTTTTTTTTTCGCGGCAGGTTTTGTTTTTTTTTGTTCCTGGTTCTATGCTTTCCTATTTCTCTGATTTTCTGCGTTTCTGCTTTTCTGCTTACATTGCTTCTCTGCTTTTCCTGCCTTTCCTGCTTCTCTGCTTTTCTGCTTTTTGCTTTCCCTGCTTCCCTGCTTCTCTTCTTTTCCTGCTTCTTTGCTTATTTGCTTTTTGCTTTTCCTGCTTCTTTGCTTTTCTGCTTCTCTGTTTTCCCTGCTTCTCAGCTTTTGTACTTCTGTGTCCTAAATGAAACCCTAGAGAGGCCCTAAATGAACCCATATGAACCCTAAAGGCCCTAAAGAAACCATAAATGAACCCCAAAGAAACCATAAATTAATCCTAAAGAAACCATAAATGCAAACCTAAAGAAACTTTAAATGACACCCTAAATGAAATCCCAAAGAAACACTAAATAACACTCTGAAAAAAAACAACTAAATGAAACCTTAACTGACACCTTTGCTGAAACCCTAAATTGACACCCTAAAGAAACCCTAAATGAAACCCTAAATGAAACCCTAAATAAAACACTAAAGACACCCTAAAGAAACCCTAAATGACAACCTAAATGAAACCCTAAAGGAACCCTAAAGGAACCCACTTGAACGTTTTGAAATCGTGAAAAGAAATCCTGAGAAGAAACCCTGGAATGGAACCCTAAAGAAATCTTAAATGAACTCCTGAATGAAACCTTAAATTGAAACCCTAAAGAAATCCTAAATGAAACCCTAAATGAAACCGTAAAGAAACCCTAAATGAAACCCTAAATGACACCCTAAAGAAACCCTAAATGACAACCTAAATGAAACCACAAATGAAGCCCTAAACAAAACCCTAAATGAAACCCTAAATGAAACCTTAAATGAAACCCTAAATGAAAGCCTAAAGAACCCTCAAGAGACCCACATGAACGTTTGAAGTACCAAAATGTAGCAAATACCATGCAAATGAGGTTGAAATGCCAAAATGTGACAAATACCATGCAAAATGGAAGGCGAACATGGCCAAATGTAGCAAATGCCATGCAAAATGCAAAGTGACCATGCCAAAATGTAGCAAATACCATGCAAAATGACAGGTTCTAGTTCCAAACTGTTGCAAATACAAGGCAAATGGTACCGGGAAAGAACGCCAAAAAGAATCCAAAACCTGAGGCAAAAAAAAGTCCAAAAACTAATCTACACCCTTTTCTATTGACAGGTTTGACACTATGGATACATCAGCTCCGGATAAATGATCCACATGAACAACCCAGTGGGGATATGTGGGGATACCAACTCTCGCGGTGTGATGTAGAATGTAGACAATGCCTGCCTGTCTGATGTTGTTTTCATGGCTTCAGGCGCAGCGATGTGCTGAAACTCCTGGGGTTTGGAAAAAAGGGCGATGTGAAGACTGGCGGGTTCTTGAAGCTTGGCCGCCTTACCCCAAAAACACATTGGCCTTGGGCATGCTTAGGCAAGCAAATTTGAGCCACCTGTTTTGGCGTGATGCGCTACGGTTTCTTGACATTTTTTTTAGAGCTGTTTGAGCTCGTTCGCACTTTACTTTGGCAAAGCATTGGTGGTAAATAGAGTTCCTTCAGGGATCCTTAGCTTCACTTGGAGTTCTGCAACGCCCTTTCCCCTCCGAATATCCTAGGAATGCAGCTGCATTCTACATGGTTGCATGCTCAGTGGTGGCCACACAACCCCATCATACCCCATCCATCCCCTTTGATCCCTCTGCGTAGCCGAGCCCGGAGGTGTTGGCGTATCAAGCCGCTCGTGCTGTGTGGCCAGAGCTAGCCATCTTGGATCCCATTGCTGGAGGGGTCACCCTGCTGCTGGTGGCACATCAGGTGTCACCCAAAGTCATCTCCTGGTGGCTGAAAATTCCACATGGTGCACCAATCCACAATGTTGGCATTTGTTCAAAAGGGTCGGAAGTCCGACTGATGTCCATGTTCTACCGAGTTCTACCAACATCTTTGCATGACTGGCTAGCTCCACGTCGCTTACGTCGCTTCAGGCCACTTAGATTGGATAGGGCCAACTGCTGGCTGCAGGCCTTTATCCTGAACTGCTGGGTCCAGAGTGGTCAGATGCATCGTGTGGATGCGTTCCTGGTCCCTGGCATCTTCAATCTTCCGGTCTCATGGCGTCAGCTGGTGATGGCAGTCGCTGTCAGGTGTAATCAGCAGTTCCAAGTTGATCAAGTTGGTTCCAAGATGTTCCAAGGTATCTTTGCATTTGCTCGTGGGCAGCCAGGCGCAGATTTTTATAGGCTGATAGTGTTGGTACCTGCCCCTTTCGCTGAAGACTGGCAGATCTGGAGATCCAGCCGCGGTCTCAGGCGTGGTGGGAAGAGTTGTGCAGTCGATATGATGCCTGGCCAGAGTGTGGAATCTCAGCAGTGGCGAAGGTGGGTCACCATGGGTCACCTAGCACCCCTCTGCGATAAATTCTGCTTGTATAATGTGAATGCGCAAAGGCGCGTCCAGTGCATGATGGCTAAAGGGCATGCCAGCCCTACAATGCCCCAAAAACAATCCTGTACAATGATGCCAAATCATACCCTTTAGACTGGGCCACTCCACAATGTTTTGGTACCCTTGGCCCTTGCCATCCTATCACCCTCTTCGATGATCTGGAGATCTGGGCGCCCAGGTTCTTCTTCTCGGGCAACTTTGCAGTCGCCTGGGCTTGCTCTTTGGCACAGAATCAGCGGCGGATTCGATGGGGCATTGATGGGCATTGCAAGCTTCCACCAGTCAGAATTACAGAAGCTCTGCAGACATCTGCAGACTGCATCTCCTTTTTATCTCCTTCCAAACATTTCCAAAGTGACAGATTTTGCAATGGTGGTTCCATGTGCTGTTGATGTTACATGGTTTTAGCCCAAATTTTTGCGGATGGGTGTAAGGTCTCAGCCATCTTGGCATGGCAGTTGCCACATCCCTGAGGCGCCATGGTGACACTGGTGCTGTCGCTGTATGAGAGGAGCCAGTCTGCATGGGAGGGCACGTGATCCCCGCACCGCAAGTCATCCAAGGCTAATCCGCTAGGCCCCATCAAAGATGATCTTTAAAGTAAAGATATTGAAGATCTATGAAGATCTATTTGAGTTACAAAGTCATTTTTTTCTCTTTTTTTGAGTGGGCAGGCTTGGCTGGCTGGCTGCCACGTCACAGGAGGGTTATCAGTTTGGAGCTGCGTAGCTTGTTGATGCTGACCTTCCCAGCGGTGGTTTTCCTCACAGCCGGTGCCCCAGTGAAGGGGCTCTGCCACTGGAACCCTGGAGTGAGCCATGGCAGTGTCGCAGCTTCCTTACGCGGGCCAGGATTCATTTCTGGTGAAATGGATGTGGAATGATGTGGATTAAAAAAAGGCATCTTTGTGGACCCCGTTTGATGGCCATCAAACGAGGGCCACGCCATTTTTCGTTTCTCTGATCCAAGGTCCTTCTCCGCGCTTCGGTTTTGTTGCCACACGCGCTGGATGAGAATCTTTGGCTGCTGGTGACACTGAACCCATGAGGCAACAGACCTTGGTGACGTGCCTGGTGATGCTCAGGCCTTGTCGGGACTTGTCAAGACGCCAAGACCACAGAACTTTCGAGGAAATCCGGGGATTGCAGCAAGCACCCATCCTCAAATATTTCAAACGTAGATAGATTCAAAACCTCGCTTTTTCCGTGGCCTATTTGGTTGGAGCAGACCCTTGGCCATGGGACTTTTGTTTCGGGCCTGCACCGATTTTTTAAGATTGGGAGAGACCCGAGAGGATATCTGAGGTGGAGTTTATATATTTAATTCCATTTTCTTGAAAGCGAGACTGAGACGGATATGGTGGATATGATATATATATATAATGATACTATTACCAATAATAGGAGGGCGATTTCTTTGGGAATTATTATGTTTTCCCGTTTTTTTGTTGTTTTTGGATTTCTGTTTCCCTGCTTCTTTGCTTTTTGCTTTGCTGCTTTTCCCTGCTTCTGCTTTTATGCTTCTTTGCTTCTCTGCTTCTCTGCTTGTTGCTTTTCTGCTTTTCTTCCTTTCCCTGCTTCTCTGCTTCTTTGCTTTTTATTCTGCTTCTCCGCTGTTTTCTGCTTTTTTTTTTGGGGGGTTTCTCAACCCTAAACAGACACCAAGATGCATAATATAAATACACCCTAAACCAACCCTAAATAAACCCCACACCACCGCCCCCAAAAGACAACAACAACTTTAAGTAAACCCTTAAAAACCTCAAATCTGAAACTTACCCCAAACAAACCCTAAACATACCTATAGCGACGGACAATCACTTAGAATGTATTATTTTTTCCCAAAATTTAATTTTTGCACTTAGAACGTAAAAAAATCGCATCACTTAGAATGTAGGAAAATTTATCACTTAGAACGTAAAACCATCACCTAGAACGTAGGGAGGCCAATTCAACACTTAGAACGTAAAACCAACACTTAGAACGTGCTAAGTGCTTGTCCGTCGCTATAATCAACACTTAGAACGTGCTAAGTGATTGTCCGTCGCTATAATTATGAACAATTAACATATGATATGTATATACATACATTATAAATATATATTATATAAATACTACTACTATCCAAGTACCCACCGTTTCAAATCAACTGTGATGGTTCCCTTCCATGCACAATAAACATAACCCTCCAACTATCATCATTGACCCAGACACGTTCTAAGTGTTAAATTCCCCGGTACGTTCTAAGTGATGAATCTTGATATTTGGACGTTCTAAGTGTACCTCTTAGAACGTAGAGAATTCATCACTTAGAACGTCGCTGACGGCAGAATATTCAGATTTTTTTCCAAACTACGTTCTAAGTGATTGTCCGTCGCTATAAATAAACCCAAACTAACACACCAAAAAAACAACAACCTCACGTAACCCGTAAACAAACCCAAACTCTGAAACTTACTGTACCCTAAATAAATCCTAAACCAGCCCTAAATAGATCATACACCCACCCCAACTAGATCTTAAACCAAGCCTAAATAATCCTTGCACCAACTCTAACTAAAACCAAAACCAACCTTGAATAGATCCTATATATAAATCTTAAACCACGCTGCCCTAAAGAAACCCTAAACCAACCCTACATAGATCCCAAACCAACCCTAAATAAACCCCACACCAACCCCCCCAAAAGACAACAACAACTTTAAGTAAACCCTTAAAAACCTCAAATCTGAAACTTACCCCAAACAAACCCTAAACATACCCTAAATAAACCCAAACTAGCACACCAAAAAAAACAACCTCACGTAACCCGTAAACAAACCCAAACTCTGAAACTTACTGTACCCTAAATAAATCCTAAACCAGCCCTAAATAGATCATACACCCACCCCAACTAGATCTTAAACCAAGCCTAAATAATCCTTGCACCAACTCTAACTAAAACCAAAACCAACCTTGAATAGATCCTATATATAAATCTTAAACCACGCTGCCCTAAAGAAACCCTAAACCAACCCTACATAGATCCTAAACCAACCCTGAATAAGCCCCACACCAACCCTAAAACTAACCCTAAAAAAAGCAAAACCAACCATTAAAGAAAGACCACCAACCCTAAACCAATCCGAAAGAACCACTAAAACAAACCTAAACAAATCCTAAATGGACCCTAGCCGCAAAATACCATCCAACATGAAAAGGAAAATGAGAGGTTCGAACTCCAAAATGTTGCAATACCGTTGAAATGGCAGCTTCCAGCTCCAAACTGCTGCAAATTACAAGGAAAACGGACAGAACAGAAGAAGCAAAAAAAAAGTCCAAAACGGGAAAAAAATGGAGAAAACAATTCCGGACCCATACTAATATGGTATATATATATATATCGTGTCAGGAAAGGTCACTCCCATGAAACCAGGCACACCTGTCCCTGTCAGATTGGCGCCCTGGTGTTGTTTCCATTGGTTCCCGCAGTTTGCGAGGGGGTGTTTCAAAGCCCTACTTTGTGAAACTGTGCTAGTTTCAAAGTCCTGGGCATACTGCCTATGATGCCTATGACGATCCCATTGACAGACTCGCCTCGCCTCGTGCCTCGGAAATTTGCCCGCAGGGAGCGATCCAAATGTCCAGCCCCAAAGCTGGCAATAAACTATGTTTGCCATGGGATTGGAATTTGGTTAGTAGTTGAAATATCATGAAATGTCCGTTTTCAATACCAGCTTAGTATTTGGACATATGATTCCAGTTTATGACATCTAGATACATCTAGGTTCTAATTCTATCTAGTAATTCTGCTTGTGATGCGACTCGCCAACCAGAAATCAGAACTTGAAAGCCGACATTCCAACGGTCGACCACCGCAGGTCGACCTGAAGTCCTTCGAAGTGGAGGTGGTCGCTTTTGTGTCTGATGGAGTTCGGCACTCGGCGATGCTTAAGGAGGATTTTTCCATGGGGAAAATCCATGGGAACATATCCCATGGAAAATCCTGACTATTAATGGATGTAATGGGAAAATATGGGAAAATATGGGAAAGCAATCAGAAGTAATCTATCATGATCCTCTATAAATGAGGGAGTTTCCCAGCAAACCATGTTTGATTACCGGAGTTCGTCTCACCACTCGGACGACGCTGCTCAGGTGGATGAGTTGCAGGTGGCCGCCGGTGCAAAGCGAAGTGAGCTGATGGGTAATTCAGAGTTGCCGGGAGACCAAGAAAATTCTGATTGGTCACTACCCATATAATTACCCATCAGTTGGGAAATGTTGGGAATGAGAGGTAACACTTTGAATTTTCTCTGATGCTTTCTTTGTGGTGCCTCTTTTGCTTCCGTAAGGAGGCTTTCAAGTGCTTAGGGTGGCTCGTCGTACTAGGCCAGTGCAGAGAATGTGAGCACTGCAGAAAGTAGGGTCCGACTGGATCCCCGAAAACCACGCCATCCACTCGTTTTTACCCGTTGGATTCCCCACACATCTATCGTATTTGTTTGCTGCAATTCAAGATATGAAACATTATGAAACTATGTGAACAACAATGTGATATTTGCTGGTTGAATCATGTTAACAATGTTGAATCATGCTGGATCCAACAGGATCCCATTAGCCGAGGTTGCTGCTGGGTCTACGATCTGGTGGATGTCGAGCTCGACAAGTCACCCTGGGAATCCAGAAGGCAGGGGGAAAGGCTTAGACGTGCAGCTGCAAAACAGGACTAGTTATGACTTGTTATGACTACAGATGATTACAGTAGTTTATTCTCGAAATAGTGAGGGGATGTGAGGGGTATTTTTAGGTATTTTTGGTCTAATATAGATCGCCAATGATCACCATGTTTTGACCACTGATCGCTGAATGCGCATTCAATTTACTGTAGCCAGTCCGTAGCCACCAAACATGAATTGCAGGCATGGCAGCCTTTGAAGTGAAGGGATTTGAACTACCTCCATGGGATGTGGAAAGGGGGCTGGATGTTAGTGACACACATTAGAGGGTTTCTTTGAGGATCCAATGGTGAATTGGATGTGGTTGCATCGTGTGGCTTGAAGCTTGATACTTCCCAAACATTCCCAAACAAGTTACTAGATGAGATGATAGTTGACATATCTTAACAGCACATTAAACGCATTTAAAAGCTTCCACCATCTTCCACCTGTTCCGCTGCCCCCTGCCATGACGTCAGCCAGGGCGACCTCTTGTCGCGTGCTGATGACACAGCCGCCCTTTGTGTGGCACAAAAGGCCCTGGAGTTCTTCAGAGGTGGGCGTGGATGCCATGAACAGCACGTCTGTCCGGTCCCAGCACACAGAAACTGTCAGTGTTCCAATCTCTCAGCAGCTACTGTACTTCGCAGCTACTTCATTGTATTGGCATTCTTATGCTACTCACATGGGTTGCCAGCATGTTATGGAGCCTGGTGATGAGATTGTAGTGTTGAAAGGCCCCAGATATATCCATGTCCGATACTCTGAAGAAGAAGAACTGCATTTTTCCTTGCATTGAACCGGAAAAGAACCATGCTCACGTGGTGAATCTCTTCCCACACGTCACGATAAATTGTGTTTGAAAGAGGCAGCTCATAGTTACAGGATTCTACAAGCTCTAACCATGGCGGCAAATCCTTGGGTGCCATGATGCATGCTTGCTGCGTCCAACCTGCCGTGGAAGTAGGGCATCTTGGCGTGCCAACATGGGCAAGGTGCCAGGGTTGCTGTGTCAAGAGAAGTTCTATATACAGTTTGTGTATTATGTGGATTCAGAGAAGAAGAATGGGACTATTATGGAAAATCAGTATCATCAGTGTCTTGTAATTAGCACGAAAGGCCGTTCTAGTTTCAACAGAACATGGTTGTATAATTGTATCGTCACAGAAGTTCTGCCTGTCTGCAGGCAATTCTTTGTTTCGCAGGATTCAGGCAACATCTTGAAGCACACTTTTTCACTATCATTTCATCCCGCAGGGCCATATTATATCGTTGCTTTGTCCTGCTCCTATTGACCCACTCCCCACTTCCCGCAAACCTGTTGCGCGACAATTACAAAAGAAAACCTTTCGCGACCACACGGGCACAAGATAGCCCGACAAGCCCACGTTATTCCCCTTCCCCAACCCTAGTTGCTTACCCAAACTGATGCAGACCGGAGTCCAACACCATGCTGCTCACAACTGTATTATGAATGATTATGAATCTGATTATATATATATATGCAGCAACTGATTATAAATGTGCATACACAAATAGACATGTGACACATCTCCGCCGGAAAGCTTTGGAGAAGTCTTGCCTGTGTCAAGGTCGCAGCTTTCACGTGGACGTGGAAGGCTCTGCTTGAAGGAACCAGGACCGTTTGATGCTCACTGGATCTGGGGCTGACGGGATAAGTTCAAAAAATGTCCGACAGTTCGCATTGAGGAGCATGTGGCTCTGTCGACGATGGCTGGTTGGCTTGCGACGTTAGCAGGGAAGATGCTTCGCTGAATACTTATTGAATTGCTTGGGAGCTGCAAATCACTATAGCTAGCTTCCAAAACTGGTGTATCATTGGCAAAAATACCAACCGGACTTTGGCGGGCCTCCACGAATGAGTTTGAGAATTGGCTATTGTCATTGGTTTGAAATGGGTATTGTGGGTTAATGCGGGTTGTGAATGATTGTAATGGAGGCTTTCATTCTTTGGATTGGGGGTTGGAGCCTCTAGTGACATCGGTTCTTTGTCGACACTGCAAGTATACTGGGCACTTGCCGTACATGGGATGGCATGTATGTAGTGGAGTCGGTTGAGCAGTGGTGTAAGCAACACATGTTTAAAAAAAACACGTCATGCGGCATCATCATTGCATCATCGAGGTTTGCCCAGCCCGCCTTCCATTGCCAATGTTTATAATGTTTTGTCGTGGCTAAAGTATTGACTTTAGACTTCAACAGCCATTCCAACATATTCCACCTATGTCAGGGCGTCTGCGCTGTGCCATTGGTCTGTCTCACACCGTGGGATACCTTTTTTCTTGGTCAGGAAATCAGCAAAATTGTTCTCTAAATTCTCTAAGAACGATGGGATGGCATGGGGCTGAATGATTTCACATGGAGACTTTGGTTTCATTTAGTATTTCCACATATTTCCACTATCCAAATACATCCAAATACATCCAAATACATCCAAATACATCCAAATACATCCAAATACATCCAAATACATCCAAATACATCCAAATACATCCAAATTCATCCAAATACATCCAAATACATCGTATCAATTAATGCGATAGAATGGGGTTCCAAAATTTCGAGACTCTGAGGCGTCGTTGCCTCCCTTGCAGTGGAGTCCTCGTAGACCCAGCGTGTCGCTGGTGTCTGACAAATGCCGCCTGGAAGATCTGGAAGACACCCGCCGGGCCCAGCATTGCTGAGGGCGGGGGAGTTGTTGGGTTTTAGAAAACCATAGGCCATAGGTGGATATAGATGGGCCATGATGGGCCCATTCTACTGAGATAGTAGTGGATCTAGCGAACTTTATTGATTTTTCGGATCCATTGAGGGGAATGGAATATATTAGGAGGGACGGGATATTTAATTTTTGCAGCGTAACACATTTGACCTCTGGTCTTTCCCTTGCCTTTGCTCTACTTGGCATTTTTGACGTCCTTTCATTCTTAGGAATCGCATGTAGTTGCTACCTCGACGCTTCTAAATCTTCCGTCTCTATGTCCATCCCAACACAACCCATCACATTGACATGGAGTTCTCTTGGATTTGGCCTAGCAAGCCTTCGAAGCATCGAATGGTCGTCGCACGTTTCGCTCAAAGGTCCACCTGCTCCGAGCGATCCCCCGAGCGACCCCCGGAGCGCCAAGTTCGCCCATCTGCCCTCAGTGGGCACCTGGCTCCAGTGGCTCCCCGAACCGCTGGAGCCCCTGGAGCCCCTGGAGCCCTTGGCCCTGGAGCCCCTGGAGCCGGCCAAGCGTCCAATGGAAACCTGGAGGGTGAGCAGACCCAAAGCAAAGGCCAAACAGGTGCAAAGGGAAAAGGAACTGCAATCCAAGTGGGGAAGGGTGATTTGCAGATTGTTTTAGATTACATCCTGGTCCTGACATCCTAAAAGATGAAATCAACCATGCAACTATCATACAATCGAGTTGATGAGATGTGAACTCAGACGGACGGAATGTTAAAGATTGTTAAAGTATAAGATGTATAAGTGATTTGAGTGAAGTGAAATGCCAGATATTTTAAAGATCTTTAAAGATGCTTGCCGCGGGCCACGTGTGATGGTTTGCCTGCGATCCGCGCAGGCCTTGTCCCGACCCAAGGTCCGGACACCGGTGCCACCCCGGGTCGAGCCGTTGGAAGAGTTCCAGGCTGGTGACGGGGCAAATTTCCGGCAGATTTCCGGGAGATGAGGATGATTTTTCTGACCTCCATCATGCAGGAGGACACTAAAATACACTGAATATGGAACATGGCTGATTTATATAGAAGGTTTTGGGACTTGGGCATACTTGGAGATTGTCATTTGCAAACCATGCGCAGATCTCCGGAACTCAAGGTTCCAAGGGCTTGCATGACTTTCTGCAGAGCTCAGGGCTGTTGATTCCTGGTCCGCGATACCAATTTGCACCGAGTTCTTGTTTGATCTAATTATATAATATTAATTAATATTATATAATCCATCCATCCATCCATCCATCCATCCATCCATCCATCCATCCATCCATCCATCCATCGGCTGGTCAGCTGCATTTCAGGGCTATGTGCGAGAGGGGGAGCTTTGGCCCACATGGGTGCCCTGTTGCATCCACATTTGCTGGGATCGTTGCTGGCCCAGGATGGATGGCGGTTGGAGCGTGTTGGAGCTGGTTGGAGCTGGACATGGCTAAGTCATATAAGATATTAATACCCTCTGGTTATGACTAACATAGACATAGCCATGGGATTTCGATGGCCCATAGAAATAGATGGTGTAGCTATTAAAAATGGTGATTTTCCATGGCTATGTTAAATAACCAGATGGTATATATATATATATATTAAAGAAAAAAACAGACATATCTGACTCTGTTTGAGCTGGGAGAATCCCAGATATCCCAGGAGGAAGTTTCACAGAGTTTCACTACGAGAGCCTCCACCAGTTGAACATGTTTTGATATTTGGGATCATTTGGGTACCATCCCAGAGTTGCGGCCAGCTAGGTTTACTGATCATGCGCGATGAAATCCGCAGAGAAAGAGATGTTCGCCCCAACCATTCGGCGCCTTGGTGGTGCGAGCGATGCATTGAGGTGAATCATAAATCGTGGCGGATATCTAGGGTTCTCGGATGTTCTCGGGCCAGACGCTCCGGAGTTGACAGGGGTGTGCGCAGTGTCCTTCAGAGTACCCTCTGGTAATTTAACATAGCTATTGAAAATGGCCTATTTATGGTTGATTTACCTATTAAAGATGGTGATTTTCCATAGCTATGTTAGTTTACCAGAGGGTATGTCTTTTGCCCGTTTCAGGAGATGTTGATCTGGCTGACGCCATCTCTTGCACCGGCCTTGGCAGATCCACTCCAGGAACCACAAAGTAGGAAGCTGGCGGAGCGTGCCAGCACTGAACAGACTCAAGTCATCCCAAGTCCCAGAGTTGAATGAGGTCCGATGATGTGCACCTTACGTAAAATGATGTCAAATCCTGGCAGATTCATTATGTCTACATGATGCTTGCTGGTTGCTGGACATATCTGGACATATCACTGGACATATCTGGACATCATAAACATCCCCAAAAATCCGAAAAATACATCAAACATCCCCAAAAATCCCCAAAAATCATCAAAAATCCTATGGTTTTTGTCTCTCCAAGGTGGTCACCATGGAAGATTTTCACGTGGTGGTCTCATCCCCGGAGACGCGCCTTGCGGTGACGTTGCGGGGCGGCATGAGATTCAACGCCTGCCTAGTGGAGGCCCTCAAGGAGGCGGTCCTCAGGCCCGTCAGCTGAAACATGGTGAAACATGGTGAAACACATCCGAATGGAACATGGAACAAAAGAAGGATAAAATATGATAAAGCTATGATATAAATGATATAAAATGGAGAGACATGCTAGATTTGCATTTTAGAGGCGCCAAGAAAAGCTTCACAAAACACTGATCAGTTGTGATGAGTCGCGAGCTGCGCAGCGCCAAATGCACTTAAGGCTGGACGAGAGCATTTCTTCAAAGAAGATGTCCTTCGTCTACCTGAACGTTTATGAGTCTTGGCCGCAAATGGCGAGGATGTGCGAGGATTTTTCTCACCATTGGGACCCATACAGAAGCCATCAAGAGTTTCCTTCAATATAAAGTCATGTTGTATATCCGGAGTGGGAAGGCCATACTATGCAATGCCATACCCACCTAACATCTTTTCCCATTTTTTTTAAAAACCACCATCGACATCCATCTACCATCTCAATGTGCAGGACCTCTTCAACTGGCAAGTGGGTTTGCTGAACAACGTTGCCTGGAGCCTATGGGGTGCCGGTGCATTTCACGTGGGCCTCCAGATCTATGGCTACGAATATGCCTTCGGTGGCCCCATGGCAGAAGTTGCCAGTTTCAACAGTCGTTGAAGCTGATTGAACCTGACCACCACCATAAATCATGGTGTAGTACTTGGAGGATCATGGAGGATCATCCCACTTTATACTTGGTTATAGTATGTTATAGTAACCGCGGCTATAACCCACTTCCTGGACTTGCTAACCATGCTTTTTTTTAGCAGTTACTAAGTGGGATGATCCCCCCAGCGGATGAACGGTTATAATCCACCTCCGGGAGTTGCCAAGGCAGAGACAGAGGAATTGACGGCAGCGGGCCCCTCGGCGCAATTGCTGGAATGGCATGGAATGGCAACATGTTAGCTCAGTTGACACACACACACACACTCACACACACACACACATACGCCCACCTCGACTGAACCAGAATCAATCTCGGGAAATAGCCAATTGGATTCTGGATTGAGATTGTGGGATATGGTCTCGCGACTCAGGATTACACACTGTAAGCCTCGATGCTGTCCAAAGCATTCCTTCCGCGAGAGCCTGTGTTTGGGCGTCACATCCCTGACCAAACAGGAGCCTCGAGAAGAAAAATGGGTGGAAGCCACTGGGGCCAGGGATCATGATCCTGATCCTGAATCATGGTCTGTGGTTCCTGCTGGTTATGGTTGGACAATTTTGGACATCAAAATCATCAAATCTCGGATTGATGTCTTAATGGGCAGCCATCCAGCACTGACCTTCCCCAGGAGGTGGATGAGCTTCTGCATGAGGTGGCGCCAGATTGGTCAATACAGGCACAAGCGTAAGAGTGGGCGAGGCAATGGAAAGCTGAGTAGGGCAGTGTGTTGTTATAGGACTTCTCATAACTTAGGAGTGGCTCAAAATTATGGACCCCCAAAACTGGATGGTTTGTTTATTATAGGATTGGTGCATTGCCTGGATATGAACAAACATCGGGTCCTTTTCGTCCACCATTTTTGAGCAATGGAAGACTTGTTGACTTACCGTTCCACTCGCTCTCACGAATTGTTCAACCCTGCAGGCCAAGCAACTGGTGCCCCAGCTACCATCAGCTACCTAGCAACCTTCGCAAACCTCACTATTCCGTTTTGGAAGTTTTTGACACTTTTCCCGGGTCTTGTCGGTTCGAAGATAGTGATAGGATCCCCAAATCGCAGCAAATGCAACTGAAAATTCAGGCCTATGAGACCTTGGGCCCCAACTGCGTTACCTTTTGTCGCCAGATGTGCAAACGTCCCTGGTATTTGCAATGAAGGGGGCCTGGTGATGACCCCAGGCTGCAGGTTACACCCTCTAACTTACGTGGAAATTCATGAAAAGTCATCAGTTTGATCGATTTCACATGTGTTCAAATGATTGTAGCATGGCAGAACATTACACAATATTACACAATTGAACTCTGACAATAATAATAACGATGGTATAACAATGATATAACATGATATAACAATGATATAACCTATTGAGACTGAAGATGACTAAGCAATTTCCAGCGATTTCCAGCTGGTTCCTGAGCTTTTCGGATCATCGGTTCGTCTCAGGTCTGGCAGTTCAAGGTGTCCCTGACTGGGTGGATTCCATGGCTCGAAGCATCAAGGTGGCTGCCAGCCATTGGCGTTTGATGGTTGGCGTTAAGTGGTTGTTGAAGGGGTTGTTGAATGACCCATCCCAGAAAAATATGAATAATAATAACAATAATAATAATATATAATAATTATATGTTATTATTCCCATCCCAGAATAATATGTTATTATTCGCCCAAGGTATGTTTTTATAGGGGGGGTATGCCGTACGGTATGCCCGGTATAGATCCGAGGTACAGGCATCCCGAACTGGTTGTTTTTTACTGGTTGAGACATCGGATTCCGGGAGCCCGGTTGGAGATGGTTGGAGTTCACTTGGAGTTCACCAACTTGGACGTTCGAATCGCGAATCATGATTCAATGCTCGATTCAATGCTCAATTCAATGCTCGATTCAATGAACATCAATGAACATGAATTAATGAACATTCATGAACATTAATGATCATCAATGGAACATTCATGAACATTAATGATCATTAATTAACATCAATTAATGAGCATCATTTTTCAGTTCTCACGTCCTTTTGAAGCCGGGTTTGATCACCAGGAACGACGGCCGGTTGAAAGTCTGGAGGAAGGTCATTGTGCATATGGACACGTTTGCCAACTGATACTTGGACGATCACGATTTAAGGATGCTGAAACTGGTTGCCTGTCACTTTTGCTTTTTGATGCTTTTTGACTTGTGTGATGATAGGTGCCTAAGCTTCACTCATGGTGGATGTTGGGGTCGGTCCAACGCAAGTGATCATTGCATGCGTCCATGAATCCATGAACACAAAGGGCAGCCATATGGCAGCTCAGGCAAGCACAGGGAATAGTGGCAGGGCTCATCGAAGTGATCTCCTGCGTTGCTTGTGGAAATGTAGCTGTGCTGGAAATGAGTTGATGGGCTCACAGGAACTCACCTGTGGAAGCGGGCCTGCTCTGGAAGTTGGTTGTAGGACGGATGGATGCAACATGATGCAACCCATTGTGCTATGCTTGTTGTGTATGTGTGCAACGCAAAGCATTCTGGCACGGGGGGCACCTCTAGCAAATTCTTGGCAGCGTAATGAGCAAATTTCAATTGAAAGACACTGATGGCTTGGGTTTATTGCCAAGATCCACGTAATCAGGGCATATCAGGGCATTGACATGGGTTGACCAGTATTGTCCTGCGCTAAGGTCATTGAAGCGGGAGCTGCGCACTGGCATTGTCCATGTTGTTTGACCGACATGTGCGACGCATGCACGACTCAGATGACAAGCATCTAGCTGAACCAGCTGAACCAAACGTTGATAGAATTGTCAAGGATTCTTAGTGGTGATTCAGAAGAGCAAGGGCAAGAATTTGATTTCCGAAGCTTTCGAACTGGCGTGAGAAAGATCTTTCTGCCTGATTCTACCCTTGATTACTTACGTTTGAGTCAGCTGTTTGATAGCAACCTCATTCATGGTTTTTGGTTGAGCGGAATCTGGAAAGAGAAACCAACCACACCGGATGCTGGGTTAGGTCTGCAAGCCTCGCAGGATATGGGTCTGACTTGGATAGCCATGGTTTCTCTTGAGTTTCCTTGCAGCATGATGCCCCGGCCAAACCATCCGGCTTCTTCCTCTGAATCTGCATCAAGCCAGAGCCTAGCTGACTCTCCAATGTTCATCAATGTTCCATGATGTTCCATGAATTTCTGGCCTTATTTCTCATATTTCTTCGTATTTCAATGTATTTTCATATGCTGTAATCTGTTTGATCTGTTTGTGTTTGGCCTGCGGATGGCAATTGCGCAATTGCCTCGGGAAATAAATCCCGCATGGGGATCGATCTAAATCTGGTCGGTTCCTAGGGCATTTTCCCGTGGAAGCACAGCCTATGCGCTTCATCTTTCTTCGGGATTGAGTCAGGGCTGCTGAAAAGACCTGCGCGGGACTCCATCGCATGGATCCCGACCCAGGGACTCCCAGTTGATCCCGACCTTCAGATCTCTTTTGATCGTTGGTGGATGCCACGAAATGCGAATGCCATGTGTAGGTGACAGCTGTTTGCGGGTGCCATGGCCTCAGCTCCACTTTCTCCCCCATCGTTAAAAATCATGCCATTGGGATGGTTTATGACTTTGGGTTTACCAATCCTTTGGAAGGATTGAATAATCACAGAGATAGAGAGAGAGATAGAGATTCATATACATATGTTACATAAGAACCGCGGATTCGGGATGAATGATGTGTAGTATGTGTAGGTATGTGTAGGTTGCAGATCCTTTGCGCCATAAGACGCTCAGATCAGTGAGGTTTTTCTCTTGCGCGGCATATTTTGTTTCGGGGCTGTTGCTGACCCAAAGGTTGGATCCTATGTGTGGAGTAGGCGTGGCAAAGGATGGAAACCACGCGGACCCGGAAAGGATACCAGAGTTCACCCGTTTTTCACCCGTTTGGCAGCTTTTTTTTTGGTTCCTCTCCTCTCTCCCAGATGAAAGATATGAAAGTGACATGTTTCCAGACAAAAGCTTAAGTCGATGCAGAATCTCATTATAGCTATATATGAGTTCCTCAGCAAACTTTTTTCACCGGCTAGGCACCTACCTCTTCGCTCTCCAATGGGCTTTGAGCCGTCAGATGCTGAGCATCTGGAAGATTCTGGAAGTTTTCGAGCGTAGCCGCGTAGCCCCACGGGGATGCCAGCACCATGGCTGAGGTATGGCGCCCAAAGAGGTATGGCGCCCAAAACCGTGGCGATGTGGGGAGCAGCTTAGCTGGTGGAAATTCAACCGCACCGGTCACATCCGCCTACACATGCCTACACCATTCATGGTTGATGTTTGTATTTACAATGGTTTGTACAGTTTTGATGAATTTTGGATGGATTTATATGGAGAAGTCAATGAAGTCGTTCATCTGTTGCTTTTTTATGGCCCAGGCTGATGCGGAAGCTGAGAGCCTCATGCATGCCACGGGCAATGCGAAGCTTGCGAAGCTCCGAACCGGTGGGATTTCGGGTGGAACCGGTGGGGGTGATGACTCTACCAAAGATGGTATAATCATTATATTTATTATATTTATAATAATAATAATATATAATAATTATATAATATTATATATAATTATGGTAACTATATAAATCATAAATCTTAATTATATAATATATATTTGGTATTATATATATATATATATTCATGATATAATATATATTTATAAATATATAGCTGGCAATAGGTGGTTTGATACTTCATGAATTGTATACTTTTGAATGTTGTACTGCCCCAACAATTATATTCGATACCCGAGTGCCATGCCATGGTGTACCACAGAGACTTCTTCGCATGGGAGACGTTTTGTTGTGACATGACTTAGACTCGTTCCCTAAGGTTTCCAGATTGCACAGTGTAGAGTAGGTTATGTACGTTGACAAGACGAGTGTGATGGACTGCATTTTTTCCCTCATTGCATTCGTCGCACGCAGAGTTGAATCTTCCACCATGCCAATTGCATCAATTCAGTGCTAGGCAGCGATGCCAAAGTTCCAAACCTCTGAAGTTCAAAAATCTGCACGGCGACTATAGCTGAACAGCTCAAGAAGCTGTAGCTGTAGTCGATTCTTTCTTTTGGCCATCCTCACAGGTAGCCGTATCGACTTCTTCCAGGGGCAGGGGGGCCAAGATGGCCAAGGGGGTACCTGAAGGCTCGCGCAGATGACAGCCGACATCAGCCGCCGGTCATAAATTCAATTCATTTTTTTGGGAAGGGAACGACGGAGGTTGCAACGCCAGATTTGGATAGATTTAGGATCAAATAACGGGTTGAGATGGGTTGAACGATGTTGAACGATGTTGCAAGCAGAGAGCCTGTTCCTTTCAAAGGATGACGTCCACTGCCCTGCGGCCTTTTTTGGGTTCAGTGGCAGGGACATGACCTGCAGAAGGGCACAGGTCAATGTATGTGCTAAGGAGGACTCACGTAGTAAAGCCCAAGAGTTTGGATGTGACATGACGTCACAAACCATGCTATTGAATGCTATTGAATCACTCCTCTGCAAGTAAACAACAACTCGATGATTGAGGCTTTTAAATGCAAGCATGGAATTTGCGCCAAGGCCTTGTAATTACATTCCATGGGCAAGCAACACAAGCAACACAAGCAACTGACAAGCAAGATCCAGCAATCGAACCGTAGCACAAAAAACACCAGGCACCTTTTTCAAGCACGAGCTATCCAAAAAGTACTGCCCAGCTGGGCCGCGGTTGTCGTGTCATGGCGCGCATTTGGGATTTCTCCGTGAGCTTTGAGCCAAAGATCGTGGCGAATGCAATGGCACGCTTCTGGTCACCTGGATGGATTGGGAGATGGCCCTGGATAGCAATGGACCAGGTATGACCAGGTTTCTTCATTTTGGCTGGGCCCCAGGGGCCGAAATTTGAGTTGTCATGATCATTCATGATCCATGTGATGGCAACAGCTACATATAGCTACACGGTAGGCCCATCCCAGATGCCCAGCATGTTATTCGTGGAGCCACGCTGCATTCGGCTGGTTTTACAGGTTCGATCAGAAATGACTGGCTTGATACGGAAATTGGCACACTGGCACTGGCACTGGCACTGGCCCCCCAAAAAAGGTTTCGCACACACACCGCCGCTTTGCCGCTTTGACTGCCTTGATGATACCCAGGAAGCTGAACGGCTGGAAGTGTCTTGGCAGCGCTTGGTGGGAGTGGAAGGCGAGATGCCAGGCTGGCGGCCCATTGAACATAAGATGGGAAAGATTACAAAAGTATAGAAAAGTGAGAAGAGCTAATGGCTCTTGATATCTTTGAAACTCTGAACAATTCTGAAATCCGTTGAACTCTGGTTGCTAATGTCCTGATGGAGATGGAATATGGTGAAAGAGAATGAAAGAGATAAATCTGCGAAGCTGTCGGCTGGTAGACTATACAACCGAAACTCTCAGAAGATTCAGCCCCCGCTGGACCTCAACCGGTCTGCAAAGCTGCAGGTTCACCCCACTGGTTGATGCCAATGACCGTCCAGTAGATCATTGCCCCATCTCGCTGGAGCCTATGGAGGATCCGGTCCTTGTTTGTGATGGTGCCCCAGCTGCAAAAATGGATTGGCAAAGGGGACTTTCCATGGATTTTCATGGATTTTCCGGTGGCCGGGACTGACATGGACTGACACACTGATGTTTGACTAGTATGACTAGTGACTGACTAGTGCCTGAAGGCTAAAGGAGGTTTATGAGCATCAATCTCTTGCAAAGCAGCAGCTTGGTTGTGGTTGTGATATGTTGTGATGGTACATGGATTTTGGCAGAGAAACACATCATTGGCAGAAATGCGACCCGCCACACCAGGCCACATCTATGACAAGAACTCCATCACACGATGGCTTTCTGAGGGCAACAAGTTGCTCGAGCCAAAGAATACTGTTTGAAACATACCCTATGGCAAATAAACATAGACCCTGAAAATCACCAATGTTTAGTGGAAACTAGTCTTCCAACCCCTATCTGCCAGGGTCTATGTTAATTTACCGGAGGGTAGGCACTTTAAAAAAATGCCTTTGACATCCGCCCACCTGTTGAAAAGGTGAAGCCATGACTTCCCTTTCTGCCAATGCTTCGTTGAATCCCCCGGATCTGATGTGGCAAGATGCGGCGCGTTTGTTCTGAGGCTATCGCCTTGCACAGGTGAAGAACTGGTTCATACAAAGCTGCTGAGAATACAGTGGCTTGGTGACGTCACCCCAACAGGATGCAGAAAATTGTCACATATTGTCACGATGTATCGCGATCAAGATTCCAAAAATCTTTTCATATTATATCCCATAGGATCCATGTATGGTATGGTTTCATATATGTTTTCCATTACGAATCATTACGGATGAGATTTCCACATTTTCCACTACGATGATTGCGGATCTGTAGCTTTCCATTACGAGAACATCTTAGGCCCTTCTGCTCAGCCATCGAGAAGTTCCTCAGGCGCAGGGCGAGGGCAAACTGCGGCAAAGCTCCAAGATTCAGATGATCCATCCATGTTTGGTAGGGGAAAACCATGGAAAACCATGGAAAATATGTACAAATAAAAAAAAACATCACTAAATCCATTGGACATATAGTACATATAATACATATATACAGTACATATAATGTACATATAAGAAAACATTGTAAAACACACACTATACAAAGAGAGAGAGAGATAACACATCAAATTCCAGCAAGCGACACGCCAATAGTAGAATGAGCATGGACAAGTTATCCAAAGGGTCGGTCTTAGGGAGAGCCACCTGGGATTCTTGCCGATTTATTTTGGGGTGTGCGCTGCAAGATAGATGACAGGTGCCCTAAGGCTCTATGTCAACTTGGAGGCTTCTCCAAAGATGAAATATCCTGAGCTATTGCCCACCAAGTGGTTAATCTCTTACCTCTGACGGTCACACAGTCTCCGTGACTGTATTGGTACCGTTCTGGGCTGGTCATGTTTGCCTCAGTGACAAAAGCCCAAGATTGGGTGGTGAAACCGGGAACCATCAGTCAATGGTGTTTTCCATGGACGTCGGATATCATGGATTTTCCGTTTCTTTATCATTCTTTAACAATTTTTATGGATGAACGAATGAACAAAATGGAATGGAACAAAATGAAATGAACAGATCAATGAAATAAAGAAAGGATGGAAGGAATTATTTGAATGCTCCTGGTTCCATGAACTTGTACCAAAGATTACCAAAGATGTTTTAGCTTCTGCCACATGACATTGCTGCAGTTTATGTCACATCTTCCTTTGTGTCATGCTTTATCCCCGTGTCTCCCCACCCCCATCACCCCACCTGTCCCCTCCGTGTCCCAACCAAGGTCCCCTGCCTCGCTCAAAACCTAAAATAATATGCCATTGTGTGTCCTCTAGCTAATTATGCGAGTGAGCTGAAATGTGGCTGCGCAAATGATCCCAGTCCTTCTCTTGGCTGCAAAATGCAGATCATATTTCATCATATTTCACAACCACTTCCACATATTTCCACTACCAATGCACGACACCGCGAGTTGCGTTACAAAAGCTCCCGGCCATGGATGGCCATGGTGTATCGCCCACTTGGCCATCTCGAGTATTGCTGCAGCCCTACTCTGCATCAGGTGATATCAGGTATACATGGTATACAAGGATGCTTGCTGTTTCACGTGTACAAACCCGGTAATTCAACCGTGGCAATTCAACCGTGATTGGCAAGAATTCAGCGTTTGTTGTTGTTCTGCGCTAGGCATTTGGGCGAGTTCACGGAGGCCGAGATGGCGGCCCAGGATCGGAGCGATGGAAGCAGCAGCCCCTTGGAGTTAAGTTTGAACCACTTTGATCATCTTTGATCTGGGGATGGGTCAAAACCCTGGTACCCCTGTAGTTCACATCAAAATAGCTGGTAAATGGATGTTCATCCCACTAAAAATGTACCTATAGGTATTGATTCATACCCATCTAGGAATCTAGATGAATCTATTAATTCTGTGGGATCGGTCATTTTTCAGGAACATGGTTGTTGAGCCGATGTTCAGAAGCGCCGCGGTTGGACAAGGCAACCTTAGAGGGTCAAAAGAGCCAATGTTCCTTCTGTTACTTGGTATCCTTGTCGAATTGTCAGAAGATTTAGTTGGTCTCATACGTTAAACAGATATGCCAAACAAAGACAAGGGAGAAAAGATGACACAAAAATCATAACTACACTCCTATTTGGATACGGCAATGTACCCTACTTTCCCTTCAGAAGCTTTGACGTTCGCAGCCGACTTTTGTGTTGGAATATTGGAGCCACATTGCTGCTGGCCGCAATCTCGACTGGAGGTTTTTTAATCACCAATTCGGCAAGAGCCATTTGTTTGCGCCGCAGGTTTTTACTAATTACTAATTACTAATTACTGATTATTATTATTATTGTTATTATATTATTATTACTATGAATGTTATTATTAATTATTATTATTAATTGTTATTATTAATATAATGTTATATAATATCCAACCTTGAAGGCCATCCAAACTAATTATTTGGATATCCCGGATACCGACGGTGCCGGCCGCTCAGATCATGGCGTGATGCACAGCTGCATGGAATTGGCTGCCTTTCTGGAACGGAAACTGCTGAAGAGGTGCCCATGGACGAGCAAACGGCAAGAAATGGATAGAGCTACCCTTTCCATTGTTTGATCATGTGGAGGTTTCCTTAAAATGGTGGCTTAGTATTGAAATCATCCAAAGTTAGACCATTTTAGTATTGAAACCATTTGAAACCCATGGTTTTGGGGATCCCCCATTTTAAGAAACCCCCATTTGTGATATCACTTGGGTGCAGCAAGTGTGGAATATCCACCAGTACGAACAGGCCAAAGAGAAGTTCCAAAGGCCGGGAGAAGCGCAGCAAGAACATCTATGCGGGGCAGATGGCCTTTGATGTCCCTAAGTTGAAACATATTGAAAGTGTTGTCCAATTGGACTGGTTAGTTGATCTGATTTGACTTGATCTTCCATGATGTGAAGATATTTGACGTGACTTTTCGCGTCGTTGCTGCTTAGTTTGCAGTGGGTCATCTTAGGCATTGCAACAAGCGATCAAAGCGAATCAAGCGCCTCGGAGGAGAAAACGTGCTTTGGGCAGCGGGTTGGTGGACTTTGATGGCAAAGCTGGGGATAGACACCAAACATATCCAAAAATCATTCAGATATCATGTCTTAAGAAGATGGAACCTCCAAAAATATCAAAAATGACATAGACATGGTTTTGCCCTTTGACATTTGCCTGTCTTCGGATTCCATACGCGAAACTTTCCACACATGCGCTGTTCCCAGGGAAAGAGTGTCCTCACTGAGGCTGAGATTGATGAACTTCAAGCTCAAGTGCACCACGGCTGATGAGTGTAGTTAGTGTAGTTCAAAGAATCCCTGGCTTGAGCACGCCTTGTGTAGAAATGGCACCCATTTGCCATCTGATTTTGTTTTCCATCTTAACTCTGTTGGCAATCGGAGGCTGCCATTGCATGCATGACGCTGCTCATGCTGAGATGCTACAGGAGGGTGCTCGGGTTAGGTGCAAATTCACGCTGCACATTGAGAGCATGTGTATTTGAATCAGCCCTCGCACACCTATTCAAAATCAGATGATTTATTCAATGTGGATGTACAAAAATCTGCCCATTTAACATCATTTAAAATTTAACCACTTCATTGCCAGTACGATTGTAGGAATCCATGCATTTTTTTGGGTGCCTGCCTTCCAGCTTCGCCACTCAAGGAATGGTGCTCAGAAGCAGTTGGAATCGTTACAAAAAGGTATCGAAGAAGAAGCTGCCCAAATAGCCACTTGGCCATGGTAGGTTAGCCATGGATCAACATGGGATAACATAGCCCCCATGGCATTAAATTTTGTTTCATACCATTAGCAGCTATAAATTTACAAGCATTGGTACCATCATTGGTGTAAGTGTTGCTACAATCATTAGCACTATCTATAATTGGGTCATTTCACCCCAGGTCATTCGAAACAACTAAACATCATTGAACCGTACTGGCAAATAACAAACCTTTTGACTCACCGAAACACTTTCACAGTCTGGGCAGTGTGTGGAATTGGCTCCAGGTGCAGCGCTTCTTGCAGATGAAGCCCTTGCGGGAGAAGGCTGCCATCAGCATTCAGAGGCGCGGATACGACAGATCTGGTTGCCAGCTTCAGGATCTCATAGGATCTCATAGGCAACAACACCCTCTAGTTGCCAGTAAACAGATGAACCGTTCCGTGACCAAAAAATGGTTGGTCCATTGCGCCAGGTGGTTGCGCGAACGCGCCAAGGTCAATGCTTGGAGAGATCGAAGTGAAAAGCTGGCGAAGCAATGTGCCATGGCCATGGCCAATGGTAGGGAGGAGCCGGGGAGGTTTGTGGGGCCAGATGGAAGCTGGAAATCGATGGAAGTAGGATCTACAATCTTCTGCAGTTCAAAGTTTTTTTTTCGGATTGAACAGCCGAACCCCGAACCAGCACCAGGCCCCCAGTTGGTTGCAGCAGACATTTCGTGCCATTTCTATCCATTTCTTGCAAACCTGCACGAAGAACCTTCTCAATGAAATGTAGTCAGTTGAGAGTCACCCTTCCAGGAGCTGGTCAACAAGTTTCAGTCCAAAGGGGTGACTTGGTGAAATGAGTCGAGGTTGGCCCACGGGAAAGTGCGGCCCGCACGTGTTCACATGAAACATGGACACCCTGCAGAAATAAGTCTGACTGCAGGAGATTTCTTCGCATTTGGGCGGTGCCATCTTAAATTCTGTAGCAATGTGCTCATTTAATTAGGAGGCCCCAGAAAAGCCCAGCAGCCCAAGTGATTTGGGACGCACGTGCATTGTAACATTGGATGCTGATTTGGATGGTGATTTGGTGATGCTGTACATTGTTGTACCATCTGTTGTACCATAATCATGTGCATGTTGCTGGCACATGGCACCACCATTAAGCACCGCATGGTTCCAAGGATTTGGACTATCGCTTGGTCCTGAAATTCCTCAAGGCCGATGGCGCCGATGTGAATCAAAGCCTTCCGCCTGGTGTCACGCCCCTGTACAAGGCAGCCATGGCAGGCCGAAGTGCCGATCCCCTTTTTACTGCACGATGAGTCTTGAAGTGTGGTTGCTGAGATAATTACACACACTCACACTGAGATGATATAATATTATATAATATATAAATAGCATCCTATATCCACATGTGGAATGTGAATCCTCTATATCTCTTCCATATGCAATGATTGCAACGTTACCCATCAGTTGCTTCACCAGGTTGTTTCTTTTGTCCTTCCATGGCCATTGGGATGTCAGGTCAGGTGATCAGTGCACGGCTTCTTTGCAAGGCTGGGGCAGACAAGGCCGGTGCCGAAGGAAAATGATCCGCAAAATGCATAAGAAAAAGGGATTCCCTTTCCAAAAATGGTAATACAAGACACATTCCTACTGTATCTGAGAATCTGAGTGGGGATGGCTATATATACTCGAGATTGATTTACCCATGTGTCTCAGAAGGCAAGAGGTCAGAGACCTCTGAAAGCTTTAACAATAATGCAGAGGACAACCACAGGTTTTGCTTGCCATAGCATAGTCCCAAGCGGTCACTCGGAATCACATGTCAAAGAATTGCACAAAGTTGTGACATTTCCTGACTGATGAACGCCACCCGTCTTCCCTAAATACAAATTTGATGTCCCCATTCTTTCGCTTCATCCCTTGTGCTGGTGAAGGATGCTGTGGGTCCTTCGAAAGCACGACAACTTCATGCAGATTTGCATGATGCTTCGCGCACTGCTTTGTATGCAGCAGCACAAGGCCGGGGCACTGCGGAGATCTGCGGTTGGGATGCCAGGTGGTGCCACAAATGCAGACCAATTCTTTGATGATCCTTGATCATGTCACCCATTCTTGTATTTGTCGTCACTAGTCACCAATCGTCCTAATTTGTGGGGAGTATTAGATGCAATAGGCAGTCCCTTATATTTGTGTATATAATATAATATAATATAATATATATATATAAATATTTGATTATATTTGTGGAACTTCCATATCTTCCATTTGTCGGAAGTAGCATTGCGGATCAAGGTCCATCCCTCCGTCCCACGACGGGTCCCGCAGGGTGTTTTACAGGTGGCCACCTGGGTGTGGTGAAAATCCTTTGCGAACTGCGCGCCGACACCGACAAGGGCGCGACGCGCTACGGTGCGTCACCCCTCTTCACTGCGGCAGAGTATGGACATGCGGAGGCTGACAAAAGGGGGTGGGATGGGGGATGGGGGTTGGCATGGCACCATAATATGGTTAAATGGTTAGGCCTCACCTTGGCATTTTGACCTGACTGCTAGTGACACTTAGTGACTGTGCCAGATCTCTAGCTGGTTGGATGCTGGGGTGCTGGTCATGGCGACATCCAGGTGGTGAAGATCCTTTGTTCCTTTGGTGCGGCCACCAACAAAGCCCTCATCGTCGACGCCTCCGACACAGGGCTAATTCCGCTTCATGCAGCTGCCAAGAACGGGCATTTCGAGGTGCCCCCAGCCGTTCAGCTGATGGTGCCTGATGTTCAACATTGTTCAATTCCCAAGACCCGAACCCGTATCACTATGTATTACTATTATACCGTATACCGTATAGCTATAGATCCACTTGGAGGACGAAACAAGTGCTGCAATCTTAAAGGTGGATAAAGGTGGCTATTCAGTTTGTCGCCACAAATCCGAACCGTGGTTGTTGAAATGCCGCACCAAAAATTAAAAGATGCTGCAAGTTGGAAATTACGCCACAGCACGGGAAAAAAATATTTTTTAGAGTGCCTTAAACAAAGATCTAGGCATATTATAATATATTATATACTGCATGTTGTGATCTACAGTGATGTTGTGACAGGGAGAGCATGGGAGAGCTGTTGATCACTTGTCCAAATCGTCAGCCGCCGTCAGCCCTTCCGGTGAGGTGGTGCGCTACTTGTGCGCCTGCAGGGGCGACGTTTGCAAAGCCACTTTGAAAGCTGCGCCTGGGCGGTGGTATCGATGGAGAATATATGAGAATATCGCTGTCACCAGCTTTCACAGGTAAATTTACAGGTAAATTTACAGGTAAATTTACAGGTAACTTTACAGGTAACTATTCGCAACACCGGGGGGTAGAAAATGGATGAACATGGTAGAAGAAACGCGCTGTTCATCGCAGCAACAGTTCGCCGCTGTCAGCCGTCGCCCAGAATTTGACACAGCTCATCAGCAGTGAGCCCACGGACGCGCAACGGGGACAGGGAGACATCCCAGAGGCGGACTCGGGGTTCAATGGAGGCACCAACTAGGATGATGTTTTAATATGTTTTAATATTTTTTAATATGTTTTAACACACATGAAAGGACTAAAATAACTCAAATGGACCATGGTGACTATGAACATGTTGGATTCTGAATGATTCTGATATACCGTATTATCATGTATTATCTGTATTGGGCTTGTCCCGCGCTGAGTTGGGTGTTGAACTCTTCCAGCATGTTTTGGCACCTGGGGCGTGTCCGAGCGGCGTGTCCCAGTGATTTCCAGTGTCCAGTTGCACCAGGTGGGCATCACACCACTTTTTCTGGCAGTTCGAGGAGGTCATAGTCAGATTGTGCAGTTCCTATGCGGCTCGCCATCGTCTCGTTGGAACATGTTGGAACTGCAGTTCTGGTGCAAAAACGAAGAGCGAAGCGATAATGATCCATTTATTATATATATATATATTTAAATTTCCTTCACTTTGTTGGACAAGTTGACCATAGTTACCTTTGGTGAAGCGTTTGTCCCTCCTCATATTGTATTTTATACGATTGATTGATCTACTGATATATATATAATTATATATATATATATCTGCAGGGAAGGAATGATCAGTGCCAGCGGAGCTCAGGTACAGCCCAGGCAGATGTCAACAAGACATTGCCGGACAGTGGATGCACCACTCTTCACATGGCTTGCCGCAAGGGCAATCAGAGTGCCTTTGCTGCGTTTGTCGTGGCTTTTGGGGTAATTAGTGCTAAGCAATGACTCAACGCTGGAGGCGCCATCCCCAGAATGCAACTAACTATATTATACTATTGTATACTATTGTATACTATTGTATACTATTGTATACTATTGTACACTATTGTATACTATTGTACTTTAAACATCTAGAAATCGCATGTAACCGCTAATGGTCGTTCGTACGAGACTCACAGTTTTTTTGGGGGTTGCCTTGTTTAGGGACTATATAATCTATATAGCCGCTAGCTGATCAACTGTGTAGGTGGGGTCACCCCAGTGGCGAGGCTGGATTCCTCCCATCCTGGTAGGTGTGGTTCAAATCCTGCTGACCGCCAAAGCCAACGTGAACATCCCCCTCACCGCCATGAACCGATACACACCTCTGCATGCAGCTGCATCTGCTGGCTGCGAACTCGTGGTATCACAGCTCTGCCAGGTGGGAACCAGTGGTGGGAAAGTGGAGCTAAGACAGCTAAGACAGCTAAGACAGACAAATTATATTATTTATATTCAGATATATTCAGACTGCATCACGCCAATGGAATTATATAGTATACTGTACTACTACAATATGTATGGTGCGTGAACATGTGATTTTTTAAACATCTGTATAAATGTAAAGGTCATGCGTTGAATCCCCGGAATTTCTGTGATGTGCCATGATGTGCCCAGGCTCGGGCCAAAATGGATCAACCAACTGGCGAGCCTGGGCAATTTGTCAATTTGCCAATGGCTGTGACTCGGGGTAGGGCCGGGGTAGGCCGGGGAAACCCCACAGCTCAAAGGTCATTATTTCTGAAACCATGTGCGATGAGAGGCTAGCAGGTCATGCGATTTTCAAAGGCTCCAACACGTCAATGATGTCGGTGTGGTCATGTGTGGTCCGTTCCAGGATCGCGCGGGCCTGGCAATGATTTTTTGCCAACTTTATTCCGCTCCAGCTGCCAAGCGTTGCCAACCGCTTTTGTATCAGCCAAGGACATCGAAGCAACGCCCCTCTACCTGGCTGCTGCGAAGGGATTCGTGAAAGTTGTGAAGGTTCTCTGCAGGTCGAGAGCAGATGTCAACAAGACTCCCACCTGTACCAGTGCCACTCCATTGTACATGGCCTGCTTGAATGGACATTTGGAGGTGGTTCAAAGCCTTTGCCTCGCCAGGGCAGATTTGAATAAAGAAGTTCTCAGAAACAGACAGACACCGCTGTTCGTTGCTGCAAAGAATGGTCACCTGGACATAGCCAAAACTTTGAGCGTGGCCGGTGCGGATCTACACAAAGCATCTTCCAGCGAAGTGACTCCGTTACACATGGCTGCCATGAATGGACACTATGACCTTGTAGAAGGTCTTGTAAGCCGCAGCCTTTGCTTCAGAGCCTTTTTTTCCATCCTCAGATCTGGTTTCACTCCCCCAAGGCAGTGATGGAGAGACTTTATTTTGGCATAATGTAACATAATTTGGGACTTTGCAACCTTTGAACTCTCCGATCTATGGCCTATGGGCCTAGCCTATGATGTTTGTGATGGCCCAAGGTAAGAAACAACGCCGACGTCAACATAGCTTCCAAAATTGGCGCCACACCCTTGCACCTTACAGCGTTGAACAACCACCCACGGGTGGCCCGATATCTTTGTGCCGCTAGCGCGGACAAAAATGCATGTGCCAAGAAACCGGGCAGCACACCTTTGATGATGGCAGTCTCTCGGCAATAGCTCAGAGGCTGCCTTCAAACTTTGATTTCCAGTGTGCAATACTGTATAATTGCATGTTCGGGAACTGGGACTGCGTATACATATACATAGATACATAGATACATAGATACATACACATACATACACATACACATACATACACATACGCATACATATACATACACATACATACACATAGATACACATAGATACACATAGATACACATAGATACACATAGATACTGCGAATAGGATGTAGGCTACGGCACAGTATATAATTCCACAAAGACATCCTACTATCGTCCATAACCAAAGGTGTGCATAAAATGCCCCTTTGGCTCAAGACTACTGCAGATGTCAAGAGCGAGAAACAACGCCATGCCGAAACTGCATTCATCGTGACGTCGTCGTTTTGGACATCAACCCCAAGACTAAGCAACAATACATAATCGGGGAGACAACCTCCGATTCACAGGTTATCAGCCGTAGGACTCCTACGGAGCCTACGAGCGGGTAGCCGCGGGCCTTACAGATGACTGAACAGGATAGCAGTGATAACGCATTTTCTTTCTCTGGACATGCCGTTGCACCAGCTGCCGGCACGCAGTCAAATTCTTCACAGAGTATCGACACTGGTGGAAGCGATGCCTCAGAATTGAGAACAAGCCAACCCAGGCGACAACTGGTTGCTCCTAGAGGGAGACAAATTTCGACAATGCAAGCAATTGAAGATAGGGACAGCACACCTGGAAAGAGAAGATCATCTGCACGACAATCGTCGCCTCCGATGACTCCAAGGACTAAGGCAAAGACTACGTCTTCGAATCCGCCTTCACCGATTCAAGACGCTACTCCATCAGGGACAGGATCTTATCAACAAGTGAACGCCCCGTCAAGTGGTAGCGACATCTTCACTGCCTATCAGAGTGAATTATCTGAATACAAGACATCACTGGAAAAGGCCACTGAAGAAGAATCTGTACTTCAGGCGCGACTGAGCGAGACGACAGCCTATGCCTATCAACAATTTAATTTCCTGGAAAGCACCACTCATCAAGAGATGATGTCGATGACCGAACAACTCCAGATGCTGAACTTCGAGTTACAGGCTGCGCAACAAGAAGATGAAGGTGCAACCTACAGGATCGAAGAGTTGGAAAGGTATCAGACTATGTCGAATGAAGCTGCATCTCATTTGGAATTCAAATATTCACGACTACGTTCGGAATTCGATGAACAAATGGGACAGGCAAATGCAATTATGGTACATGTGGGAACTGACGCGAATGCTCACATCAATCAACTCAGACTGGAACTGGAAAACGCAGAGATGAATGCCAAGCAAGAAGCTCTAGCAGTCGGCTATGCTAATGACCAAACATGTGCTTTACAAATCGAGATGCTCGAGGTTGCCAATCAGAACCAGACCATGAAGCACACCATGGCCATGAACGTCAGACGACTGGAAACTGAGTTAGATGCTGCTGACATGAAGAGGGACGAGATCATGAAGGAATTCCGTAGTAACATAAGATCTGAACATGACCGTTATGCTGAATGTGAACATCACTTAGCTTTGGAAGAATCACAGCTTCGATTACAGGTGATCCACAGTGAGAACTTACAATCTCGACTAGCGATTTCTGAGAACAGGGTTTCTGAAGAATCTCTAGCTGAATCGGGCGGCATGCGGGACATGAGGTTAATGGGACTACGTTCTGAACTACACATGAAACAAAGTCTTTTAGATCGAATGCAACAACAACTGACTGAATCGAAGAATCAGTATCATGAACTTTCCTGTCAACAAGCCAGAAGATCTTCACCAAGCAGATCACCGCATGGAGGACCTCTATACGAGATGTACATGCAAGCCGTGCGTGAGCGTGACAGCTTGAAGGAATCCAAGGCTGAAGTTGACAAGCTGTACTTGCAGAACAAATCTGAACTCATTGACACCGAGAACCTGCTCAGGACTTTCCAGCAAAATTTCGATGAAACTGGTAAGAAGTATCATGATGCTCTGAACAAGATCGATCACATGAGCAACAATCCGAATGTGACGAGTAACTTGTTTGACAGTTTGCACAATGAAATCAATGACAGGGACACAGCTATTGCTCGCCTTCACACTGAACTTGAAGCCCAAAAAGATTCTCTTGAGCGTGCTCACAGGGATGCAGGTAAGTCCATCAAGATGTTGAACGACAGAAGACTCGTGATCAAAGGTGCGACTGACTATTCCATTCCCGAAAGCCATTTGACCGAGATGCATCAATTGGCAAATGAGCGTTTCGCTGAGGTAGAAGAGATGTCTAGCACCATTGCTGCCCTGAAGTTGGAAAACCAAGCTCATTCTTCTTCATCAATGAATAGACCGACTACATTACATGGGTACCCCAGTAATGCTATGCCTCGAAATGAATGTGAAGAGAAGTGTGCTAAACTGAAAGCAGAATTGGACGAGATGAAGCAAGAGAAGAACAATGAAATCCGAAACCTTCAAGATGAGTTGAAGAAGATGGAAGATCGGAAAGATTATTACAAGAACAATTTCTCTCAAGCTGAAGATCGTGCCAATGATGAAGAGCAGGAATACCGAGCAGAAGCTGAAGCCTTCGAGAAGCTCAGGAACGAGTACAACACCAATGTCAAGGAGTTGGAGAACCTCGAAAGGGATAGATCCAAGTCATCCGTATCTCTAAGAGAAGCCGAAAAGATCAGCCTCCAACCCTGGCCTAAGACCACTGAACTTTCATCCTGGAAGGGAAGTGTTGTTCATGAAGTTTGCGTTGCAAGTGGTGATCGAAACTATGAGGATTGGAAAGCGTGGCTTGCTCCGTGTCTTGCAGATCAACCTGACTTGGAGACATTGGCCAAAGCTCCTGATGTGAGATTCCAATCCATTGATGCCAAGCTCTCCAATGCCTTGAGAAAAGTCATTGACAATGCTGGGGACAAATCCATGCAAGTGAAGTATGACATGTCCATGAAGAACCAATTGTATGGGAGAAGTGGGGACTTCATCAAGGGACGAGAACTATTTGCAATGATACTGATTAGCTTCAAGTCACCTGACCATACTGAAGTTCTCTACAATGCCCATCATTTGTATATGTTCAACTATTATGGAGATGATCAGCTTGAGGCATTCTACAACAAGTGGCTTGACATCGTATATAATATGAAACATGATGATCTACCTTCCAACAATTCCCTGCGTGATACATTGTTCCGGAAGATTGAACATTCAAAGCTTATGGCCTTCGATATCAATCGATACAAGACCTTTGACGAAGGGCATCCTGAGAAGACCTATGCTTACCTAACTGGTATGATCAAGGGATACATAGCACGAGGGAAGCAAGAACGACTGTTGAAAGATAGAGAACGTGCAGTGAAACTGTCATTGTCCTCTAACAAGACGACACCTGCCCTAGAAGATGCAGACAAGCCTGCCGCTCCCGTCAAAACCAAGAAGGAGAACGAAGCAGCCGCATCGTCTACAGGTGATCCTCCCAAACGTCCTAAGGCGAAAGCGAAGAGTGAAGCTGCATCAGTACTTCCTACACCTTCTCCGAAGTCCCATGCCGACAAGAACAACAAGAAAGGCAAAGGTGGGAAGGGAAGATCATCTTCACCCGTGGACAAGAAGAAGATTTTCTGTAACTATTTCTTCAATAAAGGAGGATGCAACAAAGGTGACAAATGTCTTTACAGTCATTCTCAAAAGGTCTATGATGCCAAGATGAAAGGTAAGAAAGGCAGAAGCGGAAGTCGAGATTCATCAAGAGGGAAAAGTAGAGGAAGTTCATCTTCAGCTGGACCCAAAAAGAAGGTATGTTGGAATTGGCAAGAAGGTACCTGCAAGTTCGGAAGCAAATGTAAATTCCTACATGCAGACAAATCGCCTTCAGCATCCTCAGAGAGAACCAGCAAGAAGACGCCAAAGAAGAAAGCGACTCCCATTACCATTGATTCCTTCTTTGATAGCGACAATGAAGATTCCATGGATTATACCTCTCCGAGGATAGCCAGCGCAAAGAAGTCTTCTGATGATCGCAGAATCTCATTTGATCTGGAACCTGAGGTGCACGAGATTGCTATTGAGGACTACCAGGAGGGACTACCCAAACGTATGTATCGTGACCCCAACAAGCAATATGTCTTCTGGAAGATTGACGAGTTGACCGACGATCAGTCCAAGTCCGACAACACCCTCGGTTTAGTCCGAGCACGGGCCAAGGCCATCATCATGGACAGATGTGGACTCCATCGTTTTGTTGATGAAGTTAGAGTCATTATTGGCCCCAAGTTCGACATGTTGATCAAACTGGACAATGATCGTGATGACTTGACTTTTATTGAAGAGCTTGTTGAACACGAAGTTGGAAACTCTCTCATGAAGTCCAAGAACATAATGTGCATTTCATTACCAGTACAAGCCAAAGATCGTAGATTCATCCTGGATTCTGGCAGCGGACACGATTTGATTTCTGCAAGGAAAGCCGAAAGGATGAACTTGAAGCAGCGAACTTGTGATCCTATCATGTTCCACACAGCCAACGGTTCAACTGCTACTCAGACGGAAGCAGAGATTGACCTGGGAACCTTTGATGTGACCTCTCATGCCTATGTACTGGACGACACTCCGTCCGTGATGTCTCTTGGGAAACGATGCATGGAAGAAGGATATTCCTTTGTATGGCCATCTGGTAAGATGCCTTTCATGATTACGAAGAATGGAGAACGCATCGATTTGACAATCCATGACAACATCCCCTACGTTGATCTTGGAACATACGAATGCACTCCTCATGAATGTCATCATGCATCGAAGATCCATGACCTATTGACACATTCTCATGTCGGATTCAACGATTTCAATGACATTGATGATGTTGGTCAACCCTCACGAAGAGTACATCTCGATGGAGAAAGTGGTCTTGAGACATCAACTGAGGATCACAACTGCTCCCGATACGTCAAGAAGCTCAAGGTGAAGAAGAAGAAAAGAGCAATGAACCGACAGAAACATTCAGCAACTCCTGGAGAAGAAGAAGAGGAACATCCTGAGGGCGGCGAGTACGAACCAGGAACTCCGATTGACGATCCTCATGGGGTCGAGACTGACCTTGAAGATGATGGTCATGGTGCTCCTGAAGACGCCGCCGAAGGTGACGAAGATGACATTGAGATTGATGTTGTTGAAGGTGAATCCAGGGTAGCCAAAAGAGGAACACTCAAGAGAGAAGCTAATAGCTTGAATCACAAGTTGACCCACAGGTATAAGAACCCATATTGCGACTCATGCATTCGAGCAAAGATGAAGCATTTCAAGACTCGTCGTGGTGCATACAAGAGGGAACTCAAGAAGTTTGGCGACCTCATTACCTTTGATGCGGTGGACACATCCAAAGTCCATGATGACGTGTTGGTCCTCGAGAAGGAAGTGTTGGTTGTCAGAGACTGTTATACAGGAATCATTGGTGCTTATCCATCTGATCGAATGACCAAAGATGATGTAGTTAGAGCAGTGAAACAGTTCATCGGCGCCAAGAAGGTTAGACAGGCCTACTCTGATCATGCTCCTCAATTCATTGAAGCCATGAATGAGATGAAGATTCCAATTGATCATTCATTACCTGGAAGACCCCAAACCAATTCAATTGCCGAAAGGACGAACCAATTTATTCTCACAGCTACTTCTACATGTCTTTTGGAAGCTGGATTACCACCATGTTTCTGGAGAACAGCAATCCTTTGCGTATGTCATCTACTCAATGTGGAACCCAACGATGATGAATTGAGCGCTTGGTGCAAACTCCATGGATCTGAATTTGCTGGCAAACTCATTCCCTATGGTGCTCGTGTGAACTACAAGCCTCCGAAGACCAGAGAAGCGGGACAACTTCATAAGTTTGGGCCTGATTCTATTCCAGGAGTGTTTGCAGGGTATCACATTGGTCCAGGGATGCATTGGTCAAGACAATACAAAGTATGGCCTCTGAGTGAATTTGTACATCAAAATCTTGGTGACGATGCTAGCAAACCTGAACACCGTCTTCTCAAACCTCATTTGACTGAAAAGGTCGAGATGGTCACTCCATTGACATTTCCATGCAAGCAAGAATATGAGAGGGTGAACACCACATTGGAAGGAATGAAAGAAAGAGAACTCCTCGATGGCGATCCCTCCAAGGTGCCTCATGGAGATGACGATGAACATGACCAAGATGAGGATGATGATGAGCTTGATGACGGAGACGACGGTGGACCTGGACCAAGTGGTGGAAAAGTTTCAAAGAAGCCTCTTGATGACTCTGAGGATATCTTCGACAAAGACAAAGATCCAGAAGAGATGACCCTCCAGGAATTGATCGACGCCCAACCAGACCATTGGAAGAAGGGCAAAGCTGGAGATGGGAAGATATACCTCAATGACGATGGTGAGAAGGTCAAGTTGAACGTCAAGGGTTACCCATACAAGATTGGAGATGATGGTAGACGAATGTTCAGAACATCATTGCGTCCCAAAGGAACCTATTCTCCTGAAGAATGGCGCAAACTCTCTCAATCTGACCGAAACCATCCTCAAAGCCGAGAAGAAGAAGTTGGAGAAGAAAGAGGCCGATGACAAAGCCAAAAGATTGGTCGAGGAAAAGAAGAAGAAGGCAACGAAGAAGGAGAAGAAAGATTCAAAGAAAGACAAGGTCGAGCCAAAGTCCAAGGACGATGAAAGTGGTGATGAAAGTAAGAAGGACGACTCTCATTCAAAGTCAAAGAAATCCGATGCAGGTGTTGGTGAAGTTGTGAAGAACAAAGTTACCTTACCTATCACATGTACAAGTACTTATCTTGATTTGTACGACATAGTCGATGATGATGATGTACATGGAAGACGATACATTGATTGTCGAAAAGTGAAAAGGAATGCTGATGCTAGTCCATGTTCCGACGCTTCTACTGACGTCCCGGACGACGAGGAATATCTCACTGAATGGGATGAATGGTCGGAGGTCGAGAAAGGACGTGGCCCAAAAGCATCGTGGAGTGGTGAAGTTTGGAGCACATTGTCAGGTGAGATTTCGAGGTTTTCCATGGCTACGCCAGGAGAGTCGACAATGATCAAAAATGGCAAATGTGTTAACGTCAAGAACGCGAAGAACATAGCCACTGATGATGATGAATACATTCCATTTCCAACTATGCCGTGTACTTCTGCATCAAATCAAAGTCACCGAACCAAGATATCATCAGAAGGTCTTGGAAGCAAACTTTTCAATGCAATGGTTTCACGACCTGTGGGCAGAGCCGAGATTGAGTCAAACCCAAAGGCCAAAGAGGCGATGCTCAAGGAGTGGAAAGGCCTTCGTGATCAAGAGGTATTTGACTTTACAATGGTTCGTGAATATGACGACGTTGTTGCAGAGGCCAAGAAGAACAAAAAGGAAGTACATATGGCAAGAGTCCATGGCATATGCGTGGAAAAGAATTACCAGCTGTCAGAAGACAATCCTGGACGAAAATTCAAGGGAAGAGGCGTTCTGCTAGGGAATCAGGTGAAGAATCAGCATTGGGAGGCAGCATTCTTCCAAGATTTGGGAAATTCCCCTGCTTCCTTCGAAGCCTCACGTTGGGCAGATTTTTACGGTTGTCTTCCTGGGCACTCCGTCAAGTTGGCAGATGCGATTCAGGCTTACATCCAGGCTAAGTTGAAGGGACCTTTGTGTTGGGTGGAGTTACCCACTGATGCATGGCCTCCGGAGATACAGTATTGGAAGTTTCGTCGCCCTGTCGTAAGACTCGACAAAGCCCTGTATGGACACCCTGATTCAGGCACGATGTGGGAACAACATTGTGACAAGAAAGTTCAAGAAATTGGTTTTAAGCCCATTGGTGAGGAATGGCCTTCTATGTATTTTCATGATGAGCTCAAATTGCTGTTGGTAATCTATGTGGATGATCTTAAGCTTGCTGGGCCCTCCGAAAATCTGGCCAAAGGTTGGGAAATGCTGCGCACTGTTCTGCGCATTGAACCCGAAACCGACTTGGGACTTTACCTAGGATGTGTTTTATCCCAAGGTGAGACCCAATTGCATAATGGTAAGAAAGTCAAGACCATAACTTATAACATGGAAGGATTGTTAAAGTTATCGGTGGAAAAGTATCTTGACATCATTGGTAAGGACACAAAATTGAAAAAGGTATCAACTCCAAGCCTTCCAGAGGAAACGAAAAGCAGCCCGTATCGAGCTCCTTCCGATGGAAAACGCAAAGTTGAGTGTCCTTGGTGTGCACATTCCTTCGATCCAGATATGCCGGCTCTCTCTGAGACTGGCAACTCATGTCGTGCGCAAGACAGTGAGATGCTGAGCCGTGGGAATCTAGCTCCACATGCAGCTAGTGTGCTGATGAAGCTGCTTTATGCAGCCCGCATTGCGCGGTTTGACCTGTTGAGATCCATCAATGCTTTAGCACGTAATGTGACTAAATGGACAAAGGATGATGACGCCCGTCTTCATCACCTAATGTGTTATGTTAATTCCACATTGTCCCTCAAAATGATAGGATGGGTCGGAGACAAAATTGAAGATTTATCATTAGGACTATTTGCAGATGCGGATTTCGCTGGATGTGCCCAATCCTTGAGATCAACTTCAGG